GCTCTGCTTCTTCCTTTGGACTTTTCTGGCCTGTGCACAACTCGCATTTATTGAGTCGAGGGCCCAACGTGGCTGTCTTGGGACCATATTCGTCCTTTCAGGGCATTACAGTTGGATCAAGACCACCACATGAAGAAGGTACATCGCCGAAATTGCTGGTCACAAGCCATCATGCATCCTCTCCCAACATCGTGCATAACACCAGACGCCACCGGGCCCTTCGTACAGTCCCAAGTCAACTCGATAGAGCCTGCACAGGACATCATTCACACGTACCAAGTACGTACTCAGCCTGCCACGCGCGAAGTCTCCGAGAAATGCTTCCAGAAGCGTTCCACCACTTGCCATTCCCAGCAACTACGAAATACATGGTGCCTAAAGCCATGAACTCAATATCTGCACCGACAGTCTACGTTCACTAGCATCTGCGGCTGTGCAGAGAAAAGGCGTCCTAAACTCAGTATTTGAATTCACCAGGCACCAAGCATTGATCCTCCACCTCCGTCGTATATCCTGCAATATTGCGGAGTATATGGATTCCTACCACGATAGCGCATTGGTGATAGATCATCGCTCGTGGCGCAGTGCATTTTAAATCTTGGCCTTGGCAGCACGTTATACCAACTCGAGTACCACGAGCTCGCATTCGCATTCGCGTTCGTTTCTCGTCAACCTCTATTTGATTTACCCCAGAACTCGCATCGCTTGCCGTGTCTAGGCATATGCGTTCTTCGAGAGGCACAGCACATGCATACGCTGCGCGACGCTCGCTTGGCTGCCCGTTTCAAACTTCATGCTGCGACGCTGCATGGCTGCCGCCGGACAAGCCGTGCGAAGAATGGCTTTGACGACGTGATCTGTTGCGCGGCATTGTCGCCGCTTTAGAAGGTACTGCTAGGTCTTGAACCATGCTGGCCCTCGGTGCGAGATGAAGTTGTCAGCAGCCTAGAGAGTTCTTGGAAAATCATGCGGTAGTGACAGGTTCCGAACCTTGCACAAGTGCAGTCGGATAGATGTATGCACACCGAGCCTTGACGAGTACAGATTGCGATCAGGTTTAGCCCATGACAGAACTCAATGCGCGAGGCTTGGTATTGTGTGTTGACGCTGGATGGAAATTTCGTTCGTCTGGCAAACAATAGTCATCCGGTCGCGAACAAGACTTCGTTCCCAGATGGTCATCCGGTCTGACTCAAAGCCACTTCTTCCAGCCAGTCATCCGGCTTGGCTTAGCACTACCTATCCGCGCCAACACAGTGGTCATTGTGCATACTCACACGGCTGGCAAAGTCATAATCTGCTTCTTGCTAGAGCAATCGTCGTCGAGGATTTGATTATATGCCTGTCCGCCACAGCTTTCTGGCGCCCAGGTGGCTAATGACGGAGACATTCAAGTCACATGCGTTGGTTGTCCAACAAATATATTTGCAACAAAATGAAGCACACTGTAGGTAGTCAACAAAGTCTCGCCTGTCTGCGGCCTGTATATGCCACTCTCTATAGTCTACCACGACTCTTATCGGTCGAAGTCAGCCCCCATCCGAACACCTTGCTATGCCCCAGTGCAACCAAATCTACAAAGCAGGCAGACCCAGATCCTCAATCAGTATCGAATATCACGTTGCTGCAGAACCTCCATCTCCTCTCCTGGCACAACAACCTCCACTCCGGCCATGCTTCCTTTCCGATTGCCTTTCGATCGCATGGCGGTATCGTCCATCTCTCGCTTCATGATCGCGTTAAATTCGTCCGGACTGTCCAAGTACACATGGTGTCCTGCGCCTTTGACAATGACAACCTTGGCACCACCTTGGTCCTCTCGTTTCTCAGCCTCAGTCTTGCCCTGCAGCGCCTTCTCGCGCGCTTTGTCAAGAAGCTTCTTCGCAGCATACCCGCCCTTGACGTCCATCCAGTCGTTCTCGCCGTACATCAACACGACAGGGACACCACCTTCATTGCTTCCGTCAGGCAGTGTCCCTCGTCCAACGCGCCCGATTCGGTGGATCAGCGGACTGCGTGCGAAAGCGCCTGGCGCGAGGATGTATGCAAGGGCATACTCGCCGGAGCCGCGCAAGCGGAATAGCGAGTAGGCGTAGTCATGCAGAGCAGCGGCTTCCGCTTCGGGCAAGTGGCTGAAGCGGCGAGACGTCCATCCGGAGACCAGTCGTGGTCCAAATGGTCCTGACCATCGAACAAAGCTGAATGGCGAGATGTTGGCGTCCCACGCCCACGTTACCCACTTGGGTATCCTTCGCCGAGGCGCGACTTCCTTGCCATCGGCTGGGAGACGGTTGGCATTCGGCGCCTGTTGTGCTTCTTGTGCTGCCTTGTCGGCCTTCTTTCGCTGATTGAGAAAGTTGTTGCCATCCGCCTGTTTCGTCGTTTCCGTTTCCGCGTCTTGCGCGAATTCGTTCTGGAAGGTCGAGGTCTGTGGCTCAGGCATTGCTGCCTGTGTGGCGTATGGATCTTCTGGAATGCCAACGGGTGAGGCAAGGATGAGCTTGTTCAGATGGCCGGGATATTTGAGAGCATAACACACTGCCATGTATCCGCCCATGGAGTGACCCACAAGAGTCATTTTGTCGATCTTGCGTTTAACCCGCCACTCCTCCAGCGAATCTATGAACCAGTCTTCTGCTTCAGTGATCTGCTGCTGCTTGCCCTTTGCCTTTATCCGGAAGGGCGGACGGGACGATCGGCCCATACCGAGCATGTCGAGAGCGTAGAGCTGCCAGCCTTTCGGCCTGGAGAGTGCCTCAAAGTTCTTGTAGAAGAATCCTAGACCTGCGCCGTAGCCATGTATTATAACCAGATTTTCGTCTGCCTTCTCGCCGGGATGCTCTACCGAGAACTCATTCAGTGCGCGGTGTTTGCCCGATAGTTCCACCATTCGTGAGTACCACGTTCTGGGTCCGTATGGGTCCGTTATCGAGTTCGTGCGGACTGGAGCCGCCTTCGCAGATGGATCTGTATTTAGTGATGTGATCGATGGGTTCACGGAAGGAGGCTTGGAGCCAGTCTGTGTATGTGTGGGCGGCTTCTGGAGGTAGGGAATGTACGACAGCACTTTGTTCTCTGTTTGAGCTGCTGGCAGTGCGCTCCACCACTGACTGAAGCCTTCCTTGTATCCCATCGGAAACCAGCCGCCCCCTCGTTCGCCTCTTTCGGCGGCCCGTTGACGGGCAAGAGGACTTTGTTGTGAACGCGCATTCGCCTCGTTGTCGGAGTCTGCTGTGCTAGACATGGTGGGCGGTTGATGCTGGTGTGGCGGAAGGTTGTGTCGGTACGTATATGCTGAGGTCGACTGAGGTTGTATACGGATAGTACTGCGGACAACGCGGAGGAGCTTCGAGGGTGCTCCACGCCTCATACAAGGCTAGAAGTTGAATGGTAGGTGACAGTATGTAGCGGTAGCGACGGGATGTAAAGGCACTTGAAGGGAGTGATATGTGTGGCGAGGCGAGGCTTTCTTTATTTGCTGTCCAAGGTCGGCTCAACGCTCGTCCGTGTTGTCATCGCCTCCGACCTCCGAGAAATTGCCCTGGCCGCCCTCAACATCGTCATCAAAGTGCCTCGCGGACTTAACACTTCCTCCTGCTATACCCATACATGTCTATCGCGATTTTAACACTGGTGCCTGTCGCGTAGGTATTTGTGTCGTATTTCTAGCCGGAAGTGGTTCTTACAGGGTCATCCAGACGAGGTTCCGGTGCCGAGCTGTCCACCCAGTTAAGGCATTCGCGCGGCTGAGTCCTCTTCACTATCACTGGCAACCGCAGTCTACCCCGGATTCCAGATGCATCCCAGAAGATAGCACAGAGCGTCAACGGTTTGCTGCCCCTGGCAGTCCGTTGCCCGACATGCCGAGCGAAACTTCGCTCAACCAGCTGGTCAAAGGCGCGCCCACAGCCAATGTCCACCCACCTCCGCCGGCACCACTCCCGCCCTTGACCTCCGCCGCCGCGACCGACAAAAACACGTCCAGTCCCGACCTCTCCGCCCTGCCAAGCTCACCTCCGACGATCTACCTTAATCTGCTGATCCTCGAGTCCTCCCTCCGCAGCCAATATCTACATCTCGTCTCTCGTCGACGCCTCAACACCTTCTTCTTGCTTGTCCTCTCTACTTGGACATTGTTCCTTGGTTGGGTTCTCTTCCTTAAGCCCAGAGAAGATGGCTCCGGTCAGCGCGGCGGCTCTGTCTATTGGCTCTTCGAACTACTCCAGAAGCTCGCGTTCATGGGTTCATTAGCTACTTTCCTGCTCATCTGGGCTACCGGCCAGCTCGAGCGTGGGGTACGCTGGCCGCGCAGGTGGCTGTCTACCACAAATCGCGGCCTACGACCGTTCAACTTGCGCGTCGTAGTCATACGCCGAAGATGGTACCGGGAGTGGCTCAGTCACTTCAGCTTCCTTATTCCTCTTGGTCTATTTGCCGACGAAGAAGGTGGACGATTTAGCGACTGGCACCTTGTTGAGCACGAGACAGGAATCATAGTGGAAGAAGACCTCGCTAAAGGCGGCGACTACATCATGCTACTCCTTCTCCCGAAGTCATTTTCTCCAGAGTTCCGCGAGAACTGGGAAGAGTACCGCAGTGAATACTGGCAGCGAGAGAACGAGCGCCGCGCTGGTCTTCGTAGGAAAGTGAAGGTCCAGCGGCGGAACAAAGCTCGCGATAATGGAGGATGGAAGTGGTACACGGGTACTTGGCGTCTGATGCCCCGTCACAGCCATCACGCGAAGAGGAATCAGGACCTTGAGAAGCACCCTCACCATCAGCACCACGCCCAACAAGCGCACCCCGCTCGTGGTTCCTCGCACAATCGCAACCCTACCAACAACAGCCTGTCCCTGACCGAGAAAGATGCTCTACTTAAAGCGGATCAGAAGGCTCACCGTCGGCGATCTCTCCGACGCGACTCTAGTTCGAACAACACCCACTCACGTCAATCCTCCCGCTCGAGCACTCCTGCGCTCGGCGACGTTGATGGCGCAAATGACAGCCACGATCACCGACTTCGTAGAGGCAGCAGCGTAAGCAGTACGGCAAGCGTGAGACGCAAAACGCGAGAGCTAAGATCTGCTGCGGGTGGAGTGAGTCCGCTAACAAGTGCGGATGAGGGTAAGGTGCGGCGGAAGCATCATCATAATAGGTCGACGACGCCAGAGTCGGAGTCAGCGGTGGCGGATGGACCGTGGGCTGGGAGCAAGTCTGGGACGGTGAGGATCAAACGGGAGGATAGTTCTGGAATGGGCAGTGTAGCGTAACATAGCCCCGTGAGTCCAGCGTCGAAGCAGGCAACCCAGATCCATTTCATGTCGTTCCTTGATCACCCAGAAGGAGAAGGGATGCAGAATACGCCCTGTGTGGTGCTGTTGCTGACTAGAGCTCATTTTCGGCGGGTTGACCCTTCAAGACTGCCGTACCTACCTAGGTGTATGGCCAAAATCAGACCGGTAGACTGGTAGCCACCACATCCCGCGGATCCTCCGACATCTGCGCCCTCTTTCAAGTTACTACGGACTCATTGTTCGGGACGAGAAATGGCAAGCACGTCACCCAACGGCGACCCACCTGTTGTGGCTACCCGTTTGGTCGCTACTGCCAATCAATCACTTTCTCTCGTAAGGCAGAAGCCATATTGTAGCATTCAACGGTAGGGAGATATCGGTGATAATCGGTCATCAACCAATCTATGAGCGAGGAGCGTTCCCTAATAGACAGGCACGATGCTACTTCAATCTTGACATTCGACTCACTACCATCTCTGACGCCACGACCGCCTGATCCCGAAGTCTTCTGACAATCGTCTTCCGCCTTCTTATAGTCCACCAGCATTGTCTGGGGTCTCGCGACACGATCCGCCCGAGTGGAGAAATTTATTTCCACCGTTCCGCACTGGAGAATTATTATCAATCTGATAAAAAGAATCACGTCTTCCCCAACGTCACAAGGCTTCTTCTCCTTCCAGTATGCCAAGTGCCAAACGAAAGATGCAATCACTACTAGAAAGGGGCCGGTCATTCCTAACACCTACCGGATCATCAGCAAACTTCCAAGGCACAGCAGGATTCACAAAGGCATCTACAGAGACTGCACTATTCCCCAAGCCAGATCCAGCGGTTGATGGAGAAGAGTGCCTACACGACTGCTCGTCATGCAGTGTACACTATCCTGCCAAGTTCAGTATCGACGAAGATGACAAGTTATACGGCCACGTCAATGGCTGGGATACGCATCTTATTGTCGGCACCGGCAAGACAGACTGGGTCCGCGATGTCGCTGATGAGAAGGGTAGCGTGATGCAAGCTGTTGGGAAGCACGGCCAGGAGATCGAAATGTCGAATGGTCGAGGCAAAGGCAAGATGATGCTCTCGGCTTCCAACATGCCTTCTGGCGGAGAGCACGGTGATTGCGACATTGAGACTGGATCCGACTGCATGCTTCTTCCTTCGTGGACGTTTATCGAGAAAGTCAGACCAGAGCAGGTTCCTGCGCTCATGTCTACGATCGTGGCTACATCCGCCTCAAATCGCACATTACTATCTTCTAGCAGCATCGCCAACGACTCCACAACTACACCCGAAACATATGATTCAGCAGCTGACACGCCTAACGGTAATGGCTCCTCAACACCAGTCGAGCTACCCACCCCAACCGCCCAACCCGTTCTCAAAATGCCCCAATTCACAACCCGCCCAATCCCTCATCGCGCCTTGATCCTCATGTGCAGCCACAAAACCCGCGATGCACGCTGCGGCCAATCCGCCCCTCTCCTCCGCAAAGAATTCGAACGCATTCTCCGACCAATGGGCCTACACCGCGACCTGCACGACGCCCGGCCTGGCGGGGTAGGGATCTACTTTATCAATCACGTCGGCGGACACAAGTACAGTGCCAACATCATGGTGTATCGGAGGGCGGGCAGCAAGCAGACCAAAGCCGTCACGAGTGGAGCTGGTAATGGCAACACGGAAGAGGAAGAGACGCTGCAAGACGAGGCTGTGCAAGGGATCTGGCTTGCAAGAGTGAAGCCGGAGGATTGTGAGAATATTGTGCGGTATACAGTGCTGCAGGGGAAGGTGGTCAAGCCGGGGACGCAGCTGAGGGGTGGGTTCGATCGGGAGAGGGGGCTGGCTAGCTGGTAATTGGATCTCAGGAGAGCGTACGGTCCGGGCAGCTTGTGGAGATTGTGGTGCGAAGTCATGAGAGGTCCAGCCTTTTGAGCATGAATTGCGAGTAGAGATATGGCTAAATAATTCTATGTTCACTGTTTGCAAATCGACATATACTCGTGTGTGTCGGATGGCTCGGCCCTCGAGAACACTACAGACAATATTAGTCCACGACTAGGCCCGCCAATTGACAAGCGATGGGAATAGCATTAAGTACGGCCGGATGACAGGGTTACTCCTGCTGCCCAACGTCGACATTGATTATGGGCTGCAATCCGAAATAGCCTGCCATAAACTGTTAATTGCACATCAGATCCGAGCACAGGACAGTACTCAACATGTCTCATAAAGGTGCCTGATCAATGATCACACATTTACTCAGACAGCGGGGCATTAGGCCGCATTACATACATTATCTGTCCTATATAATCTATTCTACCGCATAACAAGCTGCCTCAAACTCACATCACAGCCTCACGATGCCACAAACTCTGCGCACCCAACTCCCTCGCCAGACTGTGATGCACCCGCTTCGCATCCCTCTTCGCCTTCATCGTCGCATTCAACGGCCGCCCGTCCGAGATCTCCCCATACTTCGCCACCGGGTAGGTCCCAAAGCACGCCTGCTCGTAGTCCGCCTGGTCGAGGAGCGTGCCGAGAACATTCAGGTAGGTCTCTAGCTCACACCAGCCGTCGTCGCGGACCTCGCATTCGGGGTAGGATTTGTAGAGTGGGATGGTGCGCTGGTTGAGGAGGATGTGCACGTATTTCGTGGTGTTGCCTGACTCGTAGTAATCTGACATGGTTAAGTTGCTGCCGGCGGGGCGCTGGGCTTTGACTGGCGATGGGGCAGTGATGATCTCCCAGTACATGCGGGTGCCGAAGGGGGTCATGTGGGAGACGATGGCTTGCTGGTTGGCGGGCGGGCCGGTGGCGGGGAGGGACTGGTTGAATTGGCGGAGGCGGAGGCGGAGATGATGGCGTAGATGTTTGTGTCGTGGGAGAAGTCCATGTAGAGGGTTTGGTTGAGGGGGAAGGTGGCGGAGGAGGTGTCGAGGGTCACGTTGCTTGGGTTGCGCCGGCGGGGAGGTTGTAGAGGTGGCCTTGGAGGCGGGCGTAGATCTCCTCTACACAGCCGATGCCTACGCCGCGGCCGACGGGGGAGCCGAAGCCGTTGTTGCCGTAGAACTGGAGGTCGATGCTGTATTCGAAGCCTTGCCATTCTTCGTAGGTGAAGAGGTCGCAGAAGGCGCTGTAGCCGAAGGCGACTGTCTCGTAGGGGCAGAGGGTTTGTGCCTAAGCTGCTGTTAGCGTTGAATTGCGGGAGATGAGTGATCTTACGTTGTAGGTATCGGCCACGGTCCAGTTGTAACCGCCCGACAGGGCCTTCAGACGCTGGGTTGCGTTGGCGAGATAGATGTTCTCCCAGATGCGGCTTGCGTTGTTGCCACCTGTTGAGTAGTAGTTGTTGCTGTTGTTGCATTGGAAGTAACCGGCAAGCGTGTTCTATGCCTCAGGTGTTAGCAATGTCAGCGCTCTGAGGACTGATCAAAGCTCACGTTGAAGCCTGATTGCTCAATGACAACTTCCAGAGTCGCATTTTTGGTCCATTCGAGGCCAAAGAACTGTACCACTTGTCAGCTGCTATGTCTTTTGCTCTAGCAGAACCACTAACGCCAGCCATGAAGTTCTCTGCAGACTTTAACATTCGATCCTGGGTCGTTGTACGTGCGAGGATCTTTGTGCTTGTGTTGTACCTGGTCCGTCATTAGCGCCGGCCAATACCTTAGCCTGCCGAAAACTTACAGATGACCATAGTTATAGTAGAAGAGCACGCCAGAGTCGTACAGCTCCTGGCGGCCCTTGGGAACAAGAATTTCGGCTCCCATCTTGTAGGTCCAGCTGTTCAGGAAAGACAGCTCTCCCGACCAAGAAGCGGTGCCGTTACTTGTGATGTTATGGAGCTTGCTGCCGAAGCTCGACACGGATGAGTCTCCTGTTGGGTAGCGCGAGCCATGGCTGTCACTCGTCAGCCACCCTGCACTCAAGGAATGGTGATGACCGGTGAAACACGAGAAGTCACGTACCGAGACAGCAGGTGAACCTGGGAAATGTTCGTTCCTGGAGGCAGGCTATATTCGTTGGACCCGAATCCAACTGGATTAGGCTGATACGGTGTGAGCTGACCCATCAACAGGAAGATGTTCTGGCCCGACTGTATTCCCTGGATTGGCAGCGCCGTTGCCAATGGAGTGTTGGGAACATAGCTCAACGAACCGAAAGCAGCTGGGTTGGTCCTGGACTTCTGATCAGCTTGGTGCTTGACCAGCAGCGTAAGGGACGAATCTGAGCATAGCGAAAGTGCTTGTCCCTACTTACTCTGCCAGAAACGGCGCCGAACCTGTCTTCGTTGGTCCTGCAAAGATCTGAGGAAAGGTCTGGAAGATCTGTTCAACACTCGCTGAGGACGAAGCCTGACGGTTGTCAAGCACGGCAGCGGAGGCCAAGCCTGCGATGCAAGTGAGCACCAGACTGAGAGTCGCCATGTCTGCAGTACGAGATACAAGTCGCTAGAATGAGGCGACTGCGAGCAGAGAAACCCGGCGCGCGCGAAGCACCATCTACTTGTAGGCATTGAAAATACTCAATCACAGGACGCACGTGGGAAGCTCATGAGCTCTCCGACGGACAGGATCGACCGACCTACCGACCCATGCTTGTACCTGAAAACCTTCGCGGCGTGCGCAAAGCTGGTCTGAGGTTACAACTGCAGTAGCACTGAAGGAACAGGAACACGAAGGTAGTGAGTGGTAGTCAAGTGGGGTAGGAGGTTTGTCACACCCACCAGTGACAGCCGAGGCCATTGGTGATGTCACCTTTAGCTTGTCAAAGCTTGTTAGAGCTTCGACTAGTAGAGCTTCGGTCTGCGGACATTTATCCAGGGTATAATACTCGTGGCCGTTTCCTGCCTCGTGATTTGCAGGCACGTGCTGTTGCGATTCTCTCCTCGTCGCCACCTTCCGAATCTCCTCGTGTCTACGTGCTAGAATGCAGCGACTTGCGAAATATGGACTAAGCTCTCGTCCACAAGACTCGGCTGAAGCGGCGGCTGAAGCGGCAGAACAAGCTCGCAGCTGGTGCCTTGGCCCAAAGGCTTGGTTTTAGTCAATGACCAGCCCATTCTCCCTACGATGCGGTGTAGCGGACATGCTTCCGGACCGAGTCGCGGGTAAAGCGGTGAATGCTTTCAAATGTGAATCCGTATATGTCCATGCGTCTGATGCAGATGTAGCATTGACCGTCTAAAGCCGTCCCCAATCACCCTAGTCATCGAATTTGAAGCCTTTTCCACCACTTATGTCGATCATGCCTCCACGATAACTACCACGCTTCTTCTTGTTCTTTTCTTTTGTAAAGCCCTTGCCACGCGTGACAGACAGATCCTTGTATGCCCGGTCCGCATAATCGTACGAGACGTATTTGTTTGATAAGAAGTCTTTCTCGTTAGCCAGTGCTGATTGCTGCGCTAGGGGTGTCGGCCTTGCGCCCTCGTGCTTCCTTGTGCCGTTCATCATCTGACCGCGACGTGACGGGTGTATGTCCGAGTCCACTTCGGGTGATGGCTTTTTCTCTCCTATCACCGTTCCAGAAGACGACGAGCCTGCCCGTCCATCAACATCTGATTCTGCAACATCAGTCTGCTTCGGTGCTGATTGAGTAATTGGCGCAGCATCCTGCATCTCCTCGTCTGAGCTTGAACTGGAGTCGTTTTCGCCCTCACTTGAAGTCGAGGAGCCCGAGGTGCTGCTATCGTCGCTTTCTGCTTTCGGCGCGGTCTTTGATGGCATCTCGCTGTCGCTCGTGACCTGATCCGAGTCTTCTGAGCTCGACTCGCTGGATGAGGATGTCTCAGATTTGCTTTGCTTGGCCCTCTTGCTTGGTGGCTCGTCCTCGGAGGATGAGGATGAGTCGGATCCCGATGAGGAGGATGAGGATGAGGAAGATGCAGAGCTTGTAGACAATTTCCTTTTTCGGGGGTTCGGGCTTGCCGTGGAGGGTATGGCTGCCTTTCTCTTTGACACTGCGGGCTGTTCTCTTTCGTCATCTGCGTCACTGTCCGAGGACGATGACGAAGAAGACGAGGATGAAGACGAGGAAGAGGAGGACGACGAGACTGATCGCCGGCCGCCTTTGGTCTTGACAGCCTTTCCTGCTTTCTTCGTGGCTTTACTCGCACCTTTGCTGGAATCTGTGCTCGAACTTGACGATGAACTTGACGAACTCGTCGAGGAGCTGCTTGATGAGCTGCTTGCAGACTTCGAAGACTCTGTGCTCTTCACGCTAGCGTTGTCGTCGCTATCGGACCCGGACGATGAAGAACTGCTCTCCGACGACTCGGAATCCGGCAGAGGCACGTTGGCGGCCAGCAGTAGAGACTCTTAGACTTGCGTCGCCCACTGCGCTTGGCTCGACTGCCAGATTCCGCTCTTTCAGCTCTTTCTTGTATGCTTTTTGAGTCGCACTCAAGTCGTGCTGCCGGAAGAAATTGTCAATGATCGAAAGAGCACGCGGTGTAGGCCCGCTGCCCTGAGAAGCACTCATCTTGACCAGATTGGTGGTCCGCTGGACTATGCGAAGAGAGGGTCTACCTTGACGCACTGAGGTAGCAATGTGGCCGCCAGATATTCCAGGTTACCGCCAATAGTCGAGTTCTGCTCTTGGACGTTGATCAGTTCTCGATCTCTTTCATTTTGCGAGCGATCTCCAACGACAACTTTTTTTGACTTTCGCGGACAACGTTTTTCCGACGCCGAGGAGTGTGGATGGAGCGGAAGCTGCCTTGACGCTAGTCTACTCTAAGCGAACTCGGAGTGTCTCATCAATGAATCCGACCGTGACTGCCTTGCGACTCGGTGCGGTAGATCAATGACATTCAACTGAGCATCAGCTCACCAGCACTTCATTTGTTCTGCGGATGTAACAAACGCATCGCGATGGCCCTTGCACATGAACCGGGCCATGTACGATCACCATAATGAGTTACGGCGGCATGAACCAGCAACGTGGTGGAATACCGAACAGTGGCCGTGGCTTTCAGCAGGCTGGTCCTGACACGCGCAATGGCTCCCTCGGGAGCCTGCCCGGGCACACAAGCGACAGTGCTTTGAGCAACCAAGATCGGGCTGCTCGTTTCGAAGATGAAAAGAAAAGGATCATTGAGAGTTGCTTCGCCAAACGAGACCCAGATGGCACCAACCTCGAGTCGTATATAACACATGTACGCGTCGCCGAAGATGCCATGTACCCGTCCTCGCCAGCTCCTGCCAATTCGCCTGCCGCAAACAAGAAGAACAGAATCATTCTGGTGGCTGTACGGCGCTCGGGCAAGGTTAGAGTCCACAAAGCCCGCGAGAATCCCAATGGCTCTTTCTCCATCGGCAAGACCTGGAATCTTGATGAGCTGTCCGCCATCCAGTCCTACACTGCATTCAACCCAAGTACAAATCAGGAGAGTATGGAGAAACAATGGGCTGGCACTACCGGTTTTCTGGTCACGTTGGGCAAACCATACTATTGGCAAGCGTCTACGGCGAAAGAGAAGGACTTCTTCATTGCAAGCTTGACCAAGATCTTTCGAAAGTATACCGGCGGACGTGCACCACAGCTGATAGGTTTTGCGCCTCAGGAGATGGACATGCTCACAGCCAGCACCCCGGGCAACACACCAGCCATGGGCGGCGTTTCACCTAACCTAAACGCCGGTGGTCTGCCTTCACCTGTGCCCACCCCTCCGTCGATGCCAGCTGCGATGTCTCCTCGCCCGCAGTCGCCCTTAGCTCTCCGAGCACCAGCTCGGCCCAACCAACAGCCGGATCCTCCACAGAATCGTCCGTACAATCGTACCAATGTCCGGCCTGAAACACGCGAGGGCCAACGAATGCCTTCCGAAGAGCCCACGCGTTCACCGGCACGCTTCCCAGCTAAGATCGAGTCGACCGAGGATCTTAGAAAGCGTTCCTTGGGCGATAAGTCTGCCTCGTCAGGGACCTGGGGCTCCCTGTCAGATATGCCACAACCTCTGCGACCTTCGGCGAGCCCCAAACCATCGGTATCGTCTACTCAACCGAGCGAGAGTATATCAGAGTTGCCTGCAAATAGACAGAATGGCGTGCCAAAGAATGCCATGGCTCAATATGGTCCCGGTGGGCGCAACTTCTCGTTTTCGAAGAGCCAGGAATCCGTAGCAGCCGCAAGCGACTACTCAAACCCATCCAGACCATCTACAGCTGCCGAGAGGAAGCCCACAGAACCCGTCCCTCCTGTCCCTCCAATAAATGATCCGCCTCCGGACCGATTGCGTCCACAGATAGGCAGCAATAGGGAGGCCGCTAGAAGCGAGAAGTCCCTACAGAGTCCGTCGGCCAGCCAGTTCGTTACACCCGCTGCAAGTCCGGGTGCCACGAGAAATGAAAGCCGCAATGATGAGCCCGAGCCCCTCAAGCTCTCGAAAGGTATCACCACTCAGGCTAAGCAGTCAACAGAGCCTAAGGAGTATTTTGACACCAAAGCCGCCAGCGACACGAAGGGCAACGATGCAGTCATGCAGGGTCCTCCAGATCTGCCAGCCGAGCACATTCTGTCAGAGTCTCCGTTGACGCCTGTCGGAGACAATGTCGTTGCCTCGCCAGACAGCGTGAAAGCTCCGGAGAGCGAGCTGTCGACGAAGAAAGAAAAGGAAGAGGAGTATCGACCAGGACTTGGACCAATGATGAAGAAGAAGTCTGCTAAGGATATTGCCAATCAATTTCGGAAAGCCGCGCTGGCGGCAAGTGCTTTCCAGCCACGGCAGGGCGGCGCTGGCGCACGGCTGAAAGCGATGCAAGACAAGAACTCAAACGAGCCCGATGGCATCACCAGCGTCGTCCCAGCTCCTCTACTAAGAGGCATGAGCACGGACAGCGTTGCCAGTGACAAGCCGAGCATCACCAGTCCTCCCCCAGAGAAAGACAAGGACAGGCCCCGGACGCCGCTGGCTAGTGCTTTCCTACCAAAAGTGCAGCTTCAAAGGACCGCAACAGATAACAGCGTCAAGGCGCCCACCGAGACACCAAGACCTGTAGATGAGCCGCAAGAACTGACGAAACTCGAACCCTCAGAGCCTGTCAGATCTGGCTCGCCCGAACGAAAGAAGCGGCAAAAGCTTGAGATCGAGGTCGGAAAGTATTGCGCCATTCTTGGAGTCGATCCTCGGGTCATGGAAGGTCGCGGCGCCGATTTCAATGAGATTTTAACAGAGTTTGGCTGGGAGGGCCGCCTATCTGAAAAGCAGAAGATCGAGAACTTCGAGTCTGCCATTAGACGCGAGAATGGTCGCGCTCAGGCGGCTGGGTGGCTCGGTCATATTGAGCAGCAGGAGGTCAAAGTCGCTGACTTGTCCAGAGCCTTTGACAAAGCGATAGCAGAGTGTGAAGAGATGGACGGACTGCTCACGCTCTACTCTCACGAGCTTGATACCTTGGCCGAAGACATCGAGTATATCGAGGCTCAGTCACAAGGTCTACAAGTGCAGACAGCGAACCAGAAACTGCTGCAGTCGGAACTCCAGGGTCTACTCAAGACCCTCACCATATCATCGTCGGACCTCCGTGCATTGCAAAGCGCACCGCTTGACTCTGCAGACGGCGTTCAGTCAATCGAAATGTCTTTGCTCACGCTTTACCGAGCGCTGTTGACAATCGATCCAGAGATCCGGCAAAACAAAACGAGAAAGGCAGCATCAACTTGCAACGAACGAAGCGGCGTCGGTGTCTACGCAGATCAAGAAATTGGACAGATGCGAGCTGTCACGCAGAAGAAGGAAGAGTATCGAGAAGAAACACTTCAGTTCTTGCGAAGATTCAATCAGCACATGACTGCAATGTTCAAGCAAACTGAGCAAAGGACCAGCGAAGACAATTCTCGCAGTCTCGCATCAGTCTCATCCTCATCGTTACTACTGCCGAGTCTGCAGTCCTCTCGCCAGGAGCTTTGGTCTTACAGCCCAATCATGCTATTTGTACGGGAGGTCAATAGCTACGAATGGTCGACCCTGATATCAAGGTACGAGATCAATATCAAGAACGCCTACGTGGACAATTTCCGCGAGTACATCAGCCATAACAAGAAGAAAGCCAGTAAGCCTGCCGGTGAAGAGCTTGAGGCGTTATTCACCCACCAGGAAAAAGACAAAGGGGAAGAATCCATGACATCTACTGCTGCAAGAAAGCTGACAGTCAAGCGTGGCAAGACTGTCAAAGCTGGTGGACTTCGACGAACCTTCGATCGACGCGACGGGAAACCCGATGCATGGGAGATCTTTGATTCTGTGCTGCAAGAGCAGGCAAAGGTAGTTGCCGAGGAACAGAACTTCATCGTTCACTTCTTCCATCTCACTTCTCAGACCAGTGTCGACTGGCTGGATAACCTTGGCTCGAAAACTTCTGCACAGCGGAGCCTGCCAAACCTATCCACACAGCTGCCCTACGATGCAGATCGCGACATGGCCAAACAAGTCCAGAACACAGTCGAGGGCATCTACTCATTCTGGACTCCAGAACTGGAACAATTGACGGACTGGGTTTGTGCCACTGACCAACTTCAGGCCGTGGGCGTTCTATGCGCGCTCGAACGCACTCTCGCTACCTACGAAGAGACCAACCAAGAATACATGACTCGCGCTCTGCGGGGACTCCACGACCGTTTGGCTGGCCTCTTCCAAAAGTTCATCGACGAGCAGGTCAAAGCCATCGAGGAGACCAAAGTCAAGGTCAGCAAGCGAAAAGGCATCATCCCGTTCATGCGCACCTTCCCAATCTTCAGCTCCATCGTCGAAGGTATGATCCCACAAGAGTTTTACCACAACGAGTCCCTAGAACTTCGCTTCATCCTGAACGACGCCTACTCCCGCATCCTAAAGGCAATGTGGGAATCTCTCAGCTTCATCGCCAAAGACAACCCCGCCAGCGGCACCTCTACCGGCGTCGCGAGCACTACAGCCCCTGCTGCCGGCTCAGGTGACCCCGAAGACAAAGAAGCCCTGAACTACCACATCCTCCTGATCGAGAACATGAACCACTACCTCGAAGAAGTCCAGGTCCACGACAACATGATTCTCCGCGACTGGCGCGACCGCGCCGAAAAGGACATGTACAAGCACCTCAGCCAGTATGTCGACGCGGTCATCCGTCGGCCGATGGGCAAGTGGCTCGACTTCTTAGAGAGTACTGAGGCACTCCTCAAGACCAACGAGGGCAACCCAACCGTGATTGCCAACAAGCCAAGTCACAGTCGGAGCAGCGCGAAGAAGGTGCTGAGCAGCTATGATGCGAAGGAGGTGAGGAAGGGCGTGGAGACGTTGAAGAAGAGGTCGATAAGCATTTTGGCGATGTTGATGCTGATTTGGCTGCGGCGCATAGTGCGGACAGTAGGAAGGGGTTGATTAGTAGGGTGCTGGAGGAGTGCAACATACGGTATGATCATGCGTGGGATCGAATGGATGTTATTGTGCGGCAGGTCTATGAGGGGAATCTGGAGATTGAGTGGAAGAAGGCGGAGGTTGGGGCGTTGTTCAAACGGTAGTGAGCCGACGAGCAGGAGGTGTTGTCCTGGCACGAAGCACGGCTTGGGTGTCAGACTGGGGCATGCCTGCTGCTGGAGAAGTGTATCATTACGATTGTTAACGACTGTTTGGCATGTGCAGGTCTTGGAAAGCGAGACGGGTGGTTTAGCATTGGGCTGTGTGCATACAATGTATACGATTCGATCCGTGCACTACTCTACTCCATATGTGCTTGCTTCTCAGGGCTGACCTGCTTTGACATCTTAAGAACGAGCGACTGTCTCTTCCGAGGTCGATCCGATCCTGCATCGTCTTCAGGGTCAGCTGCTCGCTTTTGCGCTTGGTGTGATCGTTCCACTGTTATCACGTCGGCAGGAGCGCTATCTCTCGGCTCTGCTGCCTGCGCTTGGGCAGGACCTGACTGTTGCGACTTTGTACTGTCACCTTCCTTGACTCGTTGGCAGTTTGACCGTTCTAGAGCGCTTATGACGACTTGCTCGAATGTGTCCTTCGCTGCCAGGAGGGTCTCAAGCAGCTTCTGATTACGCTTCTCCGCCCTATTCACGGCGAGCTGCGTTGCGGCCAACTGAAGCACCGTTCGTGCATGCTTTTGCTTCCACTCGTCTTCTATCAGGTTGGTCTGCTTCTGCGCCGCCTCAACCGCACGGTGTTGCTTGTCGAGCTCTGCATCTCTCTCGGCGATGTCGTCAAGGTGCCGACAGCGCGCTTTGTCGGCATCTTGTTCCAGGCCTCTGTTGTCGGCTTGTTCTTTCTCAATTGCTGCTCGCAGTGACTCGACCGTGGCGTTGAGGCCCCTGATCTCGTCGTCTTTCGTTGCGATGGTTTTGCTATTCTGAAGCGCTCTTTCTTCGGAAGCTTTCAAGTCAGCACTGGCTTTCTCGATAGCTGCTGTATGGCCAACTCGATCCTGGCGGGCAGTCTCTTGCTCTTTCTCAAGTCGCTCCTGGAGCTTGGATAGCTCTCCTTCGAGAGTAGTGATAGTATTGGACTGTCCCTCGATCGTTGTCTTGTAGGTATGAACCACGTTGCATAATTCCTCCTCACGATCTTCCAGGTGCTGGGTCTGTTTGGCAAGGTCATCTTTCTCTTTCTCTAGGCTGGTTGACTTGTTGTTAGACTCCTTCAGCTCAGTTCGGAGGGATGTCAACTCCGATTGTAGCGCTGCGATTGTTCGATCTTTCGCGTTGAGTCCTCTATCCCGGGCAGAGACTTCTGACTCTAGTCGAGCAGCTTCTGTCTTTGACTCATTCAATTCTCCTGTGAGCTGCTCAACTCTCGCCTCAAGATCGACTTTTCCCTTGCTGAGATCTGCATTTTCATCTGCGAAAGATTTGACTTGCCCAGACAGCGTGCCATTCAATCCCCGGAGTTGTCGAACTTGGTGGTCAGCGCGTAGGACCTTGTCTTGGACCTCCATTGCAAAATCCTTGACTCGCAAGGATGCGACCTCCCGCTGCAGGTTCTGACCAAGTTGCAGAAGTTTAGGATAGTGGATATGCTGCATAATGAGTCCTCCTGCGAGGTCAAAATATCGGAATGGAGATTGCACCGGCACGACAGAAGAGCTGCTAATACTACCGTCCTGGCTAGAAACAAGCATTTGTCAGTACAAATGACTGCGACGTAGTACGCTGCAACAACAGGAAGGAGCTTGACGAAATGTGCTGAACGAGTTGAGGAGAACGCCCGTTGGGTCCCATTCAAGACAAGAGAGGTGAGTGGACGTGACAATGTAGGTACGTACCTGCCCTGAAATTGATGCATTGTCTGTGGTGCGGGCACTCCTTGAGCACCCATATGAGTTGCACTCACTGGATACGGTGCCGGTGATGTAGCGGATGGAGGGCCTCTCCGTGACGTGGCCATCGGACGTTCCGCCGGAGGTGTCGGCATTGGAGGTCCGTTCGATGGTACAGAAGGTGTCCGAGGAGTCATCACCGGTGCGTGATGTTGCTGGATGTTCATCCTCTCGGCCTCTGATGAACCTGCTCTGACAAGGAGTAAAAGCTGGTACAGGCACTGATGAGGACCACTCTAGCAAGGCGTCTGCTGAATGTGACGACAGTAGTGAACCAGCAAAAAACGTAGTGAACCAGCAAAGAAGAGCAGAGACCGACGTAGTCGCTGCAAGACCACAGTGTGCAGATATAAGTCGAGTGGACAGGCAGTTAGAAGATATCCACGACCTACTGTGGCACAGATTAGGAGGTCGCGCTTGATGGCCGTTACAAGATTGCCTGGCCGCTGATAACTGCCACTCTCTGGCCCAGCCACGTTTACCCTGCGATACACTGTTCCGAAACATTGGAACCGCGGGATGCCGCATCTGGTCAGCTTCATGATAGCAGGCTCACCTGGTTCTAGCGCAGCAAACGTTGCGACTCGATTGCCGCCTGGAGTTATCATGCAACGTTGCTGACCTGAACATATAGCGAGTCGCCCACGGATCTTGTAAGACATCGAGACTCAAAGCCGCCTAGGGCAGAGTATGAAGGTACATCTCAGGAGTAGCACTCGCATCAAGTGAAGGACGACGCTGGACATGGATAGTGTTGCTAGCCACCAAAGTTGGAGGAGAGAAATGTATTTCTAACGACACCGGAAACGATTGCTAGTAGGATATAGAAGACAGAAATTAATGACGAGTTGCAGGTAGCTGCCTGAAACTACTGTAAAAGCATATCTCACACTCTCACATGTTGCCTTACCCATCTAGATCACGCTGTTTCTATGCAATAAAGCATGACTTGGTCATGAGATAATGGCTTGCATCCTGCTGGCATGACTGAAGTGTATTATTACAATTGTTCACGACTGTTTAGCATGTGCAGGCTTTTGGAAAGTGGAAAGGGCAGGCTAGCATCACTATGCTGTGTGCATACGAAGTATACAATTCAATCCGTGCATTTCTTGAGATGCTCTAAACGCGCACTCTCTGTACGTGCCTTCTTACTCGTTGGGCTGGGAATCTTGCAGCTAGAACTTGGCTTCCGCTTCCGCAGCTGTGCTGTCTCGGCGTTTCCTCGAGTCGGAGTCGGTAGCTTTGGAGCGTCTTTCGACGGCTGTGCTGTCTCCGCTGGGACAGGAGCGGCATGCCTCGGCTGTTGGAGGAGCTCTTGAACTGATCCTGATGGTGGTTTCGGCTCGGTGCTGGCATGACGAGTGGCCCCGTCTGCCTGCTTCTGAGCCATTCGGGACACTCGGCCCTGCTCGGCGCTGTCACGAGTCGCAGCGCCGTCCGCAAGCTGTTGGGGTGGCTGAACCATCTCTGTGTTGGCATGACTCCGAGGATGGATGTATGCGCCAATCTGCTCGAACGCATCTCTTGAGCAATTCCACAACGTACGTGCTTTCTTGAGATCTTCCTCTTGCTCTTCATTGCGCTCCTGCAGCTCTTCTACCGTGGCCTCAGCCTCATCAACTTTGCGGCGGTGTGAGCCTGCTCCTGCTTCAGCTCGGCTTCCTGGCGCCGAAGAGCTTGCTCGTGTGCCGTTCGCTGCTCGTTGATCTGTTTGTCTTTCTTGGCGAGATCATCGGTATATCTGCGGTGGGCTTCGTCGGCAATCTTCTTCTGCTTCTTCATTTCTGCTTTCTGGCTTTCCAAGGTCTTCTTGAGCGCCTCATTTGTGGCTTTAAGACCATTGTTCTCTGCAGTGTATGTGTTGAGGGTGTTGCCTCTCTTTTCAGCTTTGTCCTTCCACTCTTTTTCGGACTTCATCAACGCCGCATTGACGATCTCGTGGTCTTGTTGCTCCTGCTCGGCTTGTTCTCTGACCTGTCGAAGCTCGTTTCGAAGCTGTGAGCGGTCTTGTTCCAGGCTGATGATGGTAGCTGCGTGTCTGTTTATTGTTCGGTTGTGGGCGGCGATCTGCTCGCTCAAGGCCTTCGCGCTGAATTGAAGACGCTTATGTTCTACGTTTAGTGCACGAAACTGCTCCTCTAATGCGCAACCGCTGTCTTTCAGCGACTCGTGTTCTTGGCGAAGCGTACGATGCTGTTCCTCTAGTCTACTGGCGTCATCAGTCTTGACCTTGAGCTCAGTTTGAAGCTGCTGGTGTTCTTCGGTGAGAGCACGATGCTGCTCCTCAAGTTGATTGGCGTCATCAGTCTTCATCTCGAGCTCATCTTGAAGCTGCTGGCTTTCTTCGGTGAGCTTGCAATACTGTCTCTCAAGTTCGCGAACATCGTCAGTCTTGGCCTTCAACTCAGCCCGAACCTGGTGCAAGTCGGAATCGAAATTCGCAATCTTCTTATCTGTTTCCGCTTTTGCTTCCGCAGCAGCAGCGACCTGCTGAGCTGAAGCAGACGATCGGACCTCTTCCGTGGCCAGATCTTCGTGGAGCTGCGTGATTTGGCGATTCCGATTGTCAAGTGTTTGGTTGAGGTTGTCCTTCTCTGTCTGCAAATCGCGGATCCAGTTTTCGAGTTCACCACTCTTTTCCATCAGGTCGTCGAACCTTCGCTGCAGACTGTCGAGCTTAGCTTCATGTGCCGCTGCCTGAGATGCGGCATGCTCGGAGCGTAAGTTGGCAAGCAATCGCTGCTCCTCCTTCTGCAGCACATGATATTTGAGTCGCCTCAGCGAGTCTTCGAATTGTATCTGCTCGCTGAGGCGCTCGACCAAAGGAGCCACGATACCGCGTGCAAATGGAGTCATCGCGATATATGGGAATCTAGCCTCGACCACTGAGATCCTACGGGCGAAGGGCTCATTGCCACTGCCGATGCTAACTCTGAGTAGCTTCGTCAGTCGTAGCAAGTACGGCGTGGGAGACTAGGAGGTGTAGATGGAAGCCACAAGGTTTTCTCGACCGGACACCATCCTAGAAACGTGGAAGGGAGCAGAACTGGCTGACCACATACCTGCCGCGTGGGATCTCTGTCGCGAGTGTTATTATCTCCATGCTGTCGTGCGGAGCCTCGCATAGCCGTTGTTGCTGTGAGATGTTGTCCATGGTGTTCTCTTTGTATGCGTATGATGTTCTCTTTGTATGCGTATGATGAAGTATGCTGATGATTCTGATTCTCCAGAGGAGTGGAGGGACGGGGTTGAGGGTGAGGGAATGATGAGGCACGGGGAAGGGACAGGTTGCCTGGAGCGTTGATTGCTTTGATCTGCTTGGTGCGTGAGTGGGTTGGTGAACGGCGACGAGACAGTGGAGCTGCCCCTCAAGTCGGCGCTTGAGAGGTGTGCATAGCAGAGAAACGAATGATCACAGTGTCCCTGAGAAGTGCCGTCGTCGTTATGGTTCGCATGAAAAGTGGACAGAACACAGCGCACGGTACATAGAGGCGTCTCTAGGACGTGCTTCTCCTACCTTGCCAGATATTCTGACCACCAGAGCCCGTCCAACTTTCATCCAGCCATGTTTGCTCTGCGACGAACCGTCCCGAAACATTGGAACTGCGGGACGAAGCATCTGGTCATGTTTGCCTCTAGTAACTCACCTACTGCAGCGCAGCAATTCCGGGTACTCAGACATCGTCTCTATCGGTCGCACAAGGATACATGTCTGTATGGGACCCGTCTAGGAAGCCTGAATATATCAGGACATCAGGCCGTTGAGTTGAGAGAGTGTTGATCACGTCTTGAGAGCTGAAGTGCAGCAAGTCGATGGCGATGACGGGCAGTGATCCTAGCCGCTCAAGTTGCGAGACGTGCTAGGTTTGGACCTGCTGATACCCGTCAACAGTTCCAGAACGTCGTTCTTATGGAGACGCCAGAAGTGATTGCTGGTAGGATCGTGGACGAAAATCGATGATGCGGTTCGGGCGGCTGCCTGAAACTATGCCGAGGCTGGACACTGTGAAAGCGTATCTCAAGCGTGTTAGTCCGGAATCGCGCATCTTCTGATGCGAACGACCATTGACCAGCTACGCGCACCTTACGAGATACGCGATGGCTCTCATGAGAGAAATACAGTATTGAGGAACAGGTCAGCCAGAATTGCAAACCGTGCCGGGTTAGCGGCATGTCCTCCCTTGCAGCCGGCTCGTAAGATTGGGCTTTCGCTTAGTTCATACTGGGTGAATAACGTGACCCCAGACACTTGGCAAATTTCTAATGAATTCCCCAACAATTTTCTCACGGACCAACGATCGGTCTGGGGAGAGCTGCCTAATGGTTCCTTGATTTATTGAAGATTTCCTCGATAAGACCTCAAGAAATCGTCAAAGAGCTTCGCGACGCAGATTACGCCGTAGGCAGCAATTCAATCGCGACACGGCGGCTTTTGACACAGCCAAAGTAATTGGACGTGTTCACTGCCAAAGCCGTGACGCGCCTGCCTCATCCGCCAGATTCCGCCACCTTCCTGCCTCAATTCTACACCGCCCACGCGTGTTTCATACATCGCCACCTTGCTTCTGCCAACGAAGTATTCTCTTATCGAGCATGCAATACTTCCTGCCGGCTTCTGCTGTGTCGTTCCGTTCATTCTAGCCGTCGCTGGCGCTGCCATCGTCTCCCTTCCTATGGCGCGCATGATCGTCCTCGCTGGCGCCCCGGAGACAGGGAGTCTTGATTGGAGCGAGAAGTCGTTGTCACCTAGCACTCACCTTGAGGTGGTTTCACAGTCCACCGATTCAACCACCGTCAACAAACCCTCCTGGAGACAGCTCAACACTGAGAAGCTCTCCATGCGGCCAATTCTGCCAAAGCTCGATATCGGTCGGCGTCCGCCAACTCAATCTGATACTCAAGCCACCGAGTTCTTCACACCTTCCGACTTTATCGCTCAGGAATCTCCTGGTAGTGATGTCAGCGCCGAAGAGTCGCGCTCAAATCCTTCTGGCACTTCAGTCGAGTCGTCGCCCGAAGCGCTATCGGACTTTTACGACCATTCCTTTGCCATTCACGAAGCGATACCTTCGACGGAACTGTCTCAGATTTCCGATGCACCACCACAGACGCCATATATGAGTCCAGCCAAGACATGGCGACTCCATCAACTCCAGGCATTATTCGCACCCCATCACAACGTCGCTTGAGTCAGGCGCCTCGACCGAATCTGCTCACTGATTTGTCTCGGATACCCAACGCAGCTTATCTGGACTCAATTCAACCACAAACCATGACAGTGAACTTGGTGGTCGGTATCCTGGCCATATCGCCGCCTCGTCGTGTCACGACTGGAAAAGCATACAACAGACCGCGACAAGCCGAGCTTGTTGAGCTGACGCTTGGCGATGATTCCCGCACTGGTTTTAACGTTACTCTGTGGATGCCACCTAACATGCATGTGGGTTGGCGCGATAACGCTGATCAGAATCTCAACCAGACCGGCGCTCGCAGCAATCTTCGTCGTGCTGTGAAAGAATTGCGACCTAGGGACATTATTATGTTGCAGCACGTCGCGCTCAGCTCGTACCGTGGAAAGGTGCACGGACAAAGCCTGAAAGGCGACGTGACAAAAATAGATCTGCTGTACCGAAAGAAAGTCGACGAAGACGACATGCAGGGTTGCTATACTGTCAGCAACTTGCGCAACCCGACCGATCCTCAGCTCAAGAAAGTCAAGGCTGTCCGAGATTGGATGTCCGAATTCGTCGGCGATGCGGACGGAGGGAGAGCAAGGGCAAAGAAAGGCAAGAAAATGGGCCGTATGATGCTGCCGGATGATACTCAGTAGTAAGCACGCCGCGGGTCGCGTGCCGATGGTGGATTTTGCCCCGCGAATTGGGCATATATGTGATACCCATGTAACAACAAGCAAGCTTGAGGACCACAGCGGCCCAGACACGAGACCCACGAGCAAGACTCAGTTCCGAATGTCCTACAGCAAGTCCTTGGTGAAGCGAAACGAGACTCCGATACTTAGCCCGCGCAATAGGCGCATATTGTTTAGCTTATGCTCCGAGCTTTCGGGGCCTGTTAGCAAATGAATAGTAATATCTTCAGTAATTTGTCCCATCCTACGGCTACTTTGTTTAGCAGTAATCTGTAGTGGGTGTGAAAAGCCATCGTTGGCAGCTGCTTAGAGACTGCAGGCGAGGCGAGGTGGCAAGTGCGTGTCCGGAATACGAGCAACTTTTCGAGGGTCGAAGTAGGAGAAAATGAAGACATAAGCAGGCGGGAGGGCCTCTACATATATCGTTCGATCCTCGCGAGCAGGCGAGAGGTCTAGATAGACTTCGTTTGAACATGGCTGAGAGCAGGCAGAGGAGATCGAGAAACCTGGCATGTGCGTGGAAAATCCGGGGTCAAATAGACTCAGGACAAGAACCTGGGGTGGAGAATATCCATACAAGAATTGTCACATGTCAGCGTGATTTCATGGGGAGCACGAAAAGGATGGTGCGTCGGCTGTAATAATCTCCTGTCGAAAAGAACCCCCGGAAGGGATCAGCTCCTGGATTGCTCATAAGCTGCGTCATGCAGCATGCTTTGATACAAGTGACCTGTCGACTCGCACGTCCCAGGCGTTGTGCGAGCCATGGAAACGATCACTGCGGAAGGCTCGGACTAGGATCGAGGACAGATCATGCCTATCACAGGAACTTGCGAAGCGCACTTGTATACTGCAAGTGGTGGCCTTCGGCCGTTCTCAATGGCAATAAAATCATGCCAGGACTGCCGAAGCAATTGTCAAACGAGTGCAAAGGCTCAGAGCATTGCGGCTGTCACGTGATCAAGGTTCGAGAGTTTCGTTCGGATTGGTTGGATGGCACGGTCCGCTAAGCCACGTCTTTCTTTCTGGTGCTGAAGGGAAACACTAACCTCTATCATTGTTGCTTTGCCCGCGAGTGATCTTTTCCTGTCACTTCAAACGTGCAACGACCTGCCTGACTCTTGGCCAAATCGCTTGCCGGGCTGCTTGCTGCTTGTCGATTGCCGCGAAGGTCGCAATAGCTGTGCGCGCTCTTCGACTTGCAGCTTCTACTCATCGTAGGCCTCCTCCACCTCGGATTGATACTCTACCTTGTGTTAGCTAGCCAGTCAAAATGTCGCGGACAGGGGAGAACATACCCTCATGAGCATCCGCCAGATCCTCCCTCGCTTCCTCAATGTCAGAGCTGCTGCCAGATGCGAGAGCCTCATTGTAGTCTTGCTGCGCGTCGCGAACATCATCTCCCGCTTCTCCGATATCTTCGCGATCACTGCCAGAAAGATTCGGGTCCGCTTCGGGAGGAGGAGGAGGCACGCCACCAGGGCCGCCATACATACTGGGGTCGGAACCGGGAGGGGCGCTGGCGTAGCTGGTCTGTGCGACTTGATTGCCGTTCTCGTCTTCGGTCATCTCATGAGCGATCCAGGCGCCTCCTGCAGCTCCGACGGCTGCACCTGCGACACCGGCCATCATTGGATTCATGCCCTTCTTCTCCTGATGTTGTCCCGGTCCAGAGCCTGGCGCACCGTAACCTGGGTACTGGCCTGGATAGCCTTGACCATATTGTCCATATCCTTCAGCACCACGGTTCTGATCGTGACTGCGAATGTTAGCGCTGCCTCTGCTTCTATGTATTCGACCACTGACCCATATTGACCAGGAGGACCACCCATTGGCGGAGGAGAGAAAGCTGGCGGCTCCCATTGTGAACGACCGCTGGGATTGACCCAATACCTAATAAACGTCAGCAATGTCAAGACGCTGGGAAAGACAGCATTTACCATCTCTGACTGTTCCCGTCCCATTGCTTGCGCCAGCCAGGAGGAAGCGGCGGCTCTCCAGGAGGACCGTAGCCTTGCTGAGGAGGTGCGGCACCGCCGTGTCCATACTGTTGGTTGTTGTTCTGCTGACCGCCTTGGAAATAGGAATCGGATGCGCTTCGATTATCTGCTCGTGCAAGTTAGTGCTGGCCTGCAGCGATGGGGAGTGCTCTGACCGTGTCCGCCTTGGCCGTGATGGTCGTCTTTCTTGTCGTCGTCCAGTACCTCTTTCAACTTCTCCTTAGCCTTCTTGAAGAAATCCATCTCGACAGGATTACGATGCACGAATTGGATAGAAGCAGGTTCGGACTGTCTCACGGACACTGGTTGCTGGTGAGTGAGAAGTGCGAAAGGACAATTGAAAAAGTAGTAGCTGGGTAACGATGCAAGTGTCCTGCCCCACCATAGACCAAACAGACCAGACAACGCGATCACAGTCACCAACCTTGCAAGGGGGAATGATACTTGGTCCACCTACTTATGCCCTGGCTCGTGAAGTCGGCAGCCCATATTTCTTCACTTACGACAGTCACTGGGAGACAACCCCAGCAGCCAAGCTACTGGCATTCGCTGCACTACTTTCCGAACGGATATCAGATATCACTGCCACGGCTGCTGGCTTCGTTGGATGCAGTGTACCACAGTGCGCCATTGACTCCTCACCTATGTGTTGTTCGATCGATGCTGATTGGCTGTGCAGACAACGCATCTGTTGGACGGATGCCCACTTCACATGCACGTGCAGGCATGCCCAACACCTCGCAGTCCAAAATGTTAAGCAGCCATAAGCAAGCGGCTGCTACCGCAAAGCCATCAGCGGAAACAACATGCCTTCTACCTCACCCAAGTCAAACCACCAGGCAGCAGCACCCTCGTTGTTCTGCTGCGAGATACGGGGACACCTGGACCCGTCGTGAAGAAAGCACAGCATCTCGTCCCCCTGGAGTCCATTATCTGCATATGACGGTCATCTCGCGGTGCACCATCCCATTTCGTTCCTGCATGGCTTCTTGGATCTCCTACCACTAGCCTGCTTTCGTCAGCGCAGCCAAGAGGTGTACGTATGCTTTCGCTTGGCCTTTGCGAAAAGGCTGGAATCGACTCGCTGTCTACATCTTCTGAGTCCAGGGTTTTCGTGATGTACATCGCTTTTTTCCCTCGCTGTGTACCTGTACCTAGGTACGAACTATCCTGCCAAGCCGGCCAAGGCGGCTCTTAGCGAGGCAGCTCTGTCTTTGCTTGACGCTCACCCGTTTGTCTCTGGGTTCAGGCAATCGCGACCCTCTGGCAGCGACCAGCCAGCAAGCTGCAAGGCAAGACCTATGCCACTATTTCCACCTCGACTTACACAAGCAAGTCGTCTGGCCTCTGTTGTCGGTGACAGGGACAGGCGTGATGTCGTTGATTGTGTTTCCGAGCTGCTACAGTGAGCCTTTCTAAAATGTATGTCTGCTCCAAGTCCACGAGTGAAAGGACTATCGGAAACGACACTGTCAATCCGTGGGTCCGAACGCGCGGGCAGTGATTCAACCACCTCTGGTGCGAACATCTCGTCACTGCCAGCTGTCCAGGCGCGATCCGGGCCGCGAACCAATACTGCCCAGTAGCGTTGACACATTGCATGACTTCTCAGCACTGTCTGTGCGCTTCAGAAGAGGCGACATCTCGACAGGACAGGAGAAGTGCCTTGCACGGCCGAGAAAGCGGCACTTCCCAAACAAGAGTTTCGATGACAAAGAATCTTCAGATGCAAAAATTCAATTCGTTACAAGCGGCTATCCGACGACGCGACTGCGAGCAACGAAGGCACACAGGTCAGAAGTTGCGCAATATGTATCGAAGCGATGCCCATAAGGACCTCCGGGGCGATCCCGAGATCAGTCACGTGTCTGACTGGTAAAAGAAGACCCGAAGGACGAGAAGGGTTCGATTTTACCGTATGCATTCCACCTGTTCGCGCTGTCGTATGTCCTCCTCCTTCGAACATCCGCTAAGCGCATCGCTGTTCCCCCTTGCGGCGACTTTAGGATACACTTTTACAGCTGGAACCTAGCACAATTGCGGCTTCAACGGCTTCAAGTCAACCGGGAACCACGCAGCACTTGTTGGTGAAGCGACGAGCCTTACGAAAATAGGCACCGGTCGAGGCTATTTTTTCGAAATGTTCGAGAGCTTTTGGCTTGCTTGCTCAACGCACAGCATCGAGCTGCTAACGGGCATTAACAGGGATCAGGCTTTCAGCAACGCCGAGGTGCTGACTTTGCGCAAGACAAGCAGAGTCGTGGATAATGGTCTAATCAGCTGCAGACCGAGGCCCCAGATATCGTTGTCGACCGAACTGGAACGACTCATTAAATTATGCGGAAGTCCGCAGCCGAAACCTCACAGACTGACAACAAATTAGGCGACGTGAATCCGTATTCAGCTCTGCCCTGAACGCCTTCCACTCAACCCTAAGAAAGGGGCGCCAAATCAGTCGTTAGCACAACTAGCCAAAATTCCGCGATTTGCGGGAAACTCCAAATAACCTTCAAGCCTCGTGTTCTGGCCCGGGACTGGCCAGCTCAACTTTCTCTTAGTCTAATATGCACCTCACCGGCGCAGGACTCGCTTGCATCTAACGTACAGAAGCAGCGTAGTTCGTTGAGACATGCATATGCTTCTCAAAGTTTCGAAAAGCAAAATGATCAATACAAAAGCATGTTGGCCGCTCAGTCCGAGCAGAGCTGTTACCACACTCGCCCTAACGACTGAACGGCTCACACGCTTCGACGATGGGTGAAAAGGCACAGGTCAAAGCAGAAGTGTCATCGGTGCACGAGGAGCCCGCTGCAGTCGAGGCCGCTTTCGTGACGCCCGAGCGGAAGCTGAAGCGTGCGATATACGCTATCGTTGGTGGTGTCGCTTTGCCGTGCATACCCATCCTTGTCATTACCGGCGTCCTCCTCTATTTCATCTTTCATCATCGCGTCAATCTGAACGAAGGTCTAGCTGAGTTCGCACCAGCAAAAACGGCCGTTCATCGAGACGATGCGGCAGCATGGATTGACTATATCAAAAAGCAAGGCTTCGGGCCTGCCTATTACGTGGCATACAACCCGTCCACTCTCACCACTATCGCCAGTTGGACCAGCAGAGTTATCCCATATCTTTCAAGCTCCATCATGGCTCTTGTAGCCTTCTTCTCCGCGCGACACATCGTTCTCAAGTCAACCCGTGGCGATGATAGCGGTATCCATTTGCCTACACCAGAGCAGCTCACTTTGCTCATCAACATGTTGAACGGCAGCGGATTTGGTCCGCTGAAGGACACGGCCATTCACAGATTCCGCAGGAAGGAGAGATTGATCTCGCCACTGCCCGCTGCATTCTCAGCATTGTTCTGCATTACCACTCTAGGACTGCTTATTCCGCTCGTCGACTCGTGGTTCGGTATTGCCACAAAGCCTGTCACCATTCAGCAGGTTGTTACTGGTCACCAGAACTACAGCAGCTTCGGCAGAACGTTCTCCTATGAGAGATTCCCTTCCGGGCCTAGGGACAACGGCACTAGCAATAGCAACAACGTTCAAAACGCATGGTGGCCTGCGACCCTAATGTCTCCCAACGGGCACGGATCCTGGTTTCTGAATCTGTACGACGCCATCAAAGTGGTCTACGACACCTCGAACGAGCATAAAATCTTGAATTACACTGATGCATCTGGTGCGCAGTATCTCTATCTTGGTGACAACGCGATGGGTCCGTCTCTCGACTTCAAGGCCAAGACAATGGGCGTCTCCGCCCATTGTTTTCCGATGACCCAATTATGCTATTCCAACTTTGCCGGCAATGGCGGCTATCTGTTTAATTGCACACCAGCCTTCTCTGGGTATTTGGCACAAAATGTCTTGAACTCATCAGCAAACCTAGACGACGCGTACGGGCTGTCTGGCACGGGCGGACCCCGTGTCGGCGTTGCTTTTGCACAAAATACCGAGCTCACCATTGCCGGTGGAGAGACGTGGATGCCTTCCAATGGGATGATAGGAATCTGGAAGCCTGGTGATCCAATGGTCGAAGGCTCGAATATGACGGAGGTGTACCCAACAAACCCGTTGTATTGGGGTGCTTGGGCCCAAGAATATCCGGCCGCCAACTATGGTGGCGATGATCAACCTTTCCAGAACGACACAGGCGTGGCGTACAGTAACTCGCTCGACGGCGGAGCTAATTGGATGTTCAATTGCTCGACCTCGGTTTGGGACATCTCTTACAGCTGGGTGAACGGATCGGTACATTCATTCAACAAGACCCTAGCCTCTACAGACATGGGAGGTCTCTTCAGCGCTCCCCCTGCCTTTGCCTACAACAATCTGGTGATACAGGATGCCATCGAAGCCGCAGCTGCGACCGCTGCGTACTCTGGCAACAACTCGCGCGCTATCGCGGACCGATTCTCTTGGGAGTTCTCAAGAGTCATGCTCGCACTAGCAACAGCAGCTTTGGATCCTGCCAGAAACGAGTTGGAGCAGATCCGCTTGCCACATGAAATAGTGGCACGGATTCCGCTGGCACCATTCTATCTTTTGCTCTTCACCAAGGGACTATACGTGGTTGGAGTCATCATCCTAGCCATCGGCGCGTACTGCTTCACCCATCCAGCTGAGACCGAGGCAGTCAGGGACCAGCTGTCAGTCAAGGGCCTCACTGCGGCACATTTCAACAACCCGAATATGCAGCGGGAGAATGTTGTGAAACACTTGCAAGACCGCATCGATATGGCTAAAGGTGCAGGTACCATCGTCAGCGAAGACGTCATTGAAAAGACGTCGGACCCAGATCGACCGGAGGGATTAAGGCTGAGGCACGCAGCAACTGAGCCGGCATTGGGAAGCGGACTGAAGCAGGAAGAGGCGGCCCAGGAGAACAAGACAAGGGTAGGCCTGCTGCCAACAGCCCAGGGCACTTGGGAATTCGTCTTGCTGGCGGACGGGGCTTGGAACAGCATAAAGCCTATCGTGAAGAGTCTCGTGTTCCAAGAGTCTGCGCAGGGGCAATTTGGCGAAGCAGGGAAGATCATCAATGCCTGGCATTGATGTGTATGAGTTTACGAACTGTCATGAGGAGCACTTGAGCGTTCGTGTTGCATAGCAAGACTGCCAATGCATTTTTTGAACAATTACTTTGGGCAGGTGACTAGCTATTCAGGAAGAACCTTATTGGCTTCTATCTGTTCCGTCGGCCGCTTCTAAATTGCCGTTTCACTTCCCTGGGCGCTATGTTGCCTCCTGGGGTCGCACAGGCACCAGAACATGACGAGACTGGGGAAAATGCGGGCGTCCGCTTTTGACCAAGGGGAGCCCTAGGGGCACGAATGTTGATGTTGCGGCTGGATGATCAATATTTGATAGTGCAGACGTTGCTAGGGCTCGCGAAAGCTGCACCTTGGCAATGTCCTCCAGTCAGTACGAAATACAAGTGTATGGCAGGTACGCGATACATCCTGCAGGCGCATACAATCCATGCTGAAATGCGAAGGAAAACACCCTTGATGATTGTTCCGCAATGATCGAGCACTCAAGCAGGTGGAGCCCACCGTGAGTAAGTGTCATTTTCATCAAAGTGGCACCAGTGTCCAGGTGCCGGAATTGGACACAAACAGACCAAGGTATTCTCATTCTGTCGACTTGTCATGTTCACCATATTATCGTGATGTACAGGCCGCTCACTTCGCATGATCCTTCACTGATCTGGCCTCATGCGCGATTGTATACTCCACGCTCTTAGTGATCCAGTTGTTTCCGCGGTCATCAGCTCCATCGCTACCACTCTGGCTGTCCGTCCGTCCTTGTTGTTGTGCTTTGAGAATGTGTCTCTGATCTTCTTCTTCCAGACTTTCAACGTCGTCGTGATCCCGGACGCGAATCGCAGGCGCATGCTTGCCAAACTCATCGTCAGGGAGTCTAGACTGACGAGTCCGACCATATGACTGTAGTGCATAGGTTGGCGTTCCTCCTGTGGAGGTGTTGAGGCCTGACTTCACGTGGAACCATTGTCGCAGGATGCGTTCGAATTGTGCCTTCAGTGGTGGCAGTGAGGAAGCGATGAGACCAGCATTGAACTCAGCCCGAGCCCAGATCGTGATAAGCACACCATCATCTGTTCTGTTAGCCTGGCATCGGGAAGATCTGATTGTGCTTGCTTACGAGTCGGGTCAGTTGTTCGTCTGAGCTTGGGCAGCTCGAAGCACTTGGCTATGGCACAGGCTGTGCCGATAGACCAACAAGGAAGACAGCTCGAAGTGCCCATCTGTTATATCTCGAGACTTTGACTGTGTGGAGGTAGTAGATCGGGCCCAAAGAGTAGAACAGGTCGGTGACCTGACTGATTAGCCATGACCCCAGTAGAGGGTGAGCATACGTACGATGTTGCCGGTTGTCTGGATGTAAGAGGCCACCACGTTGACTATTGGCGGGTTGCAGTCTGCTTGTATGCCTTTGTTCCAGATCCCCTGGATGGGCCGGCAGCCAAACAGACTTCCTACCAGCACCATCATGTTGCAGATGACAGATATAGCGATGGACACCCAGACAATGGCTGTCATGCCCTTTCCCAATTGCAGTCGAAGCAGGGAGAAGCCGATGCTAAGTTTGACAAACGCCATGGCAAAGCCATTATCCAGCACTGCGAAATTCGAGAACTTGTTGGCATCGATCTTCTGCTGGGGGTTTAACTTTGCCATCGACTTCCCATAGCCACTCTGGTACATGCATATGCTCAAGGCCAGAGATACGACACTGGCAGCCTGTATCGATCAGCGACAGACCTGCAAGAAGGCAGAGCACATACCAACGCAGCAACGATGAAATGGTCATCCCAACCACTCGCCTTCGACGAGACATATCGCACCCATAGTCGAGCCACAGCAAACGCACCGCCTATGACGGTCAGTAAGACCGTGGAAACAATCAACTCCGTATTGCGATCTGGTTTATCCATTGTACACGAACGCTTCCATAAGGCTTCTGCTGATCTGTGGCATCGTGGTCCTCATATTTAGTGTCTTGTTCAGGTTCGTTGGAAGCGTACGAAGCGAGGTCACCGCCGATCTTCTTCGTAGGTAGTCATGCCTACCGACAGGGTCTCGACTTTCGATGCACCATGTCTCGCCCCTGACGATTGCTAGAGGCATCGACGGTAGCATCGGGTCACCAGGAGAGCTCTCCGGTAGTGCGGTTTGAATGCATAATGAGATGATGCTTGTTGGCCAAGGCTCTTGACTGATTGACGGACGAATGCCAACAATCTTGCCTAGCTTGATTAATGCAAGGTACATAGTGGGGAATGCCGGAGTGTCAGGACTTTGTTTCCAGTACTCAGGAGGTCGAAGTATCTTGATAAGTTGTCAGGCTGTCGCTTCCAGATCATTAGACAAAGCAGGCGAAGGTCATGACTCGCCACGACGCGAGCATTGCAAAATGCGGGTTCATACACATGTGGCATGATTTCCGGGCAGCCTGTTCAGCTTCAACCACAGCTCGACCATCAAGATATCCGAGGCTCAGAAGTGGATCAGGAAGACCTTCCTGGAATTCCGGATTAGCGTTATACAGTTCAATATCAGTTAGCTGGCCCGTAAAAGTTCGTTGTGCGAATCCTCGTCGATGTTGTCTGGAAATGTCCTACGGCAATTGCAGACGAGCCAGCATAGCGGCACGCAATTCAGATGTAGTGTGTAGCTGCTGCTGTGAAAAATGATGTCTTACCTCGTGTAGGACCATCTGCATGCTAGTCGGCTCATCAGGCAATACCTGTCTTGGTAAGTCAGTGTTCTCCTCGAAACGCATCGTGGCCCCCCGAAGTGCATAATTCCGAATCGTCTCGCTTAACGATACGCTCTTCTTCTGCGACTGTCCTGTCGTTATCGGGGCGGCTCCAGCGCTCTTCCAATGGGATCGTGCCTGGTATACTAACCAAGGCAGCGACTTGTCGATGTCACTGCTTTCGTGACTGGTATCTTGGAAGTAAGTACACAATGGCTGTACGAGGGCATGTAGCCAGGCAGAGGCGCATGCTTGCCGGCCACAATGCCGTTGCACATCGCAGAACAACATTTCGAACCGATGGAGTGCTAAGTCGCAGTTTAGCTGGTGTTTGAGCCGGGGATGCAACCAGCCGGCGTGTCGTTTGCCCAAGGTTAGTGCAGCGGAAAAGCTCGGCAGAAAGTCAATTTTAGAGTAGACTTGGCGTTGGTCGGGGGTTGTTTCCGTCTCGAACTCCCCGTTTCTGTCCCATGTTGCTCGGCGCTGTGATCTTCGAACGCTCAACGACAAGTGCCTGGCTCTCACTTCGCGATACTGAGGATCGTGAGCACATGTCAGACTCGTTTGAAAGTGAAGCGTTGCTCTTCATCGATTGTGCACACACGGAACGGCAACGTCGACTCCCCTGACTACGAGAAGGATACGAATTCTCAATGCAACGATCTGCACTGTGCCTGCATGCTCCATCGAATCACAGTTCCCTGCTATCTACTGCTTGGCACTTGGCACAACAAGCTCCGTCGACCTTGAACAACCCAATTTCTTGGAAGCACGAACGGAGCTGGAGACTAGCTGCTGATCCATGGTTCTCTGAAGCGAGTCTGGCGCCGACCGTCTCGGCGAGCGTTCGCTTCTGGATAAAGCTGGTCTATCGTCTGTTGTTCGTCCCACTTACATGCTCTGATCGGTGCGATGTCAGCGGCTTGTGAACAATCGCGGTGTGCAATGACTGATGGATCACTCATCAGTCTGACTATGCCCACAACTGCTCCAGTATGCCACTGAGCTCATGCTACTTGCGGTCAACTGAACGAGAAGTTTGGTTGTATTGTTTGACACCAGAAATCCCGGGCTAGTGCCTGAGCCATCGGCCATGCCGCATATGGTCTGTCATGACTCGTGCCCAAGTCGCAATCTTTTGATTCAGGAATCAGCTAGTGGCCACAAGTCTGCACAGTACAGTCGGCTAAGTGCTACAGACTGGAGTCGGGTATTACTTCGGTACTGCCTCTCGAGAACACCTATTATCAGATACCCTGCTCGAGAAGCATCCAATCTGCCTGGGCGCTCTTCTTCTATGCCACAGCAGAGCTCCTATCTGTGTTATTAGTTGTCTCGCATGAATGCTTCCGAAGAGCATGAATCCGCTTTGCTGGCCATGGCAAATTCGCAGTATCCAGAGTCCAGATTCCAGAAGCGTATGCCACGTGTATCGACGGAACAGCGTGACCGAATCAGGTACACTAGCTCTTGACGATCATGGTGGTCTACCTAGGGTTCACCCATGTAGATATAGACTTCCTACTTCCACCTGCCTTTCTTCGACACCACCAGCGACTTCTCTTCATCCTGAGCCTATACATTCGTTTTTGGGTTTCGAACCTGTCCACTCATTACCTTATACCGACTCTGTACATTCGTTCTTGAATACCGACCTTGTTCACTCGTTCCCAGAAAGCAGCCCAGCCCGCACGTCTGTAACTTGGACCTTCAGTTGCCCCAGCCCAGAGCTCAGTCAAGATGAGGTCAGAAGTCGCAATCTTAGCTATTGCGGCAGTCGCATCGGCCTTGCCTCAACCACCCCCGCCTCCACCACCAGCGCCCAAAGTCAACGAATATGACTATGTCATCGTCGGTGGTGGGCTGAGCGGCCTCGTTGCAGCCACTCGTCTGTCCGAAGACAGCAAGAAGTCTGTTGTCGTCCTGGAATACGGCCCAATCGTCCGTACCAATATTACCCGGATTCCGTACTATGGCACGCAACTCAACCTGGCCGGCATGCACCCCATCACTTCTAACCCGGAACCATACCATAAAGGCCGCAGCTATGCCGTTCGGGCGGGCGCAATTGCTGGCGGTGGCTCCCAGGTGAATGGCATGCAGTGGGATCTGGCGTCGGCCGCCGATTATAACGAATGGGAAGCTCTTAGCAACCCAGGCTGGGGTTGGGACGGTCTCCAGCCTTACTACAAGAAAGCCGCCACGTTCGAACCTCCGCCAGCTGCCATCCAAGCCAAGTATAACTACTCGTACGACCTGTCAGCATATGGCTCGAACTCACCTGCACATGCTAGTTTTCCGCATTTCCAGTATCCGGACCTGTACAACTTCAAAGATGCGATGGATGAATTGGACATCCCATTCGTCAAGGAGCATGCTCTTGGCAACGCTGTTGGTCAGTACTGGACGCCTGCGTCAAAGAACGAGGCAACTCAGACACGCTCGTCCTCCCTGTACAACTATTACGACCGCGTCTCAGGACGGTCCAATCTGAAACTCCTTCCTATGCACCAGGCCACCGAGATCATCTTCAAGCAAGAGCCTAAGGAACTGAAGGCAACTGGTGTCAAGGTCCTTAACCGGTCTACCAACCAGACCATCGAGTTCAAGGCAAAGAAGGAACTCATTCTCGCGGCAGGAGCGGTCCTCACTCCTCACTTGCTTCAACTGAGCGGTATTGGTCCCAAATCGGTTCTCGATGCCGCCGGTATCAAGACCAAGCTCGACTTCCCCGCAGTGGGCAGCAACTTCCAGGATCACCCAACTGCTTACCTCAACTGGAACTTGACCAACACCTTCCCTCGCCCGACTGAACTGACGACTAACGCCACATTCTTCGCGGAGGCATACCGTCTCTACCATGAGAAGAAGACTGGCCCGCTGACAAAAGCGCAAGCCAATTTTGTCGGTTTCCTGTCACTAGAGATGGTCACGTCCGAGGCTTCTGCACTTATTGCTGCTGCCGAGGTCGAGAGTACCGATCACTTACCAGCCATTTACAAGTCTAACCCTCAGTTGCTCGCTGGCTATGAAGCTCAACGTGACCTGCTCCTCAAAGACATCGCCGCAGGCTCTGTAGCGGTTCTCGAGTTCCCTGTCAGTGGTGGCGGCTTTCAGCCAATGCCATGCAGAAGCCCTTGTCGCGTGGAACCGTCCATCTCAATGCGACCAACCCCATGGGCTATCCCAACGTCACACACTACTCCATGGGGAGTGCCTTCGATCGCGCATCTATCTTCGAATATGTCGAGTTTAGCCGCAAGCTATTCGGGTCGGAGGCGATGAGCTCGCTCAACCCGGCCGAAGTCACACCTGGTCCCCAATACACGACGGAAGAGGCGGTGCTGGAGCGCCTGATTAGTGCTGGCTCGCTCACCCCAACCTTTAGCCATCCCAGCGGTAGCTGCCCAATGATGCCGAAGGAGTTGGGAGGTGTCGTGGACGCTGAGTTACGTGTATACGGCACGAAGAATCTGAGCATCATCGACGCTTCCATCCTGCCAGTCATCCCGGCCGCGCATTTGCAGCTTCGATGTACGCCGTGGCTGAGAAGGCCAGTGATATCATCAAGCGAGGAAGCCGTGATGCGGTGGAACCTGCGGGCGCGTATGAAGCTACGGACACATGTAATGGGAGCTTTCTTGCGCTTCTTTGGAACGATGGCGGCATACTCGAACGGAACGGCCATCAGAGGACCTCCAGCGCGTCTTGTATGAAGCTTGTGGATAGCAATGAAAGCTCTGTTTCACTGCTCTGATCATGTGAGGTTGGGATAAGGGAGGCCGTGCGCGAAAAAGTATTCCCAGAAAGCTTGCGTGCCCAGATGGGCTCCAACTGCATCTGGAGCTATTTTGGTAGTACCTGAGGCACAGAGTTTGAGGTTTAGCTAAGCCATCGTTACTTCGTTGCTACTGCCGCGTGGACTGTCTCAATTGAGTCGAGACCTTTTCAATCATTGCTCACCATCATGCTCGTGGCTGGGTGATTGAGAAAATCTAGAAGACGTGGCCTCAATATTCGAATGAAAACAAAACTGGCACGAGGAGGCCTTCGAGCCACTCATTCGATGTGCTGACCGAAAGCGAGTGTCGGGAGATTAACGGCATCGACGGAAGGAGTACCAAAATTGAGCGGGGAATGCATTCAAGGGAGCGAAGGGTTCAACTTCAGGGACAGCTGTCTTCTGCAAGGTGTTCTCGAACTTCTCCCGGGCTCGGTTCCCCTTTTTTGGAGACGGCCGCAGCATATGATCCGCCAAAAAAGTTCAGTAACGTCTAGGATCACGTAGCACTTAATTCCCCTACGAGTCTCACGGCCACTGACTACTACATAACCCACGAAATTGCCAGCATTGAGAAGGTCATCCCTTTGACCATCATCTTTGACTTCGCGCAGCTCACCCAGCTCTGTTGTCTTTTCTCGCTCACATAGATCTAGAAGCCCATTTCATTCGCTTATTTCGGCTCACCACTAATCGGCTGCTGCCGCCGTGTGCAGAACCCCACCACACCAGGCCTTTACTTTCAGGTGCAACAACAACAGCCACCACACCCTCATTGAAGTACATTCGGCACACAGCGATAACTCCCGAGCTCTAGATTCTGTTCCGATTGTGCGGTCCCCTGCGAGAGCAATTGTACATCTTCTCTGTTCGCACCTTTTCTAGCGACCTCCCTTCCTTTCACGCCGCGACACACATCCCCCCGTACTCAAGATGAAGGCTTTAATCTTGGTGGGAGGCTTCGGCACTCGTCTCAGGCCACTCACACTCTCCGTTCCCAAACCTCTCGTCGAGTTCGCCAACGAGCCCATCCTCGCCCACCAACTCCGCGCCCTCGCCAGCGCCGGAGTCACAGACGTTGTCCTCGCGGTCAACTACCGACCAGATGTGATGACCACCGCCCTCAAGAAGTACGAGGAAGAACTCGGAATCAAAACACACATCAGCATAGAGTCCGAGCCCCTAGGCACCGCCGGCCCGCTCAAGCTCGCCGAGAAAGTCCTCGGCAAGGACGACAGCCCCTTCTTCGTCCTCAACGCCGACGTGACCTGCGAGTACCCCTTCAAAGAGCTGGCCGACTTCCACAAGAAGCATGGAGACGAGGGCACTATCGTCGTCACCAAGGTCGAAGAGCCCTCGAAATACGGTGTCGTCGTGCACGCCGCCAACCACGCCTCGAGAATCGACCGCTTCGTCGAGAAGCCCGTCGAGTACGTAGGCAATCGCATCAATGCCGGTATCTACATTCTCAATCCCTCAGTGCTGTCTCGCATCGAGCTGAGACCAACATCTATCGAGCAAGAGACCTTCCCTGCGATCGTTAAGGACGGCCAGCTGCACTCGTTCGACCTCGAGGGCTTCTGGATGGATATTGGCCAGCCCAAGGACTTCCTCTCTGGCACGTGCCTGTACCTCTCCTCGCTTGCAAAGCGCAAGCCCAAGGCTCTCGTTCCCAACAGCGAGTCCTACGTGTACGGCGGTAACGTCATGGTTCACGAGTCGGCGAAGATTGGCAAGAACTGTCGCATTGGACCCAATGTGGTCATTGGCCCTGGCTGTGTGGTCGGTGATGGTGTACGCCTGCAACGGTGTGTGCTTCTCGAGGACAGCAAGGTCAAGGACCATGCCTGGATCAAGAGCACGATTGTCGGCTGGAGGTCAACGGTCGGTCGTTGGGCACGGTTGGAGAACGTGACCGTGCTGGGCGACGATGTGACCATTGGAGATGAGATCTATGTCAACGGTGGTAGCGTGCTACCACACAAGTCTATCAAGGCTAACGTTGAGGGTGAGTTGCAACAATGTCTACCAGTTCGTCGAGCGAATCGCTAATGTTATACCAGTGCCCTCAATCATCATGTAAGCGGTGGACATCTGGGTGCTTGGTCCCGATCACATCGTCCGGGCTCTACCTCTCTTCTCTTCACCGACCTCACATTCGACATATCTGTATTATTGCATGGCGTAGGGCCTCCGGAGGTATTTAATGGGCACCACGAGTACCTCTGCCTGGGATCAGGCAAGCGAGCGTTTGCTCAAGGGTCAACGCCCTGAAAAGCAGGTCAAATAGACTACTCTAATGGCTCGACAACATTCGATCAGTCACCGGGTCGCTTGCAACTTTCTCTACTACTCATGAATGCTGACAACGCTAAAGATGCTGAAGACACTATACACTGCTCGTGAACTCCCAATTCATGCTGTGAGTCTGACGACTCCCCGCTTGGCTGTAGTCACGATCTCAATGAACACACCATCATGCTCGCCGTAATCTCCATCCCATCTATCATCCTCCCAGCCCACATCAAGCCTTATACAACGTATCCAAATACGCAACAACCACCCTCTCCACCACACTCTTATCCGGCAGACTCCCCGCGACACCATACAGCTGCGCCGTGCTCCCCTTCTTCACCTTCTCCCCATTCCGTACCCTCGCGTTCACCTTCTCCTTCTCTTCCCGCACCACACTGACCAAATCCTCAATCAGTGAATCCACCGCACCCTCCGACGTCGCCATCGGCAGCGTCACCGCGACGTGCAGCCCCGGCGGATCCTGGAGGGAGTTCAAATGCCACTCGCGTTTCGACATTGCGTCGGCGATATCGTAGATGTCGATTGCGGGGTCGACGCTGAGGAAAGCCACGACGCTGACGAGGGGGTCGCCGATGACCTTCAATGTGCCTTTTAGGTCTGGGTGTTCGGAGATCGCGTTCTGAAGCGTCTGTCGCGCCGCAACGATCTTGTTCGTCGCGGAGACGTACCCGGACACGCCGAGGGACATCATGCTGGCCCAGCAGCCCGCGATGAGTGCGCCGGGGCGGGAGCCGGCGATCGAGGGGGAGCCGTAGACGCCGCCGGACCAGGAGGGGGAGATGAAGTATTGGTACCGTCGTAATGAGGTGTTGCGGTAGAGGATGCAGCTGTTGCCTTTGGGTGCGAAGCCGTACTTGTGGGTGTCGACGCTGATGGAGGTGACGCCGGGAGATCGGAAGTCGAGGGGGCCGGAGAGGGAGGTGGGAAAGCCGGCTTGTGAGAGGAGGGGGACTAGGAAGGAGCCGAGGCAGCAGTCGACGTGGAGGGGGATGGAATGGGAGATGGCGAGTTTGGAGAGTTGGGCGATGGGGTCGATGATGCCGTGGGGGTAGTTCGGGCATGAGCCGACTAGGAGGATGGTATTGGGGTTGATGAGGCGGCGGACGTGAGGGATTGAGACTGTGTATGCGGGTGCTGGACAGGGTGCGAGGTGGAGTTTGATCTTGAAGTACTCGGCCGCTTTTTGGAAGGCGGCGTGCGCGGTTGATGGGATGATCAGTTCTGGCTCGGTGACGTTACGCTCATGGTAGGCCTTATTGCGTGCTGAGAGAACGGCCATGAGGATGGACTCGGTCCCGCCAGAAGTGGTGGCTCCTGCGGCTTCGGGAGGTGCGTTGAAGAGCGAAAGCACCATGGCGACGACTTCAGCGCCATCTTGCGCACGGCAGGAAAGACATCTGCATGTATAGGGTTCGCGACGGAGAACATCGACATGGCTTCGTGTTGCAACTTGATGAGCTCATCACCGCCATGGTAGACAGCGCCGGAGACCTTGCCCTCCTCCCAGCGGGTGCGTTTCGCGGCAGCCAAAGTAGCCAACTCGGAGCGCAGATGTTCGGGACTCCATGGCTCGGCAGGGAGAGACAGGTTTCGGCTTGTCTCTGGGATGTCAGCGGCGATCTTAGACTCGATGTCTGCTTTCGTCGCGGCTATCTGCTTGTCGACCTGTGACCGCACGCCAGGCGCCCGGAGGAATAATTGGTATGCTCGCTTGCGCAGAGCACGGTAGAAATATAGAAGTGAGCCGACGGGGCCATATCCGCGTAGAAAGTAGAACGACTGTCTGGTGAATCGAAGGACGAAGAGAAGAAAGACGACGTTCCGGATTCTGCAGTGGTCAGTATGAGTGTCGATGTTGAAGCATGTTAAGATCATACAAGTCCAGGGTTCTGCTGAAGCTCTTGAGTCTTGAGACCTGTACTGGTCTCTGCAACTTGCTCTGCAGGCTGACCGGTAGCGGCGAGGATCCCATCTTCCGCAATGCAAGTGTCGCACGAAGAAGGAAGCGGGACGTGTTGCGAGTCGAGGGACATACTACTGGGTATTTCTATACGCCTTCAAGTTTCTGGGAGATCCACATCCTCGGTTGCATGACACCCAAGTATACGATATACGAAGGAAAGGGCACCCTGGAGGCCCATGTCCGCTTACCACCTGGGCAGTGCACAGGGACCTTCAAGTCGCGACCGGTTGACTAGAATAGCTAAATAACACCTGGATCTACCTCGACAGAGGTCCCTGCAGCGGCGGGTCAAGCAGCAGCCAAACATGCTGCTTACTATGAGATTTCGAGTCAGGGCGGGCGCTGGAGATTGAAACTGCTCACCGCAGCACGATCCGTTGAGTTGAGACGAGCCTCGCTTGAGCGTCACGTCCCAGGAGCCATTTCTTATGGACTTTCTTGCCAGGGAGGGCACTGTAGATGTTCGTAAAAATTGTCAGAAATGATTCATGGTTCAGCGGTCATTGCCGGTAAAATGTATGGACAAAACTTTTCGCCATAGCTCCGTTTTCGCCACCCGTGAGGACGCCGACCGAAAATGACGGATACCACCTCTATGCTGTCACGCCGTTTGTCTTAGCCTTCTTAAGGACTTGTTCTGTAGCGGTCTCCTGCGCCACCGTTTCTTCCAGCTGCCTCTTTTCCGGCAGATTCTTCTCTTCGGCGGTAATGCCTGCTAGCTTCTTCTTCTCCTGTTCCGTCATGTTGGGGAGGTAGACTGAGCTACCAGGGTTGGCCTTGCCCGCAATCACGTTGCGGTGGAAAGCGTGAATGATCGAGTCAGCATCATCAATGGCAATAGGCCGAATGTCTGCCAGAAGCTTGATCTGCGCAGTGCATTCCTTGTATTGCGCGTCGGTCATTGCGATGTTGAGCTGTTGGGCGCGTGACTTGATGGCGTTCCAGCCTGTCAAACGTGACGCGAAGTGGATGTATCGGTTGATGCCGAAGTCTGCTGGATTGATGATCTCGTATGTGCTGGGATTCGCAAGAATGGCCTTGGCGTGGATGCCGGCTTTGTGAGTGAAAGCACAGAAGCCAGTGATGGGGTTGTTGAAGGGAATGTTGACGGCCACAGCTTCGGCCACGAGCTCTTCGATCTCCTTGATCTTCTCCAGCTTGTACTTGCCCACAACGTAATCGCGATCTGCGACAATCATTCGAGCCATCAGCCCACCAAGAGTTGTGATGCCATTCCGTTCGCCGATACCTAGGACCGAGGTATCGATGTGAGTTGCACCAGCCTCGAGAGCACAGTAGGCATTGGCAATAGCACAGCCGGTGTCGTTATGGAAATGGGTCTCGATGTCGCAGCTTACGACGCCACGAAGTGTTCTGACCAGGTCGAAAACTTGTCTAGGAGTTGCGCAGCCGACTGTGTCTGCGACACCGACTCTGTGGACACCGACCTTATCGACTGCCTTGTATAGCCGTAGCAGATCGACGAGATCAGAGCGGAACGAATCCTCTGAACTGAAGCGAACCTCAATGCCCTTACTCTTAACAAACTCAATGACTTCGATAGCAGTCTTCTCGATGTATGCCATATCCTTGCCGTGCGAGTCCTTCATGAGGAAACTAGAGGTTCCGATCACAACGTCAACACCGTCAACGCCAGTCTCGACCGCAAGCTTCGCATCTGACATGTTGCACCGAATATGTGTCAGGATCTTGGACTTGAGACCGAGCTTGCAGATGGCTTCACAGTCGCGGCGTGACTCCTCGGAAGCGGCAGGCGAGGTGAGCTCGATGTAATCTGCGCCAAAATCGTCGAGCGCCTTAGCGATCTCGATCTTCTTCTCGCGTGTGAAGTAGGCATTGGCGAATCTGGAGCGTTAGCATACTTCCAACAAGCGTGTGCTGGCATCTTACTGCTCTCCTTCTCGTAGAGTGCTTTCGATGACCTTGAACTTGGAGATGTTGCTTAAGAAGTCCTGCACCGGCGCGTAGGGATTGCGTTCTCGGCCATTCTGAACAGGTGGTCCCTCTGTAATGTCGATGCCAACGTAGCTAGAGTTGCCATTCGTGCCATTAGTGTGGCCGTTGGTGCCGTTGGTGGCTGGTAGAGGCGTAGGACACATTGTGAAGGTCGGCAGGGCTCTGTAGTAGAATATGTAAGTAAAGCAGTGCCCGAAGTGACCTTGAGGAGCTTATAAACAGGAAGTTTTTGAGTCTTTGAAGATTTTTGAGTCTTAAAGAATCGGTGAAGTCGGTGTCCCCCGCAAATCGGAGATGTGAAAATCGGAGGTACCCATTGCAGTTTCCAACCGGCCCCACCGCCGAAAAGCTGTCAAAACTTCTACTTCTACAGCGCTCTCCCTGGCGAGGATTTCTCGATACGTCTTTCCTTGCATTTCACGCTCAAGTGAGGCCCATCTCAAACCCACCGACTTGATGATTGAAAAGACTTGGTCCTTCAGCGCCCTCCTGACCTGGAAATCTATCATGAGCATTAATTTCAGCAGTGATGTCCACCTCGGTACCGCTCCAAATTCCTATTGCGCCTTCTCTGGTAGGAAACCCTTATGTTGAATCGTGTCTACGATTTGACGCTCAAGTGAGGCTCAATCTTCCAGTCTTTTCAAATCCATGGTGAGGTCTTCAGCGCCCTCCCCAGGGTGCAACATCAACGATGTGGTTATCACTTCGCCAACATTACTGGAAGGACCTATGAACTACAATGCCACGCAACGGGCCCTGAACATGAATATCGGCCTCTTCTTCGGACTCTATCCTTGAAAACATCCTCCCATCAAAAGGTTCGCCAGATGAAACATTGACTCTACTCTCCAACGGCATCGTGTCAACCACGTGTTGCGATTTCGTGCTCCTTTTAGCAGAGGCTGCCGTGTAGTATGTCGGATCATTGACTCTGCTTTGGTTCCGCGATCTAGTGACGAATAGCCTCAAGGATGGTATGCTTGCCGTGATGATCGCTGTCGTGTTCTCCAGCAGCGAGTAGAGCTGGAACTTGATCACATCTACTGACGAAGAGTCCCGGCTGGGATTGCAGAACACGAAACGAAGCACACCGAAGATGATCGGTGCAACTGGGAGCAGGAATATCCCTATCAGCACGATCCTGTCCCGCTCTGACGTTCGCAATTTCCACAGGAGTGGGAAGGGGATGAGGACGATGAGGATGCCTCCCGCGATGTCGGTGCCTGCCGAGAAGAGGAAGACCAAATTCGAGAGGTATGTATGGCGTGACCCAGCGCAACCACCTGTGTCATATTAGCTGAGACGTTCAGAGGGAGATCCACATGCTACTGACCAAGCCTCAGGAAGTTCTGCGGCGATCCGCAAGCAAAGAGCTGGAGGAAGATCGTCGTGACGAACGTCGAAGCAGTGATGGAGATCATAATCCACCAAAATGTACGAGCGCGATACGTACTGAATCAAAAAGTCGCCAGAAGAACGTCAGCAACGAGAACTTGACCGTCCAAAGAGTCGTCCATAGCAGCATGACAAGCGCGAATTGGTAGCTGAGGTACCTTTCGGCACCATTCAACATTTCTTCCGACGGCGTGGCACCCGTTGCCCTCAGCAGCTTGAGCTCCTCTATTGTCCACATGTCTGGAATCGCAAGCTCGCAAGTGATTACTGCGGCAAGATGACATCCAAGAGCGATGAAGATGAGGTAGTCGTTGTTGAAGAGCCGTCGACTAGCTCGATATTGAACGAAAGTTCGCAAGGTCACGATCAAAAGACATGCCACTAACTCAGTCCAAATCAAAGCCTGCAAGGTGTCAGTCAGCAGGTCATGTCATCCGACGGTATAGATACCGAGAGTCCTCTCTTGCTGATGACAGGCCTGAGCACTGATTGTGCGTCTCGCTTCATGAGTTCGAGCACGTTGTTCTGAACACAGCTATGGTGCCCAAGTTGTCGTGAGGCAAGATGTTTGCCGATGTACGGCTCCAGCGTAAGTCGCGCGCATCTTAAGCCTCCTACACCGCAGATGAGTACACATATTCTAGGGTGGATCGGTCGAGCTCAGATTTCACAACAGACTGGTTTACCTGCAAAGAGTCCCTTGAAGCACAGGAGTATATGCGCCATGTTCGGGGTAGATCTTACCGAAGAGCCATTGGCTTTGTCGCGATCAAAGCTCAAGTATCATCTGACAGCGAAGGAGATTGGTCCCTGTACTGCTCTCGACCAGTCCCACCTTTGTGCGACCGGAGTGCTGCATGCGGGTTGGGCCTCCGAGAGCAAGCTGGAACGATATCATGGCTAGTAGACTTGTTCTTCGAATGATGCGCAAACGCAGTATGCGTCCAGCTCGTGCGTATTGAAAAAGACACATTGGAAGTCAAAGCGTGAACGCGGAGAGCGCATAGAATACATTACGTGACCGGAGACCACAGACGTATGTGTACGACGCATCGACCAGAAAATCGTCGTGCTGCTGAGTGGTCGCTGATCCAGTACGGCGCAACAGAGATCGTTTCAGAGGTAAGTACCTGACGGCTATATCTGAGAACTCCGTTCCAAGGTCATCGAACGACCACCCAAAACCCAAGTCAAGCCGAGGAAGCTCATTTGTCCCACGCAAGAAAGACAGCTGTCAAGTAGCTTGATACGTTGTTTTGTTGTCGCAGACTGAGTCGTGTATATATCCAGCACTGACATCGTACAACACCCTTCACGGTCCATGCAGACGAGGTTGCTCCGACACTGCGACCGGTCTCAATGCAAGCGGCTTTTGCTCTCTCCGGTAATTGGGCAACGTAGCATCGGTTTTATCATGAACGTTTGCTCCGTGGATCGTGCCTGCTCCAAGTCCCTACGGCAGCTGCGACCGCGAGCGTGAACACGGCGAAGTCAACAGCCAGATCGCGCCTGCCCTCCATACCCAACGCTACGATAGCTCCACCTTGAATCAATGCCGTCAAGACCGCGACATATCTCTTGGACTTCTTGCCTCCCAGTGCCAAAGTAGTCGCAAGTGTGATGTCCATGCATGGCACTATTCGAGCGACTGTTGAACCGTCATCTGGCTGGCGGGCTACCTGATGCGCGTAGTACCAGGGCGTGTAGATACCATGAGTAAAGCGTGAGAAGCCGCAGTAGTAGAGGAAAGCGCTGAGGACTTGTGCTGGCAATGCTGCTATGCTCGTCATGTCGAGTGCTTCGTTTGTCCTGTTAAGTCACTGTGTTGTGGGAGCGCCTGGGGCTATTCGCTGTTGTCAACGTTAGCACGACGAGAAGCAGGCCGGCAACAGAATTCTGTCAATATGAGCAGTCATCGGCTCGCAGTAGAATCATCGTGAGGCCACCCACAGCAGTTGGCACATAAAGCTACAGATGCCTTCACCTCTGCCTACCGGTCCGGCCAAACTCTGCTCAGGTGCTGTACGGGTGTCGTACTGCGCGCCGTTCCGACCTTGGAAATATGTGGCGCATGACCCAGTAAGTTTGCCAGCAATAACGTCCGGCCCTTCGAGTCTCGTCGAAGATTACGAAAACATCTGAACATCACATCAAGTTCTGGGGACCACTCAGAAGGGACGTTGGGAGTGTTCTCGCAGCACTGTGGTCACATCACGTCATCCATGTCGTCTGAGCCCTTCATCAACAGCCCCTCCACTGCCGAGCCCGTGCTCTGTTTCAGACTTCTCAAGATTCAGCGCTCTAGGCCCTTAGCCTTTGTGTCATGACCACGAGGCAGAGTCTATTCATGGCGAAACATAACTTGCAGGCAACCTGGAAAGAAAATGCCCGCCTCTCGCGACGGAACCTCGTCCTCGAGACCCGACAACTTAGCGGCGTCATGTCGTCTAAGCGATGCACATCCTGGCGCCCACGAGCCAGATCACTTACATCTGGCGAGGTTGGCCGCCGTTGGATACGGGTTGCCTCATTCAGCACGACCAAAGTCGTTTGTGTTGGCCAGATTGGTGGCTCTGGCAGGTTCTGCGGCACCCGACCTTGCTGAAACACTTCCGTGCGAGGGCAGAGTCTGCTCATTTGGTGAGCACACATCATACATTGTGACCTGCGATTCCATGCACGATCTCCACGAGCACCTCGCATGGGATCGACTTCTCTCCCGATGGTTCCCTACGGGTCCTGTCAATGGAGGAAGCAGCTGTATCACCAAGATCTTAGACCATGCATGATGCAACACGACTGGAGAGCCAGCGTCATGGTGCTTGAGAGCAACTCAATCTGCCGACTACCATGCTACCCTTGACCTGGACAACCTTATCCCCACGTTCCACCCTACGCTCGGTGCTTCTGCCTCTTTCAGCTTGGAGGGCACCTAGAGGAGCTCTAGAGGTAGGTTTCATGAAAGTCCTTTGTGACAGCGGCGCGGTAACACCCTGCTGTTTGGGCCAGGCCTATGGGCCCTGCTGCTAAGATCCCTACGAGTGGTGGTAGGACTACTTTGTTATCTTCAGAAGGCACGACAGGCAGCAGTCGTTGCTGACGATCCAGCTCCAGTCTCGTGCCATGTTCAGGAGAGCACATATGGTCCAGGCCCTAGCTTCATAGGTGCCTCGAGCCCCACGCCGTGGTACAGTTTCAGGAACGCAGTAACAAGATGTAGCAGATGTGTTTGAAGATACCCATGGCACGTGTTGGCACTCCGGCAATGCAGTTGATCTTCACCATGTCACTCACCGTCAAAAGTGGCGGCCTGTGGCATAGAAGGGGCATCATGTAGTCAAGGGCAAGCTGATGGGCTCTCAATCAAGACAGTTCACTGCGGGCTAATTGATGGTCTCTCGACCAAGACTGTTGACTGAAGGCTATCATGTCATGGTGCTTAGACACAGATAACAACCTTTGCTACATTACCGCGTTATCATTTCAAACTTCAGAAGGTCCTTCTCAACGATTGCCTCCCTCTTTTCCATCAACTCCTTCATATCCCAGTTGGCACTAATCATCCTCCCTCCTAGCCAGTCCACTTCCTCTCTCTTCATCCCCGCCAGCCAAGTCACCACCGCACCACACAGTCCCACCTCATCAATCAAGTACGGCATGAACCCCTCCGGCGTATTTCCAATGGCCATATCCGTCAACACGCTCCCAGGATGAATCGTAACAGCGAGTATTCCCTCCTTCCCATACTGAACAGCGATGTATTCCACCAACCTAGTCTGTGCCATCTTCGAGATAGTGTAGCCCGTATTCGCAATGATGCCCTTCGTGATACTGCCAGCTATGCTTCCTATCACAAAGAAGTGACCAGCGCCGCCCTTTTGGTTTCGAGACTCAAGCAGAATGGGCACGAAGTGATGTGCGATGGCGTATACGCCCAGGAAATTGGTGTCAAAGGCCTTGCGGACTAGCTCGGGACTGTTCTCTGTGACCTTCATGCCTTCGATTGGTGGGGCGTAGCTCGCGTTGGGGATCATGGCGTCGAGACGGCCGCCCTTTTCGAGGACATCGGATTGGATGTAGGCTGCGAGAGCCTCTACTGAGGCAGTGTCCGCGAGGTCGCATTCGTGAATATTGATTATTGGCTTCTTGGCATAATTCGAGCAGATGGTAGAGGTGATGTGATCGGCAACCCGATCGAGCTTGCTGGTGTTGCGGGCGCAGAGGATGATTGTGGACGCATGGGCCGTGGCGAAGGCGTATGCGATATGTTCTGCGAAGTGGTTAGGGAAGTGCTCATCTTAGCTACGAGGAGCAAACAGCAGACATAATGGTTGACAGTCCGCCCACTATCTTTCTGCCTCCCAAAGCCAATACTTACACAAGTATATCGATCAAGAACACAGCTGGATTCAAAAGACGTACCTCCAATGCCCGCCGAAGCTCCAATGATACAAGCTGTGTAGCCATCAGGCAACCTTCCTTGACCTGGATGCAGATACTCTGGCACGGTATGATGTTGTACAGTGGTGAAGCCGTCCACGTTCCTTACTCGCGGGTCTCCCATGATCAATATTGTCTTGCCAGTGGACCTCGACAAGTCGAAGGCTATCAGCTCTAACTTCTAGAGTACACTCCTCAGGTCATGAATTGGCTGCAGAATGCCCGACTTTTGATGCTGGTCACTTCAGACCTCAACTGAGTTTGTGCTCTCGTCCGCCAGAACATACCAAGTACTTGATCTGGCCGTCCGTGGCAGCGGCGAGCCGCAAAGAAGCTAGCGAGCACTCTTCCAATGCTACTTGCCAGTTCGAGAGCAACGTTCTTGCCGTTGAGTCATTATCAGAGATAAGATAATGAACTGGGAGAAGCTACAAATGTCTTGCGGTTAGAAGATTGCTCAATGCTGCGTCATCGGGAAGGCACTATCACGCCAGCTACCACTGCATCCGCACGATCATTCGAAGTTCTTAGGCGTGGTTGGTAACGAATGACCAAGGACCATATTAATTCGCCTACTTCATGCAGTGGCAGTACAACCTGCAATTCGCGAAAAATATTCCTAGCGTCTGTAGGACGGAGGATTTTGCAAGCGGTGGCCGAGCACCCCGCTGCTCACATATCTTGCAGGCGGCTGGGCGGATAGCGTCGCTTGGAATCGACGGCACGAACAGTAGCGAATCGCACTATACAGCAGTGAAACTGACTGTTAGAGTGAGCAGTGGTTGGTGTGGTGATGTCGACCATTGCACAATGCCACGGGCTCTTGGTAGGTGGGCATGGCTCGCTACTTCCACGTGGTCAATTTGATTCCAAGGCAGCAGTCATAGGATCCTCTAGAGAGCCGGCTACATCTTATGCTGAGACTCATGTGCAGGTGCGCGGCCGGTACAGAAAGCATTTAAGCTTATAGGCAGTCGATGAGTACAACGAGACCGTGGGATTTAGTAGATGTCAAGTACCTACCAGCCAGAGGTTTCCCTTCGGATAGTGGTTACCGAGTGAGGCCGACCCTGGACCGGACTTGTGTGTTAGGCTTTTGAGGCTTACGCAGGTACTTACAAAAGGTGTCGTATTCTACCTTTACTGGTGCGGGCTCGGCAAACCCGCCGCATTCATGCATGTCAGAGGCACACCAAAGGTAAGACAGGAGGTCAAAATGGAGTGCGGGAATGCACCTCAGAATGCGGGACAGGAGATCACATTGTGGCAGTGAAAGACAGGAATGATTGCTTCTGAAAGTTCTCGAATTTTATCCTTCGAGGTCTCATCCTCATCTCCGTCTGGCTCGGAGTCATTGTTTCGAGGGTATCTAAGTCGTTGCTTCTGCCTGTCGCCTCCTTGCGGAGGGACGGCGATCTCAACTCAGTGGTATCATGATCATCGTAAACATCCTCAGTCGGGTCTGAAGTCTCTCGGCCAGCGTGAACACGGTCCTCCCTGAGATGATGTCCCCTCCACCTTCCACCTGGTCCTCTCTCAGAGGCTGCTCCAATAGTATTGTAGTACACATCTTTCCTGAAGTAAAGGAGTCCATTTTGAAAAACGGGCGACGCTGGTCCTCCCACGAATAAACGCGTCGTAAATATGCCAAACATTGTACGCCTCGCTGTGCAAATAGATAGCAAAAGATAGGATGAAGCCTGCAGGCGACAGGACCTCAGACAGCTTGCCCTGGTGTTCGCCCGAGTCTTGTGCCGGCGTTGAAGATCCTTGACATGACACTGCTCATGCTGGTGTTATCGGATCGCGCCTTCTTGTTGGGCTGCTGCTCCTGGAAGCTGATCTGATGGTGGTCCTTGAGACTGGGCCGACTAGCTGACACCGCCTTTCCGTATGCTGTGTAGTGATAATTGTCAGGGCTATAATTGCCGTCCATGACCACGAGATTTTCGTCGACGTAGCTGAGATTCATAGGCGTGCCTCGAGATCGAGTGCTAGGCGCCAGTGATGACGACCTCGAATGTGACGATGGAGCGACGGACGAAGATCGCGAGCTGGAGTAGGAGTGACCTGATCGAACCAAAGGAGGGAGATCCCGAAGCGATGGTGGTGAAATCGATCGGTCGTGACGATATGGTGATGGTCGACGCTTATGGCTGGCAGCAGGTAGCGATAGGGAGCTTTGATTGCTGTGGTAAGCTCTGGGCTGTCGCAGAGCGGGCACCTCATCTTCTCCGTATGAATGTGGCGAGTCATAGACGGCGAGTGCTGCACGAGATGGCTGCTTGGCGATGAGTGCTCGCGTTGATTGTCGGAGAGAATCGACGACATTAGTGTCGATCGACGACTGAGATTGCCAGTGCCTGTGGCTGTTGAGCTCAGATCGCTCGTGCTGAAGCTCCAGCTGGAACCGGATGGGAGCCAGGAATGGCTCGAAATGCTTGAAGAGATCCTCCTCCGTCACGATGGTCTGGAAGTCAAGCAGGAACAACATCTGTCGCTCCATCAAGTTCACCTCTGCTAGCCCAAAGCCGAATCCCTCATAACCCTTCACGCTCGTATACCGTGCCCAGTGCTTGTTCTTTGGTGATGAATCGTTGAGGTTCTTGGCGGCCAGGATCAGTGCGGCGAGGAAGATGCGGTGAGTAGTACACCGCATACCCTTGGCAACAGGAGGCAGCCGTGCTTGAGTCGATCCAAATACACGAGTGAGGTCATTAGAGTTGGGACCTGGACCGAGCTCTTGCTCACCAGTGACTGAATGAATGCCTCGATGCTAGGCAAGGGGGTTACATTCTCTGGCGTGGCTGGGTCTGTGGGCGGTGTTGAAGGAGGCGTTGGTAATGAGCCATGTGACGACGGCGGCTGCTCACATCTGATGACCTGTGCCGCGTGCTTTGCCAGATGCTGGATCATGTAGCTTCGTACTGGCTGTCGAACAAACTCCTCGAGAGCCGCCCTGTTCTGAGCCTGTGAGTGTGCTGAGTCCATAGTGAATGTGTGTTAGGTGTAGAGAAAGGACAGTCCCTGATCAAAGGGATCTGATTATGTCGAAGCGGCGGCCGTCAATGGTGCAGAGTGATCAATTGACAGATGGGATATCTGTCAGAAGACTACGACGGACGGGCCAAAAGATGTCTGGGTCTTGCGGGTGGACTGGGTATTAAGAAGGAACCTGTCCTGCAGGAGGTGGATTGTGCCAACAGCCGGAGTATGGGATATCGATACGAGGGAATGAGTCTTCCAGTAGAATGCTAGGGCCAGCCTAGGATGGTGAACTCCTTCAGTGTTTGAGCGAGTCGGTAGAGTCTCGAGTTGTCTCCTGAGGTTCCACGTTGTCAGTATTGGGAATGACGAAGTCTGGAGCGCCGGTTCCGCTGCGGCAGCTAGATCGATAATGGTATCGATAGGTGTCGGATAGCGACTTGGGTGGCCCCGAGTAAAGCTCGCGTAGGCAGGGGTAAAAAGTCTGTCGGAAGCCACTAGAGGTTCAGCGTACGAATTGGCGAAATGGCTTGGCCTTTTTCAACACTGAAGAAAACAGGCCGCTGTGGTGAGGCAAGGGAGAACCGATGGCGAGGTGAGGGCAATGAAGGCAGACTTTATTCTAAGCAAGAATGAACTCCCTAGAAGCGCAGACTTGACATCGCAGGCGCTTGCAGTACAGATATGTACCTGTTTCGCCGTCAAAGGCGGCTGCGTATGTGAGAGGAATTTATTGGGTGTGAGTGCACGTCCAACTCCTTGATAGACGGCCATCCCACCAGAACATGTCAGGCCGGAGGCGGCGCGTGGCCGTGGTTGGTAGACCAGAATCATCTGGACGGAGCATGTGCAGCAGCCTGGAGGTCTGGAAGACTCGAGACAGTCCACCAAAAGGCATGGAGGGGCAGCCAAGGGATAAGCGGTTGGGTATGGACCGCAGACTGGAGGGGGGCGCAGCGTGGCAACTCCGCGAGTTGCCTAATGCAAGTGCTTGGAGCGCCTCAGCCAGTAGAGTTTTGCGGGACTACCCTGGTCTGACCTGTCAGTGCGCTTGTTGGATCAAGGGACTCAGGGGGTTGAAACTCACGCGCCCTCATCGCGCTCACTCCTGCATCAGGTTCTCAGGCATATCAAACGCGTTCGCCTATGGAATTCGACCATTCCAAGTGCAGCGCTCAAAGGTTGCATTCACTTCGCGTTCCTTTTGGCACGGTGGTTTCACTCGTCGCCGAGCAATCCAATCCAGATATCTGGTTCAAGGGCAATATCGATTGCATTTTTCTTTCTCTGACCACTGGTTCATAGGCAGATCTCTAGGGTTTTGAAGGGTGCGGTCAGATCGGCAAGATCAGGACCCCGCGGTGACATGCCGAGTCAAAAGATCTGATCCTGCCAGCTTGCGAGCTGAGAGTGTCACAGAGGTCGAATCTGATACTCTTTGATGCCTCATGTGCGAACAGTGGCCACACTCGTCATCAGCCATGGGCATGCACCTCGTGGCCGGGGCCAGCAGCATCCGAACCACAAAGTGCCACTTTCGTTACCGATCTCTTGTCCACGGAAGTGATTGTAGAGACGCATCCGCTGACCACGCAGTTTGACCAGCCGACCTCTTTCTCGAGTCGAGATCATGAGTCGGGAACTGAGAAAACTAGTCACGAGGAGTCCTTTGGATCCTTCGCTCAGAATCCCTACCACAAGCCTGTGATCAAACTAGTGGTTTCTCAACCTGCAGTGTTCGACGATTCCAAGAGATTGCAGACTCGTGGAGCTCATGGTCAGAGCTGCAGCATCTACCCCAGCATGCTCGCATGCCATAATCCATGGCTTGCAACAGATATTCATAGCGCAATATAACGGTTTTCTGGGCAGCGATCCCTAGTGTTTTGAGCTGGCACGCGAGACAAGACCGCGCCTCGGTTCGCTCGGGGCGACGCTTGGCACTGAAATGTGGCTGGGTGGTAGTGGCAAGAGATGTGGCTCAGTCCAGCTGGCTACGAGTTCAGCTTTCCCTGCACCTTCTCACCTTTCGAGAAGCCTCTTGCGTCTTTTAGCCGCCAGCTATTCTGGATCGTTGCTTCGTCCACAACCACAAATAAGCGCCGGATCTGACTGGACATCAAATATCAGATTCTCACTCTCAAAGACATGTCTTCAGCTACCAGCTCTTATCTCTGTTTCAGCGTTGGCCATCCGTTCCATGTTTGCTGCGACCTCATGCAGCCTTGTCCTTCCTCGCGGACTGGTGATCTTTGATCAGATGGCAAGGCGCCACGGTAGGCAGCAGCAGTCCCAGTGTCACTTGTCCCACGAGTCTGCGTGCACATCCGGCGCAGAATCTCGTGCCGTTCTTACCCTGTCAGTCGACTTCATCGCTCTTCAAGATCGACTTCTTATTGCAAGCATGGCCCTCACCACGTGTCCGATCGTCTCACGAGATCGAGCTCGAGCTCGTCAGGCCCAAGACAACCTATGCGAAGGAAGTCTTGACGCGGATTTCCATTGCACACCTTTCACTTAGACTTGCCGATCCAGCTGCCGTCTTCCACCTGATGAAGATTTCCAGAATGCCATCTCTTGGGGTCTGGGGTACCCTTGTCGGTCTTCTGCAGCAGACTCGGCACGAGATCCGTCCCGAATATGTCAGGACGCGGAAGACGTTACAAAAGCCGCAAGCATTGACCTTGCGGCATTGGGTCGATCACATCGAGATCTGCGACGTTGACACGTCCCAAGAGGTCGGACAAGGTCCAAGGAAAGATATCGATATTGATTAATGCCTATCGTCTAACATTTTCCAGATCTTTTCCATTCCCGGACTCAACTCCCGGGACTACTCGCTCAAATACTGAAATTGGTCCTGACACAAGCCAAAGCGCCTGGCAGCAACGGCTATGCAAATTTTCAGGGTCAATCATCAACTCTTTCCCAACGCCGGTCTCAATCCAAGCCTTGTGCTCAATATCTGGACGATGATCAGTCTCTCCTGTGGACCTCTAGAAGCACTCGTTCCTCACTTGTATTGGAAGCTGGAACGATTGGTCAACCTAAATCTTGTCTTATAGCGCCAATGACGACTTACTATGCGGCACGGGCCTCATGCCTGATGGCGGTCTCAGACAACTTCGACGGAGACTTAGGCTTCGTCGACTCCACTGACGACACAGAGGATCGTTTCTTCGGCAGCAGGCTCTTCAGGCTCGACAACGTCGACGTGCTCCGTACGGAAGCGGTGTCTGTGTGCTTTTCGTCCATGACCGACTTGTTCGATGTTGTCGTGGTCTTGCGTGCGTCCATTTTCTTGGTTGGTTTGGCGTAAGGTAGGTAGTGTGGTCCGTTGGCTGCAAGGAGTGCTTCGGTAGGTGCAGAGTCTGACATGAATTGGAACCTGGATTGACGCTGGATGTCTATATAAGATGGCTGTGCTACTATAGTCGGATGTGCTGACGTTTATCCGGGGCCGTCGTATGCTGAGTATGCTTTCTGACAAGTGGTTGCCTTACAGGATGCTCCGGGTGATCACAGCTGCCGAAATACCGTGCTGTCTATGGTATACTTGCGAGGGAGGCAACGACCCTTTATATCTTTGTATATATGATGGTCGGACTTATCTCAGAATCTGAACAATTCTCGGTATTTCTGCTTTCTATCGAGGAATGGGGCAGCTCGGTCGTAAGGTAACATGCTTTTTATATACTCGCCGGCTCCATGATCCACAGCACGGTCATAAATGTCACGATTCCCTAACAACTTGCTCGCTGCTTAACAACCATGACGCTCCAGCATACATGCATTCTCCCAACTAGCACAAGACCGAGGACCCTTCGTCAAGGTCTCTGACTCTAAAAAGCGAGCTGTACTACAAACATAGTCTGTGAGTCAGTGCCTGAGGCCCGGCGTATGCAATCATATCGCCGAATACGACCCGGGTGGGATTGCTCGGCCAATGAAAGGATTTTCCACATGAAGCCACATTCAAAGTCGCTATAGTTTTAATGACTGTTCCTCGAACAACATGCGATTATGCGTTCACAGTTATGAGAATCCGCCACTCCGCAGTAGTATGTGTGTGCCTGGAAGTCGTTGTCCATACTGTGCAGATCCGACAGGCTACATCATTGACCAATGTGCGCTCACTTCCTGTACAGTGGTCTCGAAGCACCACTAGTTGCAGCAAGGCGTGCTCAACGAGCAGCTCTAGGGCGAAGTATGAGCCGCAAGACTATGCTTCATGCAGATTTTCACCCGCTTGACCAGGCTGCGAGATTGATCAAGCATCGTTGTTGCCTGACCATGATCGTCAAGACCAGTGTCCCAAACGCTCGGTACACACAGGTCCTCACAGCAAGCATCGGCCCGCGGGTTTCCACTAAATCTACAGGACCGTGTCTCCCAGGTACCATAGCTTCTGCACGTGCATGGAAACAGAAAAACAGCATCTTTAACATACCTTCCGAAACAGGCTGTCAAGAATTGATCCAGAGGGAGTCACAATCTTTCATGACTTCAATGCACATGCCAAAAGTCCCTCTGCACCAAAGTACCGTCCAGCGCGTATATGCTTCGCTCGATGCCAAGCACATCAAGCGAGCACGACGTGACCCCTATACGCGCCGCGTATATAGACTGGACAATGGCATCAATACGTCGCATTCAGGAAACAGCGGATCGACTCCCAAAATCGCACACTTCATGGCACGAGCGTTAGTGTAGCGATTATGACACATTGTCGAGCTGTCTCGAAACGGCAAGGTATCTACTGCGCAATTATATTCTACAGGTGTTTCGAGCGAGCTCGAGCAGAGCCACCCTTGGAAGCGAGAGGGGACGTCGTTTCTGCTCTTCATGAGCGCAAGGTGCGACTCACAGGTCCCTTGTCGATTTGATCCGATTGCCGACGCGAATTCAGCACTCAAACGCAGGTACGATGAACAGACAGACACGATAAGCATATTGCCGTTAGGGAATGTCCATTGCTCGTTCAGGCTCATCAAATGATATAGATAGGGATTACTGTTAATTTCCATTGTCCGTCTGGAGTCGGACTTTTCGCAAGACAGTTGTGAAAGATGTAGGTCGCTTACCTGCGGAGGTGCAGCGCAGAGCCCAAGCAAATGTGTCGAATTCGAGTTGTCAACTGTGGTGTTCAGGAGTTTGCAACTCAACCTGCAGATGCAGGCTCGTTTCTCAGCACGAACGGTCAGCGATCTCCCAGTAAGCCTTCATTCAGTTTCCTGTCCCGATCAGCGTCATCACCTGCCTCACCACCACCTTCTTCACCCGCTGCACCCTCAAGGTCTTCTTCCTCAAAACCCATTGGTATTCCCACCTCACTGGACCTCCTCTTCCCTTCTTCCTCTGCATCCTCCAGACCTAGTGCCTTCTTCATCACACTGCTGATGCTCTTCCTCGATCGATGACCACTACCTCTCATCTCGCCATCCTCACCGAGTTCGCCATTCCGATGGCTATAATGGTCATTCGACGGCTCGAGCGTACCCAAATCAACGATTCCACCACGCTCGCCTTGCTCTCGGTGCTTTCGTAGCATTCTCTCTCGACGCCAACGCGCAAATGCGCCTCCACCACCACTGCCTAGTCTTCTGCCTGCGCCCTGCGCTCCTGGCGGGACTCCAGTAGTCGTCTGCGGCGGCCACTGGCCTTCTTCCTTCCAGCCAGCGACCAGTGCGCGGACCATGTCTGGTAGGGGAATCGGGATGTTGGGCGTCAGACACTGAACAACGATCTTGGAATATATCGTCGAGTAGGTGGAGGGCTGGATTCGTGAGCGGAGAACGTTGTCTGAGGGGAACAAGGGCGGGTAGAGTGGCAGGTAAGGGCCAGCCGCGTGTGGGTTGAGCAGGCCGTTCGCGATACTGATTGGCACACCTTTGCCGCTGGAAGTGGTTGTCAGTGCGAGCTTCGTCGGGTCTGTGGTGGTTGTGGTTGCAGCTGTAATAGTCACAGTGTGGTCGAGGGAGGAGCTTGAGGTGTTAGGCTGACTGATGCCACCATTGGCAGATGGCGAGTGTGGCGGAGTGTCCAGAACGGCAGTGCCTAGAGCATAGCGAGTCTTGGTTGAAGAAGAGTGCTGTGAAACTGCAGGCACACCACTGTCAGTCATGCTGTCGTCCATGCTCGTGGCCGTCGTCGATGCAGAATCTGGGATGTCCCCTTTCTCTAGAATCAGCCCTAACGAGTCCTGTGTCGTCCGTCGCGCATCTGCGTTCCGCTTCGGTCGAGGCTTGTGGTCGTTTCTGTGCTCCCAGACTGCACCGGTCCAAGCATCGCGCTGATTCACCCAATGTCGCAAACCCTCGTTCCACCTCATCTGGTCATAAAGCAGCCTTTTGCGCTTCACCTCCCGCTCCCGAACATAGTCAGCCACGGCGTCTGGGTTCTCGAAGCGGTAGGGATCGCTGCCGCGGGATCGGCGTCTGTTGTTCGGTGATGCAGCTTGATTATGATGATGCGTATGACGAGGCAGCTCGTCGTCCGATTCCCCTACATCACGCAGTCGCCATGCGATGGGTTCTTTCGCATCTGGCCGAGCATTGTTGGCGGTCTCCTCGCTCGTGGGTGGATACTCCCAGTCATTTCGCACGATCGTCATGAGATATCTCTTTGCTGCCCTTGATGCATTCGCTCGCGCTCGTTCAGCTTGTTTGGTATTTGCCGTGCCGCTCTGTACGGCCTCACCGGCTTTGGAATCTGCGTTGCTGCCATGATTCTGCTGAGAGTCGTGGGAGGTATTCGAACTAGCGTTGCTCCCTTTGCGGAAGCGCTGCGAAAGATTGTGTAAGAATGGCGTGTGACTCGAAGAGGGCGAGCGAGCTGACGAGTCCACCGATGCCCGATCCGCCGCCGAGCCCGAACTCTGTTGTGCTGTCTGCTGGTCCGAGGCTGCGGCAGCATGGTGGTCGCCATGTGGTTTGACGCAGGCTGACAGATGCCGGTGCGAAGATGTGCGTGGGCCGTCGCCCGTAGCGCGAAGGGAGTCGAACAGAGCTAACGTAGGCGAGTGATGCTCCCGTAGGAAAGCTATAGCGATGGTACGAGGTGCTGCACGTGCGAAGGCCGATGAATCTGTCAGTCCGTGGCAGAGAAAGATGGACTGACGAGTGGCATGCTGGCAAACGAAGCCATTGACTCGTAATGATAGGGAGCACTGAGGTGGTGCAAGGTTGACTTTATTAGTATATAGAGTCGGGTTACGTGGGCATTTTGTGATCACGCATGTAACCACCGCGTGAATCGAATCGATGACAGCAGCGTTTTATGACCCCACCAAGTCGCTGATCCGGGGAAGGCAAGCGCTCCCGTCACGCGAGCTTCCACCCGAGCACCTCCCTGAGCACATGTCTTGGGCTGCATCGGTCTGGGCCTTCACATGAAAGGGATTCCAATTCACTTCGATTGGTATTCATGCTGAATTCCTACCTGACCAGCTATGTAGCTACAGGTCGTTTTTGCTCTCACTTGATAACTATACATAAAGGCACTGCTCAAGTCCAAGCCCTTGGTATTCGCCCACCTCACGGAGGACCGAAGGACAGAGATGCTCCGGACGCTCGACCACCAAGGTGGCCTCCAACGTCTCCAGAAGTGTCTCCGATGGACGCTCGTGACCAGGTGTGTCCCCAACAGCGACACTGATCACGAGGAGAATTGAACTTAAACAGTACAGACGGAACCTCCTCCAGCATTGCAATTCGCACATGCCACCGAATGCCATTCGTCCACAAGCAAAGCCTCAAAGGCTGATCATTCGTCAAGTCGTTAAGTGGGAAGGAGCGGACGAGTAATGTACACAGACAGAACTCATAGATCATATTGGAGGGCACTGCCCTTCCTAATGTGGCAACGTCGTCACTCCGCAACCAGTTGTCACTCACTGGGAGCGAGAGGAGAGGCTGTCGACGGATGAGCGATCGCAGGATCCCTTGCGTTCGCTGCCGATTGCACCCATGCCGATACTGCCCATGCTCGTTCGGCTAGTCAAGGTCGTGCTGCCGGCCAAGACAGAGTCGGTGTCGGACCCGGAGGCCGAGAAGTTGAACTCGCCCTCGCTAGCAGGAGTGCCAGAGCCTGATCCAGGCTTGACATCGTTGCGTCGTTCACGACCGGCTTTCACCAGGTCGTGGACTGCCTGACGACGTTGACGAGCAGCAAAATTCTTGCTGCTGTCGTGCTTGGAAGTTGGCTTCTCCTCTAACTCATTCAGCAAGGGTGGGTTCTTCGGCTGGCGCGATGGGTGGGCCCCGACACGACCGTGGCCAGGACCAAATGTTCCAGTGGCTGGCGTTTGTGGCACTCCAGCTGAGCGAGGACCTACACCATTTCGTGTCCACTCACCCGTGGTCTTGATGTTGGCGGACGACATATTCTTGCGATGTCCACGGCGGAAAGCGTTGGCAGATGGAGGAGGAAGCGGCTCAACATCAGTCGCAGGTGACTGAGATGTCTTGGGTGGTGAAACACTCCTCAACTGCGTGCGAGAATCCGAAGAGTCCGACGTCTGACGCTGGAAGACCGGGGCGCTTTGCGGAGGTGATACAGATCGATACGCATCAGCGCTGTATTGATCAGCCTGCTGCTGAACCGCATTATCATACATGACAGTCTGCTGGCCCGTCATCGGGTTGTAAACAGAATACAGCCCAGGGCTTCCAGCGATGGGAGTAACGACAGGCTGGAGACTCTGCTGAAGCTGCTGCTGGTAGAGCAGCGCAGGGTTCACAGGAGACTGATATTGCGCCATGGAGGTCGAGTAGCCAGTATTGATGTTGAGCGCACTGAACTTGTTCTGTATCATGGCAACCTGCTGTTGCAGGGCAAGACTCTGCTCAGCGAGGGCACGATTCTGAGCTCTGAGAGTCTCGTACTCATGCGCGTCGCTGCCTTCGAGGTCATGGCCTCCGAAATCAAGAGACGGAGGTGCCAGGACCTGTTCCTGGAAGGACTGGTAGCCGCTGTTGTTGTTGTAAGACTGCGGGAAGAAGGCAGAGGCGGAGGTCTGCGGAAGGCGCTGTCCATTGTTGTACTGAGGAGCGAAGCGACTCTGGTCCAGGCCATTAGATGTCGGGACAGCAGATTTGGGCGCAGTGCGAAGACCAGCTAAGAGGTGGCCACGCGCAGTTCGAGGAGTAGAGACATTGTTCATCTGCTGTGTCTCATCGATAGCAGAGATGCTTGGAGTTTGAACGCTAAGTCGTTTGATGTGACCGGCTTTTCCTCGAGACGCGAAACCGGGTCCCGACACTCCGATCGAGTTCTGATTGTAAGGGGATTGATAGGAAGCCATTTGAGTAAAACCGCCAGTGTTCATACTCAAGAATTCTAATGGTGTATGTGCAGGAGATGTAATTGCTGTACCGCCGCCAGTGCTGAGGATAGCTGTCGATGGATAGAAGACAAGAAAGTTGCAAGGGAGCGTTGGATTATGGTATTATCTGCAGTCGCAGCAGGGAAGCGTAGCTTCGTCAAAGGATGGGGTATCAAATAAAGAAACCAAGTCTCGTAGCCTGCAACGCGGTCAGTGTCGTCGACTTTACACGGAACATACTCTGGACATACCAGTGAAGAGCCGTCGGAGTCGTCACGGCGTGCTTCGGGCAGAAGAATACGTGCTGACAGTTGCTTAGATGTGACGAGGATGATTCGTCCAGCCAAGACTGAGAGGGATGAATAGGTGATGTCGAGGATTAGGCGTCGGAACTTGACAATGAATGGACAGATGGATATATCTGTAGTCGTACGGTGTGTGCAAATCTGTTTTCTAGCAACAGGATGATTGTATTGCGCCGGCAAATACGAATGTGGTGTTCAGTGATGGCGGATGATTGTGGTTGAAGCTGATTAGAGAACAGGGGCTCTTGGAGTCGGTCGAAAGCTGCAGCAGCGTTGCAAAGAATATACAATTCGCGACTCTGTCTTGTTGCTTGCTTTGCAGTTCAATGCGATGTTGACAAGTCACGAGTGACAATGTCGTCGACTCAGAAAACCCCTGCGAAAGAGAAGAAGGAAGGAGGAAGGCGCAGGTGAGAGGAAGGGCAGGAGTGAGGAAGAACAGAAAGCTGATTGAAAATCGACAGTGAGGAGAAGGCGAAAAGCAGAAGCAGCAGCAGCAGCAGTCGGAGCAAGTCTAGGCTAGCAGAGGGGGCCCTGCCAGTCAGATCTTTGCCCTAACAAACCTGCACCGTGACTTCTTTGACAGCTGTGGAGTCGACTTGACAGGCGACGCTCCTCCCATTGGTTTCAGAGATCACCTCCTGCATTGGTGCGGAAGAGCTTCTCGAGGTATGGTTGCTCTTCGGTGCCCCTAATCAACTCGATTTATAGGCTACAGCTTCTCGAACAGCCGCCCAGAGACGGCACTAAGGTGAGGTTTGTTGGTGCTCATATGCAACCGGCTGCAGAACTAGCCAGCAGAGAAACATCCTTGGCATTAGTGCTGGCCTGCCGACTGGCTCAAATTGCTCCTATTCTTGTCTTTTGCACTTCGAGCGTTGTGGCGGTGTGAACGAACATTCTACTGTTATATGCACCACAAGATTGGAGCACGGATAACTCACAGCTTTATGCCTACAATGACTATCGCTGCGATCATTGACTATGTACCATGCGACCACAACAGGTAGCATGTGTTGCGGTTATCTTGCGGTCGCCCCCAATTCGAGGACGTGTTATGCTACGCGTTGGGTACGCGATGTGAGGTCGTGGCCGATCGCTTAACCACTAGTGCATGACTTTCTGATCGAAGTAGGGAATTGCCTTGATTCATCTATTCGCTATGGTACATGATTACGGTCGTATGGTGTACATGTCTCGCTTTTGACCGCCCAGATGATGCAAAATGGCCCGCAGGAAATGCTACCAACGTCGCCGACCAGGCCGCTCATTTCTGTACCGAAGCCGAGCCAGTGTTCGTCCTGGCGTCATGCGCAGCCTTTGGAATCAACTCGTCAGTCTCAGGAATGGCGTCTGAGTCAACGGGGGGTGGGTTTGGCACTCGGATGGTGGAAGATGAATTTTTGTCGGCCCTTGCTGATGGATCACGCTGCGATGGATCACGCTGCGATGATTCTGAGATGTTCTCGTTGCTTGATTGGGTCGCCCTCTTCGAAACGTCCGCGCTGGGTGCTTTCGGAGCTGTCTGCGAAGAAGAGGCAGGTGCTTTCGAAGACGCTTTTGGAGCAGGAGCAGGTGCTTTCGAAGACGCTTGTGGAGCAGGAGCAGGTTCTTCAAGGAGGTTGTGAGCAGAACCGTTCTCCTCTGACCGCCGTCGCTCTGCAATCTGGCTGACCAACTCTTGCTTCTCGGCCTCGAGCTCTCGATCTAGTTCCTCATCTTCCATGAGCTCATCTTTGTACACGTCGGGATGCTCTTGGAAGCAGTCTCGCATGCCTTGGAACTTTTCAATGCAGTCCATGCCCTTGGGCTCCTCGGTGGAGTAGACGAAGCATGAGAACGCCTCACGGAACTGTGGGCCGCAGGGACCATGAGCCATTCCACCCAGACAAGGACAATCCCAATTGATCTCTCCTGTCTCTGGGTTGAATGCACCTTCACCTGCAGCCTCTTCTTCGAGTTCGGCTGCGCCTCCCGCGAGTGCGGGTTCTTCGAGCTGGTCTACGGTCGCATTGATCTGTGCTTCCGCGTGGTTCTTTTGCGCCTCCCGAGACCGCCTTGAAGTGAGCTCGTCGAGCACCGATGCAGCCTCGGATTCGTCTTCGGAGTCGACGTTAGGATTCAGTAAATCTATGGTAATTTGTCAGCACGAGGTCATTCATCACTGAGACTCAACATACTGTGATGTGGTTGCTCGGCGAAGACAGAGCTGGTATTGTAATAGTAAAGACCGGCGAGCGCAATTCCCCATCGTACAGCACTGCTTTTCCAGCTCCGTGATCGAAGATGAGGCGGTTGTGTACTGAGTGACCGGAAGGAATGCGCCTTGACATTGTGTGAAGCCGTTCCGGCTGTCCGAGAGGCGGCCCTGGCTGTCGTTCTGAACATCATCTCTGCTGTGAGCTCTGCTAAACACTGTCAACCTCTGGAGCGACTGAAAGAATGACTGGAAGCTGCGGAAATGGATGCAAGTTCGTCATGCATCAACGCCATCAAAAGTTGCAAGCACTGTGTCAAAAGGAGCAGGTTTGCCGAGTCCGCGGGCCCACGTTCTCGATCGTTCAGAGAAGTGTCACTTAATTATATCCCCGCGACCACACAATTACCGCTAGCTTGCGCAAGCCTGACTCCGGGTCAGAGTACATCTTCCAGGGCATTGAAATGGACATAACGAAGTGCATTGTCTCAGAAAGAGACCGAGCCCTTCTCAACGGCGACTATGACACCTACCACCAGCAGACTAGCCGTAAAATCCATGCCATACGCAAACGCTTGGGAGCGACGACGCCCAAGAACGCAAGTATACGCCAAAGGCACCAGTCACAGCCGAAGATGTAGAGAAGAGTACAGAATGGGTGGCACTGCTACTTGCCAGCGCCGAACGGGCGTGGGCCAGCGCTATGGCAATGAAGTCCGCACAGTCACCCGAAAACACACAAAAACCCATGCCCAGCTCAACAAAGCGCCAGATTGCGTCTCGATTACGGCGAGCAATAGCGTATGCAGAGAATCTTGCGGCCGTTCTGGAGGCGAGTACCGCGAAGGCTTCGAAGATGGACACCGTAGAAGCCAGAGCCTACCTCTATATGCTGCGGGGCAGCTTGGATTTCGAGAAATCAAAGTGGCAGACATGTCTGAAGAATTATTCCCTGCCGCGGGTGGCCTATACGACACTTGGAAAGGAGACCAAAAACGATGCGTTCAAGGACCTGCTGTCTGGTATTGTTGACCCGAGTATCCGCTATGCTGCCTACCAGCTCAAGCTGCCGCGCACAAAACCGGTGGACGAGATCGTCATCGAGAACTTTCCGAGCAATGAGCAGACCACCAAGTCTTCACTGACCGAGGTGGACTCTCACGCTTTTCAGACAGCGAAAGAAGCCGTAAAAGCCGAGCCTGGTCAACACGATATCCCCACTTCCATCACATGGCGGTCCCGGAAGGTCAAGCTCGAGGACGCCGTCATCGCTCAGTCGCTGGGCGCTGCAATGTCAGAAGAAGAGACCCTGCAGGAGAAATTCACAAAGTCCAAGTCCGACAACACTTCTCCGACCGATCTGGCAGCTTCTTACGACCGTACTATCGAAGCAAGGCAGGATGCCGCGGACGCCACCAAAGCTGCCATTGACGATCTCGCAGCTGAGGGCGTAGATCCTGGTGACGCTCGAGTTCAGTCCCTTCAGGTTACGCGAACGGCCGTCAACTACGCCGTCATTGAGTTCCGTATCGGTCGCAATCGTGTGCTGTGCGGCCCGTCCGATGGACTCTTCTTCGAACCAGAGCAACGCACCATACCCAACAAGCAAAGCTCGACGGAAGCGCCCATACAGAAACAGAAATCCGAGTCCACAGGAAGACAAGTCTCCCGCCTACGCGAACGTACCGCTCTCTACGACGCCATCCTCCAGTCCATCGAATCCGTCAAGGACCTCCCGGGTGTCATCGCCGACACAGCATTCGTGACCGAGCTAGACGCAAAGCACTCTTACTTCCGTGCCCTTAAATGCCTCGCCATCGGCCGCTCCCACGCACTCAACAACGAAAAAGCGAACGCCCTCGCCCTATTCTCTCGAGCTCGACAACTCTGCCAGTCCGCCGCCACCGACCTCCCCTCCAACTCACAGCAATCATCTTCACCAAATTCCGCACCCAAACTCGACATATCCACCTCCCTCCTCTCGACCGCAACTTCCCACCTCACAACCCTAGTAACGCGCTACCGCGCCCTCACCGAGCTCTCCAACCTCACCTCCACATCTACCAATAAAACACCGACCAAACCTCTCGCCTACACCCGACCGCTATCAGACACGCTGCATCTCAACATCTACCACGACAACCCAGACCTCAACAACATCGTCAATTACCCGCCGAAGCTGCAGCCCATACCCGTCAAGCCCCTGTTCTTCGATCTGGCGTGGACGTATATCGATTATCCGAAGCACGGGAAGAAGGCTGTGCAGGCTGCAAGTGGCGGTGGTAAAGGTGCCGCAGCGGCGAATAAAGAGGCGGAGAAGAGGCCCGGGACGCCGGAAGTGCAAGAGCAGAAGAAGAAGGGATGGTTTGGATTTGGCGGTCGCTAGAGCGCTATTGGCTCCAGACGGTCACGGGACTTCTGGGGTGGACATATGCATTGCAGAGCCCTCGATGACTTCCTGTGCGAATAAACAATTGTCCTGCACGGAATTTATAGTCTGATCGCGACGTACATAGTTATGCCAGCAAGACAAGTAACAGGAAGTGTCCTGCCTTGAGACCAGAAATCTATTGAGTGGTTTGCTGTCGATCGGTTCGACGGAAGCGCAATGAATATATGAGTTGCCCACCTCGAGCGTTTCCCTGTCGACCCGCATTCATCAAGCATTCCTGTCCAAAGGAGCCCAACCTGCAGTCCGCCATAAAGCAATCATGGATTTCATCACACTTGGTCTGAATGCACTCACTCCGTGCGCCATGTTTTCAAAAACCCTCTCGGGCTGACCATCCGGTGGTCGCCGTTGCTACAGAATAACGCCAGAGTCGCTGCGATTGCCAAGGTAAAGCACATACTCCTGCTTGCTCATGACCGATGAAGCATTTCTCGCTCTGCATCATTTGGCAGAAACACGCCATGCTGCTCGATCTCAACCTGCAATGCGGTGATGGGCGCCTCCATACCTGCCCGGGTTTGAGCCACCTGTGGCTTTGGTGACTGCCACGCGGAAGGATCTATCGGCTGCTCTGTCTCTGGTGAGGGACCAGATTGTACAGGCGTTTGAGCAGATGATGACAGAAGGGGCTCGAACGTCAGTACCCTTCGTCTGCGCCATTGGCGCTGTGGTGGTAGAGATTCTTCAGTGGATAGGATTTTGGGGTTCGACGCTTGATCCAGCGTACGCTGATCTGAGTAGTAGTGCACATGATCAGTGACATGCATTGCTGGGAAAGTATGTCGCTTCCATGGTGAGCGATAGTTGGCGCGGGCTAGACGTGAGTGCTCGATGAGGTCTGAAGACGTCCATGGCTCGGCGCTGTTGTGAGGCTGATGGATGGTCGATCGTAGTGGGAGAGGCAAGTCCGCTAGTTGAGATGAAGGCGTCGGCACATTCTGTATAGCACGTGGTTCATGTGTCGAATCCGCTTCCTGCGTTATTGGGAGCGGTGGGATTGAAGCTGACTCTACTACTAGCGGCTTCTTGGTGTCGTTTCGTAAAATGTGCTCGTCGGGACGGTCCTTGAGCGTCGACTCAACATCGCTTCGAGTCTGTCGGAGCCTCGTATGTGTATGTGTGGCACGTTGAATAGCCGATAATAGTGCTGCTCCTATGATGATGCCAAGGCCGAGGGAAAATATTTCCGAAGTGCCTGGAAAGAGAAAAGATAGTCGATCGATTAGATCGGATCTTATCACCATCTTTGACTTCGATGCAATCGCATACTCTTCAGATGCTGTTGATGACCCGTTCTATATCTCATAAGTGTGCGAATGCCGACAATTTGCGAGTGTGCTAGAGATATGAGGAGATGAATAAGCAGGGAAGACAGGAAGTGCACGAACGTGAGATGTGGCGGCGAAGGGAGAGTGCTGTAGATGTAGTAACATGCTTCGCGCAAGCGAGCAGTCGAAAGCCACACCCCTCCTACCCACCTGAGGTGCACAACGCGAAGGGTCCCAAAAGAGTGTTTGAGAAGCTTGGGGCGAATCTCGATTCGTAAGGATGACAGGCAGCCAACGGAAGGTGCAGAGGGCGGACTTGTAATCTGGCAACAGCAGCCACAGGCAGTTTCGCACCTCACCGATCATGGTTGCATCAACATCACGGGGACATCGATGACAAGGCTTGCAAGGCGGGGCACACGAAAGGACGTCCGTGCAGTCGGCCACTGCGTAATTTGACAGCTGCGGCGGTCATTATTTCTGGCGAGCCGGCATGGCGGAGCGCAGATGTAAGCTGAGTATGTGGAAGTTTCGGACGACTGTCGGTCCAGATTGATCAGATTAGTACTGTGGCATGCCGTGTGCAAAATGCTTGATCTCGGGTCCGGCACAATGAGCATGTTGAGTTCTCGTTTCAGGAAATGTTGCTTTTTCATCGAGCCTCAGGGTTTGACAGGCCCAGCTGGATAGGTAGCAAGCCTCGGATGCTGTGGTACGAGAATCACCGGCACGGCCAGACAAGGTAGCTGGATAAAGCCTGCTGCTAGGGACTCAGCTGGCCAGGGATAAGCCATCAAAGCTTAGAAAGGACGCCTGGACCAGAACGTCTTGCGGCGTATGCTGTGAGTTGCATGATTTGCTCGCGTCTGCTTTTAGACGATCTAGATTGCTTCAAGAGGTGTAGAGCCATTTTTGAGGATGCTATGGAAGGATGCAAGGATGAATGTACACGAAAGACGTGATGTGAAGTTGCTAAAATGCCAAGGGCATGATGCCTTGGCGATGGCACTTGCTCCTCGGGGCTCCGCTATCAAAAGGTACGAGTCAATTCGGTAGCTTCGGAACATGGACGCATGTATCAAGCGCGATCATCCCATCAGAGAATGCCATCGTGTACAAATTGCAGGGCTCAATAAGGCCGGCAGAGGGAGAATGGATTGCGAGATACATATAGCGTATCCAAGCTAGGTAAGTACGTGGTGAGCTGTCACGAACGCTAAGCAGACCGCTCCGTCTCACGCTCCCGTCTATTTGAATAGATTCTTGAGCGTCTCGGGCGCGTCCTCTTTCGCCATGACGACCTCGATCATAATCAGCCCCTTCCCACTTCTGACCGCAGGATCCTCGAAAGCTTGTATGATATCGCCCCAGGTGGTTCCCTTACGCAATGTGATCGGGTAGGTCGGGTCGTCGAGGTTCGCCCCAAAGAAGTTGGGGGCCTCCAGATATCTCCATGGCTGCACATCGTTGTACTGCGCGTACATGCCATGAATGTGCCGCTCAATGGTATAGCCGTCGTTGTTGATAATGATTATGATCATATCTGATGTCCGTTAGTCAGGTAGAAACGGAACGGGAAACGAACTTTTTGCTGTTTCCGCTGCGACAAGTCCAGAAACCTTCTGGGAGCGTCCGCAAGGATGACACGGGGACAGACATACCGAGTCGGTTGCGAATGATGTCGCTGATAGCTTGAACACTCATCTGAAGGCTTCCGTCACCCGTGAACAAAATCGTTCGACCTGCTGCTCCTATGCCTTCATCGACTAGATCTCGTATTGCCAGTGCGCTTCCCTGAGCAGCACCAAGCATGAAACCGATGGACAGCCAAAGCGCCGAGGTGACCATGCGGACGTCTTCGGGCAGCACGAGATCATAGGCGCCAATCGAGGATGTGCCGCATTCAGTCAAGACCACATCGCCGGAGGTAAGTACTTGAGAACAGAGTCGCCAGAAGGCGCTTTGTTTGATTGGCTCTTGGCTTTCCGGTCCCTGTACCACGTCTGGGGTCGGTACGTCTGGCATGAGACACTGGGCAGAAACCTGCACCTGACATTTCCAGTCGCTCATGCTCTCAAGAAGCTTCTGAAGTAGAGATTTGACCTGGATCCGGAATTCTTTGCCCCTGATCGTGACTGCATCTTGGTGAAAGACAATGGTTGTTGAGTCCTTGTGAATTGTACTGAAGCCAAATGTATTGCAATCGCTCCACAGCGGCGCGAAGTAGATGAGCAAGTCGCGAGTCTTGATGTATGCGCTGTACTCGGGGTCTCCAGCTGTGCCCTTGTAGAGTCGACACACATTGGGCGCCTGTTCGCTGATCATGCTCTTTCCGGCGGGAGTGGTCGAAGTGGGAATGTTGCTCGATCTCACGATCGCATTAACCTCGCCTTCTATATCGTATGCTCGGACCAATCCGTCCACAATGATGAAAGGTCTCTGCGCGGAGGTGATCTTCTCTCGTATGATATCGACCACAGAGTCCTCAAACCAGTGTGCGTGGAGTGTACCGTTGCTCTGGATCAGCGTGCCATTGCTCATGGCTTCAGAAGTCGGAATCGTCTGTGAAACCATGTCGGTCGGAAGTTCAATGTACACTGGTCGCGACTCGTGCACGCACGCCTTGAGGACGCGATCAATCTCCGAGGCCACTGTGGTTATGTCTGACAGATTCGTGTGAGCGACTGTTATTTGTGTATACATGTTTGCGAACACTCTGAAGTCGCCATTGCCGAGAGAGTGATGCAAACAGAGGCCAGAACTTTGGAACGATGTCGATGGAGTGCCTACAATGTGTACCACTGGGCTTCGCTCAGCGTAAGCACCAGCGATGGCATTGATTGCACTTAGTTCGCCGACCCCGAACACCGTGATGAGAGCCGCGATGCCTCGGAAGCATCAGCAGAATTCTGGAAGAGGAGTATGAGACTACTAACCTTTGATTCTTCCGTAGCCATCTGCCGCATAGCCAGCATTCAATTCGTTCGAATTACCAACCCATCGCAGTCCAGCATCCTCCAGGAAATCCAGAGCGACTAGGTTGTAATCCCCCGGAGTTCCGAACAGACTTCGTACACCTAAGTCGTGTAGGCGTGCAAAGAGGTATCGTGCCACTTCCATCTGCGGAATTCTCTACTTTGTGATAGTACTGAGGTGTCTGGATAGGGATGAGACAGGCAACAGGTTGAGCAGATAATTTGATCCAATCCATCTGCCTTGTTCAGAAGCTGCGGCCCTTGTTAGCGCAGTCCTTGTCCCGGGAAGATTTGGTTGCCGTGCACAACCTGCACAAGCCGCAAGGTTTCCATACTGTTCAGTTGCCATAAAATTTTGCCAAGACTGCTCACTGTGCCAACCGCTTCTTGCCTTGCTTGACTTGATCTGCTCTGACAGCTAGGTGCACAGCCTCGTTGTTGCGGGATGTTGGCTCTGTCAGTGAACGCTATGAGGTGTGTTGTCGTTACTCCAGGGGCAAGCCATCCCCGAGATATCACTCTTCGGCTGCCTGCATGAGATGTTGCTATGGAGGCTGACTTGAGACCCAGAACGACAACAGAGCGCACCCGATAGCGGTGACCAAAAAGCGTTGTAGTTCCTCGACACAGCGGTCACACTGCTGCATTCGCCGCGTGTTGACATGTGAAGAAAGTTCCGCTTGACGACAACGTGTAAGTCCACGATCAAGCAGCATAGTACATTGCATCTGGGCTGAACCCGAGGCTCTCACTCTTCTCTAGCTCTGGCGTCCTCGACACACTTCTCCCAGTTGGCTGTCTTCATATACAGCCACATCATGAATGCGCCAAGTCCAAGACCTAGTGTAGGACCGACCCACAGACCCTGCAACTCTAGCTTCGGTGGACCAAACGTGAGGAAGAACGAAAGCGGAAGGCCGAAGATATAATAGACTCCTAGATTGACCCAGCCACCAATGCTCTGTCGGCCCAGTCCTCGAAGTAAACCATTGGAAATAGCGAGAAGTGCGTCGAATAGCTGAGCTGACGCGACAATAGGAAGAACAAGAACAATTATGTCTCTCACGCTTTCGTCCTTGGTGAAAAGCTGAGCAAGCAAATGCCTCGTTGACGTGAGAAGAACGAGGTCCCAGAGACCAATGACGCAGAAGACTACGTAGAACGTCCGCCATGCCTTTCGTGCAGCGTTGAGAGCACCGTACCCAATCCAGTGGCCAAACCTGGTGCTAGCAACGATGGAGACCGGGAAGGGAACGTGGTAGATGGCCACACATACTGTCATAACGACTGACTGCGCAGCCAGATGTTCCGCCGAGAGATAGCTGGATGCGAAAGTCAATGCGTCAAACGCGAACCACTCGGCTGCGGTCATCACAACGCCTGGAATGCTCAATCGTATTATAGGACCCCAGTTCGAGAATATGCGTCGCCACTGGATCGTTGGCCAGCATTGAAGCGCCTCGCGGTCGAAGATCCAGATGTACAGTATCAACACCACAGGTTGCAGTGTATTCGATATGGCGGTCGCCAGAGCAGCGCCTTCAAATCCCAGGCCAAGTCGAAAGGGAAGCAGCCAATTCAAGAAAATGTTGACTGGCGCACAAACCAGGAGCACCCAGAGCGAAGCATCGAACTTGCCTTGAGCTTGCATGAAGCGTTTGCTGGCCTCAAAAATACCCCAGCTTGGTGCACCGATCAAATATATCTGCAGGAAGCGACCAGCCAGCTTAGCGACCTCTTTCTCCGGTACCAAAGCAGGGAGTATCCATGGCGCTGACAGCCACACAGCACCAATGGGAATAGTGACGAGGCACATCAGGGCACACATTCGCTGTACGGCCAGGCCGACCAACTCTTTCTTTCCATTTCCGTATGCTTGAGATGTGAGAGTGTCGAGCGATGTAGCAAGACCCTCATATATGTTGTAGCCGAACACATTAGCGTTCATGGAAGCCAACGACGCTGCAGCCAGTTCTTTTGTTCCCAGACGACCAGCGACCAGAACTGTGACAACGCTGAATGAGTACTGAACCATATACGTGACTATCAGGAACGGCGAGTTTCTGACGAGATACTTGACCTCTGTCTGCCAGGCCGTGTCATCTTCTTGGTAGTCCGACTCTGATACGCTCTCATCGATGACCGTGTCATAGCCATCTGAGCCAGCCGTAGCCGCATCTTTGATGGGCACATCTGGGCGTTCAAGATCGAGCGAGGGTTTGCGCAGGAGCGATGTTGTCTCCGAGACAGGGCCGGCAGGCATGCTGCAGTGCTATACGCATGAAGGACCGCCCCGCACAAGCGACGCAGTGGCAGCAAACAAATTGTATGAAGATCTGGGGAAGGTAGTAGTATTCAAGCCGTGCCACGAATCTTTTTCCTGGTGGGGTTGCGATTTGACCTTCTAGAAACCGTAAGGGTACTACAAAGTCAGTTTTCCCAGGCGTGTGAAGTCCTACCTTGAGCTGTCTCTGGGACTTTTGAGAGCTCGCCAAACCTGTGTTGCCCCTCACTGATATGCAAGACCTGCTGCGCCATATGATTGTGAAGTAGCACCAGAATGTGCGATTCGTTGGGAAGGTACTGCATGCCTTTAGGAGCGCTGATTTCGGCTCCAGCTCCAGCGGTGAGCATCGAATCCGCGCTCAGCGGGTCAGCCAAGTCGGTGCCCTGCGCGCGGTGGGGGTTCATCGGCGTAGGATATGTTCTCCGACGCGCATCCTTTTGATCGTGAATTGAATGAAGGTTCGCTCATCGCCGGCAACCAACGGGCAGCGGTGCCCGATGGACGAGGTCGAGAGCTCAGCACGATGTGTCCGGTCGGCAGCCTCTGCATCATCCTCCGCTGACCCACGCTGCGTAGGACGACATGAAGACCCCTGGCCATGCTCATTGGCAGACCCCAGACGCGACATCCCTCCAAATCTCCAGCCACCGCGTTGGCAAAGCCTGATCTTAGTATCTTTCGCGTTTCTGATCTGTGCCGGCTCGATGTTTCTTCACTTCACTTCCGCTGCCTGATATTTTTGACCGAAGTTTGCATTAGGCTAATCCTTGTACGCGTCGGATGTACATGTAATATTGTAACAATGACTTCTACTGTATCACCGCACAAACGCAACATCCACAACCTTCCTCCCCCTCCACCGATACCTGTAGACCCCGCCTCAGTCAGACTGCCAGAATCCCCAGAGAAGCCTTTTCGATCGCTCCGCTCGGCCAAATCACATGCAGCTCTCTCGTCGACGCAGTCCAGCCTGCGGAGAGCAGCCATGGGCACCAAAGGGTCGAAAGAACAGCTGAATTCTTCGTCGACCACCAACCTGCCACCACCAATGCCACAAGTGAGCCGAGCTCGAGCCAATAGCGATGTGCCTGCACCATTCGAGCGACAAAAGACAGCACGCAAAGCGACCAACTACTCCCTCACTTCCTCACACGCTCGAAAGAACAGCTTAGAGCTCACATTTCGCGATGGCCCACCAGCTGGCACCACAGCCGTCGACTCAATATCACTCCTCCGCTCATCTATCCTCTCCTCCGGAGTCACAGCCACTAAGGAAGGTCTGTCCGACTACCGAATCTACCTCTGGCTCGCCCTCCTCAACATCGGCCCATTCTCCACAGACCAATACCTAGCCTTCATCCACCGTGGTCAGAGTCCAGCCTACGACAAGATCCACCAGGATGTCTTCCGCACTCTCGCAACCGATGCCCTCTTCCAGCGTCGAGTCACCAACGCCTCCCTCACACGAGTCCTCAACGCCACCGCATGGCGGATACACGACGAGCAGAACTCGACCAACCCACCACCAGCCACAAACCAAACACTCTACGTCCAAGGCGTCAACGTCCTCTCCGCACCCCTCCTCTACGCCTCCCGTTCCGAGTCGCAAGCTTACTCTCTCCTGACCTGCCTCCTCACGACTTACATCCCAACCTATATCTCACCTACCATGTCTGGTGTGCACGCCGGTCTCGAGCTCATCGACCGCATCCTTCTCGACCGCGAGCCCAACCTGGCCGCTTTCCTGCAAGAAAAACACAAGCTTCCAGCCAAAATCTACGCTTTCCCCTCCGTGCTTACCCTCTGCGCATGTACGCCACCTTTACCCGAAGTGCTGAAGTTGTGGGACTTTCTCTTCGCTTTTGGCGTGCACCTGAACATCATTTGTGTGGTGGCACAACTGGTGCTCATGAAGCAAAAGCTGTACGACAGTCCGAGTCCCGGGAAGTTGCTGAGGAGCTTCCCACAGCTGGACGCTGGCAAGATTATTCAGGTGACGCTGGGAATCGCGAAAGACATGGACGAGGCTTGTACGCCGAAGTGGTTAGGCATGGAAAGGGGACTTAGCAGGTCACGAGGAGTGCCGGCCGAAAGACTCGGTCGATAAGTCCACAAAAGCGACGATTTTCACTGGTCGACTGATGGATTCTTACGATGAGCGTGGCATGCATACGGTCGACTTGGGGCTTGGAACATAATCAAGAGAGCACAGTCGAGGGACGTCCCTGCATTCCCCGCCAGATGGATTGTGTATCACTAGCAGTGTTATGAGTAACGAGTCCACGAACGAGGACCCACATAAAGTGGCTGCATCGGCTGACGAAGTTCTGAGCATACGCATTGCTCTGCGAAGATAAAAAGTTGGCTGTAATGGAATTCATGGGAACGTGCCATTCGGGCGACCGCTATTGAGCGATAGTCCATCTGCATCAAACTCTCTCACGTTGGGTGATAGACGAGCTTGACATCCGCCCGTCAAGCTGGAATAGCCCGCTCCAACAACACCGCCATACCCATCTGAACGTTGTCCATCGTCTTCCCTCTGCCTTTCTGACCCTTCCACTCGAAAGTCTCTCCCACTATCACGCAGTATCTGCCGTTTGGGCTCCAGGCTACCGCTCTGGACGTGAAGGCTGATCCGTCGCCTTTAGCACCCGACAGATCGACTTGGAAGTGAGCCTTCTCGAGCGGATGACTTGGGGCTGTCAGAGGGAATCTGTTACGATCTTCCGGCGGCTCTACGAGTGGTCCTTTAGGCAGGTCTTCTGATGGAGGCAGGCGCTCAGACATCTCGGAGGAGTCCCGCAGGGCGTCATCGGTCGGCAGTGCCCGACTGGAACTGGAAGCAACGGATGACGGGTGTGCAGACCCTGTGCGAGGGGTGTCACGAGAATTTGCTCCTGTTTCGTCAACACTGGTCATGATCGCGGGAGCCGAGTCGGAATGGCTGAGCCCACCTCGGACTGCTCTGTTCGCGTGTGCCGTACCTCTTCGCGCCCTTGAGCCGCGTCCACGCCTCGCGCCGCCTCTAGTGGCTGGGACAGAGTAGTCGTATCCACGATCCAAAGCTTCCAAGTCCCAGAACCGAGCAAGACTTTTCACATTGCCGCAGGCCAGGACTGGATGTATGTCCGGATACTTGAGACTTGGTGTGAGAAGATCGAATCTGATAAAGAAGGGTTCACAGTCTGGTATCTCGAATTGGACAAGGCGCTGGAACGGATGGTCCGAGGCGAAGATCGGGTCGGTGGTAATCTTCTGCACACCGTCCTCCGTGGTCAACACAATTCGAGTGAAGCCGTTCCTGGTGTCCAAATGCTCCGACGCCTTGGGAGCAAGGATCCCATCGGGTGGCTCTCGAGAAGACTGGAATCCGTTTATGCTCCAGAACACGATCTTGTTCTCCTGAGCTGACTTGGACAAGACGAAGTACCATAGAATCGTACGCAATCGACGTAGTAGTTGTGAATAGCAGAAGAGGTGAAGTGCGGATAGTGGATGAGTCGGACTTGCTCCGCTCGCCGGCTTGCCCCATCTGGCGCTATCTCACTCCAGAAGGGCGAGTCAGGCGCGAGATCGGGAATGGTCCACACGCAGATGCGATTATCGAACCCGCCAGATATCAGATATCTTCCCGATTGATGCCAGGCAAGGGTCATGACACTAGCTTGATGCCCATTGCCGGCGCCACAGATCACAACTGTTGGTGATTCATGCTTGCTGTCCCAACGCCGTAGGTCCCAGATCCGAATGCTTTGGTCAACGGACGCACTTGCAAATATCCATGGGTATCTAGGATGCGTAGCAAGTTCGTTGACGACACCTTTTCCGTGGCCGACAAGTGTTGTCTTCAGGTCACCACTGGTAGCATTGAAGACCCGGATGTAGCCGTGATCGCCCGCACCCAGCAATAGAGGTTCATCCTCTGTGATATATGCCCAAGCAGCCGAGCAATAGTCCTCCAAAATTACTTCATTCTGTTCTTGGTCTTCCTGCACAGCCTTGACCTCACAGTACGAAAGATTCTCAATCTGTGCAGATTCAGAGTCCTTGTCGATGCGCCACACTTGCATATTCCATCGCGTCGATAGGTAGAATATAGGATCGTCGTCAGCGGACCCGTATGGCCAGAATTGCGAGTACCAACACGTATTCCGGCGCTTGTCGTTGATCTCTGCAGCCAGCCTAATGTAGCGACGTATCTCTGGCTGGGCGAAATGTCTAGGGTCAGAGTCGGCGGACGAAGACATGCTGTTCGCATCCAGTAGATCAATGAAGTTGTTGAGCCGCTCCCCTATTCGCGAGAACTCCTTTGCGTTGCTGGCAAGCTTTGCCAGCGTCTCCGTACAATGTCATACACAATTATGCGATTGGACTTGACACCTTCAGCATCCACTTCCTACTTCCACTTCGTCAGAACCGCCGTGTATGCCTTGCTCTCCTGCAGATCAGCCCAGATCGTCTGTCTGCCAGCTGTTAGAGGAGCGAGGCGACCAAACGTTCGCTACAAACCGCCCGGAAACTCCCAACAGGCCAATGCGAAGGTTGCATTAGCATACTGTCGTTGTCATCGCGTACTAACAGGGTCGAGCCGCCCAAGAATGGAGGTTGCCACCAGACCGCGTAGCTCTTGCCGTTCTGCACTTTTTCTCACGTGGAAGCATCAACTGAGCTAAAACTTTGAGTCGCAGGTCTCGTGTCCACGGGTCTTGTTCGTTTGCGGCGAACAACCTTCCTAAGCTCACCGTACTCAGAGGCTCTTCGTGCATTGATTTGAGTGTTGAAAGGGCAAGGCGACTGTTGCTCCACTCGACGCCTTTTCTTGGCATTGGTGCCATCTTTCAAAGAGTCATCACTTGCCGTCTATGTCGATGCTAATTACCCTCGACGTGTGCGGCACACCGACTGAACGAGTCTCCTGGGACATCTGAGCTTATTACCACGCCATGGCTCCCGGTATTACTGACGGCGGCCTAGCCACGCGCACCGCTGCAAGTCGAGTCGTTGCATCGGAGAAGGTCAAGAAAAGTCTAGAGCAGCAATACCTGACGCCTCCGACTACGTTCAGCGCAGAGTGGTTGAACAGACTACAGAGACGATGGGACAATCAGATTGACTACACTGACCTATGTCAGATCGCTCCGACTCAGAGTCGAACAGTCACTCGCTTCATCCGTGAGGGTTTAGAAGGCAGGGTCACGGGCTACAAAGAGGTCACTGTGCCGGCTTCTGGTGCTACTGCAAAAGACTCGACCTCAATGCTGCGTCGTCCAGCTGACCGAGCCGACTTCGTGCGTGGTGCCGCTGGCTACTTTCCATTTGCTCCTGGAGGCCTTGATGGCGTGGATGCGATTCAAGCCTATGAGGATCAGACGCAGCTCGAATTGGAGGAAGGTGCGACAAAGAAAGCGAATGGCTTGAGTCGTGTCATCAATTTTGGAGCTGGCGATGGACTCCTACAAATACCTCCGGGCTTTACTCGAGGACTTGATTTTGACAAGCAAGAGAAAGAGGGGGACGAGGCCGTGAAAGTACTGGAAGAAGCTGACAGCATCAGTTCATCAGGGACCAATGGTACTCTGAATGGAAGGAAAGACTCGTCGGACTCGGCGACTCCGTCTGGAGAGGATACCGATGATGATGATGTCAACCTCGACGAACTTCTGCCAGTAGAATTCCCTTCGCTGGCTCCTCATGGTCAGTTGAAGGCTTCCACGGCACGAGACAAGGGTCGAGAATGGGCTCATGTGGTCGATGTCAACAAAGCCATCCCGAATTTCACCGACCTGGTACCAAGCATGGCTCGTACCTGGCCTTTCGAATTGGATACATTCCAAAAGGAAGCTGTCTATCATCTGGAGAGCGGCGATTCGGTCTTTGTGGCGGCGCATACATCTGCAGGAAAGACTGTTGTCGCCGAATACGCCATCGCGCTCTCAGCCAAGCATATGACCAAAACCATTTATACTTCTCCCATCAAGGCACTCAGCAACCAAAAGTTTCGAGATTTCAAGCAGGAATTTGACGACGTTGGCATTCTCACAGGCGATGTCCAGATCAATCCGGAAGCCTCTTGCCTGATTATGACCACAGAAATTCTAAGAAGCATGTTGTATCGAGGTGCGGATCTAATAAGAGATGTCGAATTCGTGATCTTTGATGAAGTCCACTATCTGAATGATCAGGAGCGAGGTGTTGTATGGGAAGAAGTCATCATCATGTTGCCTGACCACATCAACCTCATCTTACTCTCAGCTACCATTCCCAACACGAAGGAATTCGCACAATGGGTTGGGCGTACAAAGAAGAAGAACATATTTGTCATCTCGACTTCGAAACGACCAGTCCCGCTGGAGCACTATCTCTGGGCTGGCAAAGAGATGCACAAGATTGTCACGTCCGATAGAGCCTTTGTTGACAAGGGATGGAAGGCTGCGAACGACATACTGTCTGGCCTAGACAAAGTGAAAGAGCAGAAGGCCATCGAAGCAACGTCGGCGTCAAACCGTGGGAATACTCCCAGCAGAGGTGGTCGAGCGGGACAGCAGCAGCGTGGCAACAATCAACGTGGGGGCCCTCAGCAACGGGGAAGAGGTGGACCACCCACCAACCGCGGCCAAGGCAACATTGCACGAACTGGTCGAGGCAGTGGACGGACCACCGCTGCTCAAGATCGTACAGTATGGGTCGGCTTGGTCGACTATCTTAAGAACAACAACCTGCTTCCTGCTTGTATCTTTGTTTTCTCGAAGAAGCGATGCGAAGAAAATGCTGATTCTCTCGGCAAGAAGGACTTCTGCACTGCGGCTGAGAAAAGCGCCATACACATGACGATCGAGCGATCTATCGCACGTCTGAAGCCAGAGGACCGTTTGCTGCCACAGATTGGTCGGCTACGAGACATGCTCGAGCGCGGGATAGCTGTGCATCATGGCGGCTTGCTTCCCATCGTCAAAGAGATTGTCGAGATCCTCTTCGCTCAGACACTCGTCAAAGTCCTCTTCGCGACCGAAACCTTCGCTATGGGTCTCAATCTTCCAACTCGTACCGTCGTCTTCTCCGGCTATCGAAAGCACGACGGCCGAGAATTCCGTAATCTTCTGCCGGGCGAGTATACTCAGATGGCAGGTCGTGCTGGTCGCCGTGGCCTCGATACGGTCGGCACCGTCATCATCGTTGCTGCTGGCCGTACTGACGCACCACCTGCAGCCGAGCTTCGCTCCATGATTCTTGGCCAGCCCACTAAACTTCGCTCCCAGTTCCGCCTGCATTACAACATGATTCTGAACCTGATGCGAGTCGAGGCTCTCAAAATCGAAGAGATGATCAAGCGTTCGTTCAGCGAGAACGCGACACAGGCCCTCCTTCCCCAACACGAGAAGCAGATCTCCCTGTCCCAAGCCAACCTGGACAAGATCAAGCGCGACCCATGTCCTATTTGCGACATCGATCTCCAAGCTTGCCATGACGCGGCCATCGAGTACGAAGAGCTGACCAAAGAGCTACACCAAAAGCTTCTCGCCTCCCCAGTTGGCCGCCGACTGTGGACCACTCGTCGCCTGATCGTCTTCAAGAAGAACAACATTCGCACCGTCGGCATCATCCAAGAAGACAACATCAAAGGCGGCCCCAACCCATCCCTCAAGGTCTTCGCGATCATCAACATCGACGCCACCCGCACCGAGACCGATCTCCTCCCCTTCCTTCCCGCCTTCCGCCAGAAATTTCCACCCTTGCCAAAGGACCCATTCAAGCTCCTGCCCCAAACAGTGCTAGTCCCACTCGAGGACATCGAGGCTGTGACTGCCACCCTAGTCAAGGTAAATGGCCCTCCCTGGTATCTCAGAATTCCAAAAGGTTGTATTTTCTTTTGTACTCTTGATGACACAGTGTGCTTACACATCTCCTCTCCATCATCTAGGTCGATGTCCGGACGATACTAAACGATCGAGCAGAGCAAAAGATCTTCATTGAAAACGAATTCATCAAAAGCTACACAGACTGGGCGAGCAAGGTCTACGACGAGCAAGAGTGGAACAAAGTCACAGAACTCAGCGTGCGAGAGGTACTCTCTGCTCGGGAGAAATTCGCAAAGATCACCCAAGAGTCCAAATGCCTATCCTGCCCTGATTTCCTCAAGCACGTACGTCCTCCCCTCTGCAAACCCCTCTAGCCCAACTCCACACTAACCGCCCAACCCCAGTACGCACAAGAACACGACGAACACCTAATCCGCACCACCATCACCTCCCTCCAACGCCTCATGTCCGACCAAAACCTCTCCCTCCTGCCCGACTACCACCAACGCGTCTCCGTCCTGCACGACCTAGGCTTCATCGACGCCCAGCGCCGCGTCCAGCTCAAAGGCAAAGTCGCCTGCGAGGTCCACTCCGCCGACGAGCTCGTCCTCACCGAACTCATCCTCGAGAACGTCCTCGCCCAATACTCACCGCAAGAGATTGTCGCGCTGCTATCGTGCTTTGTGTTTCAGGAGAAGACGGACGTCGAGCCGCAACTCACCGAGTCGCTCAAGAAGGGGGTGGAGGCGATCGTGGCGATCAGCGAGCGGGTTAATCACTATCAGATTCTGCATCAAGTTATCCTAGGCAGCGACGACGCAAATGATTTTGTGTCGCGCCCGCGGTTTGGGCTGGTCGAGGTGGTGTACAATTGGGCAGATGGGATGAGTTTCAAGGAGATTACGGACTTGACAGATGTCATGGAGGGGACGATTGTTAGGGTGGTCACGAGGCTCGATGAGACGTGTAGGGAGGTGATGAGTGCGGCGCGGTTGGTAGGTGATCCGGGGCTGTACCAGAAGATGGAGAAGGCGAGGGAGATGATCAGACGGGATGTTGTGTTTACGGCGTCGCTGTACATGTGAGCAGGGTAGGGTTGGGTACTGTTTGGCAGAAGGGGAAGCCTGGTTCCAGCACAGAGACGACTTTTCGGTGGGTGACTGCACTGTAGTAGCTCTCCCAGCTTGTCGAGCGATCGATCAACAGGCCCCGTCTGCATCAATTAGGTGCAAGGGTCAATGTCTACCTCAAAACACGCAAGCACTGTCGGGCAGCAATCGTATAATTCGAAAACTCTCGAGCACTTTTGGCCTGGTCACTCATCTGCTTCTACGCCCCTACGGCCTGAGCGGCTCACAGGTGGGCCACCCGCAAAACCGGCTGAATTCCTCAATTGAACCTTCCTGAGACATCTAATGCAGATTAAACGAGACGTACCTGCATCATGACATCCTAAGTCGACATTTCCGTTCAATTTGTTGGGATATTTTGTGCGCGAAAGTGTGCTCAACTTCCGTGTCCGTATAGCATCAGGATGTATCAAGCGAACTGGTGGGGGCTGATTTTCATCCCCGGGCGCCACTGGTGGTGGGAGGCTGCGGAGTGCCCACCTGCAGTTTCGGCACGATCGATCCTGGTCAGTGCGCTAGATCGCGGGCCATGTTTTGCGCTCCGGGGCCGTGGTCATCGAATATGCAGTCACGTTAATGGATAGGGCAACCACTTTTGTGGGCAGTAGTATTGTGTAGCTTTAGTACGAGGCGGGATCTGAAAGCTCCGCACCACACAACCCAAATTGTTGCCCCAGTTTGAGATTATTGAGACTTCGTAATGGCGGTGATGGGTGATCATGGCTTGCATGGCTGGCTTTCGAGGCGAAGGAGGACATGTCCGCCCTAGTGGCTCGGTATGGCAGAGGCCCAAGCAGGGGGAGTGACTTCTGCGTCAGGGGTGTAACGAGTCTCTACGTAATAAGTGTTGGCGTAAAATTCTTTCGAGAGCTCGGTGTATTGCTTTGTGTGCGTCCTGGCATTGGATGGCTGCCGAGAGACATACAGCTGGAGGCTTGACCACATATAGTGTATCGTAGACGACGAAGGTTCAACGACAAGCAGTAAAGGTCCGGAGGCAGCGAGACGAGGCAACAGCATAAGAGTGCTTCCCCACCCCGATTGCTGGGTATGGGATCGAATGGCACAGAGAACGGCTCGGTGGCAAAGCGTCGAAAGCTGGATGGCGAGATGCCTAAGTTGAGCACCACGAACGACTTGCTCATCTGCTGTGCTTGTGGAGCGCAGTATGAGGTGACCGAAGAGAACGGCCTAGAGGAGTGCCGAATCTGTGAGGTAGAAATCCAGCTGCTGGCGCTGCAGTGTCTTGTCTAACCGATGTGTGTAGGATCCACGACAGTTTGTGCCAGGGACTGGGCAGGCGTGGACGACTTTGGGGAAGATGCAGGCTGCCACAGCTGATGATGGCGTATCGAGGAAGTACAAGAATGTAATCGAGAGAAGTGCAGGAGACAGCAAAGTATGGGAAATGTGGACGGAACCAAAGGTAGGTGGCACTCAGCACCTCCCTAGAGCGACGAGGGAAAGCGCGACTGACATACAGGCCAGTTCGGCATCGGGCAAAGTGCACGACTGATCCAGACGACTCACGGCAACATCCTCTGGGATCTCGTGGCTTATTTGGACGAGGACACGATCAAACTAATCCAGGACATGGGTGGCATCAAAATGATTATCATTTCTCATCCTCACTTCTACACGTGAGTAGTGTTGTCTCCTTCTGCTCGAGCCGAATATCGTCTGCTGACGTGCCAAACCAGTACTTGGGCGGACTGGTCGTCGACCTTCAATGTCCCGGTGTACACCGTCCGCGCGGATGCGGAGTGGCTAAATCGCCAGCAGCATCCGACCGCTGATCTGCGACTTTTGGACAACCCGGTCACCGAGATCCTGCCCGGTATCAACTCGATCATCGCTGGTGGTCATTTCCCCGGATCCCAGGTCCTCCACGTCGCGCCACCAAACACGGATATCCCGACACTCTTCACCGCCGACGCTATCTTTCCAGCACAATCGGCGAAGAACCCAGACCCAGCCAAGCCTGGTCAAATCACATATATGTTTCTCTGGAGCATCCCGAACATGATTCCTCTGCCACCGGACGAAGTTCTTCGGATCTTCTGCGTGCTGAAGCCGTGGGATTTCAAGGCCACATATGGTGTGATGGCCAAATGGAGCAACTGTTTCGAGAAGAAGACTGATCGAAGATCGCTCCGGGAAAGGTTGCTGGATAGCGCCCAGATAGCTGTCCGGGCCATGGGACGCGAAGATCATGATATCTTCCGAGAGACCATTTGAGTCGAATGTTTGAGCTGAGGTATAATAGTGGACACTCGAGAACCAGACTCTCACACCAACAAAACAGCATTGAGGCATCCATCCCGACTAGGATCGTTCGTGACCTGCGCATACTTGCCCCAAACAACCTTCCCTCCCGCCGTCGTAATCCCAAGCTCACTAACATTAACCTCAACCACAGTTCCCTTACTCAACACCCCAAGCTGAGTATACAGCGGGTTCTGCGGGTTCTTCTTCACCGAAATAATCGGCAACTGTACCGTCACGCCCAACTCCGGATGCGTGACGTTCGCCTTCTTATACCTCAACCCCATCGGCCGGATAAACCGCTCATACTTGACCGGCCGCCTCGTAAAATCCGGCCCAACGAACGTAGGCTGTGTGATCATCCGCTTCCAGCTCTTCTTCGCCGTCTTCTTCCCCGTCTTGACCACCTTGAACATCTCCTCCTCACTAATCCCCTTCACCTTGGGCAGCGGCACAGAGAACTTAGCAGCCTTCTCCGCCCGCTTGTTCTTGATCGCGCTCGACAGCGCTTTGGCATTGTTGGCTTGTGATCGGTCCAGCAGGTAGTTGGGCAGTGGTTGCGAAGACGGCTCCGACGGTGCAGCGGATTTCACATTGCGCTCCTCTTGTGCCTTGATGGCTTTCTTCATCTGGATCTTCTCAGCATGGCGCTTCTTCTGGTGTAGTTTGGCACGCAGGCCGCGCAGGTTTTGGGCGGCGTCGGACTGTGCGTGGCCCTCGCGGGCTTCTCGTTTTCGCACTCGTTCATCGTGGTCTAGGCGTTTGCCGTGCTGCTTCTGCCACCGCTCAATGTACTCGTTCTGAGGCATAGTGGGCAGATATCGCTAGAAGATGCGACAATTGGCAGTGCTGTGAATTTGCAAGTCGCAGGGTATCTAACAACGAGAAGGTGGACTAATCGCTATCCAAAATTTAAGCGGCAACATTTTCCCCAATGTCGATGGCTACTAAGATATATACTTGCTTAACTCCGGCAGCCACCGATGGACTGAACCGGTTGACACGTACACGTCGTTCACGGTCTCTTCATATATATGCTGAGTCTTCATTGACTCAATCGCCTACTACGTTTGTAACAGGTATCTGCAGACATTATGGTACAACGGCCTCTGCCAGTCTCCACACTACTGCACTTTAGTTCGATGAGACCTTCTCGACGAGTTGCAGATGTACAAATACGTCCTGTGCTGCCATTCAACCCACGTCCTGAAAGCTTCGTTGAGATCCTCTGAGTGGTCCCCCGTTCTACTGCCGCACTTACTGCCTCATACTTGTACTCCTCGATCTTGGCACATGGGTGCGCCAAATCATCCAAACGTCCTCTTTCTCGTCACCCTTCCGCTCGCCGCCCGTCGTGGGGGAGGCGTTCTAGGCTCAATCTTCTCCTTTTCCTTGATGGCTGCTGAGGCCTTGCTGTCTGCAACTTCCGCAGTAGAGCCTTTTGACGGCGAGGTTCTTGTGCTCACTTCGCTAGTGCCCTCGCCTTTTGTGGGTGGCTTGCCATCCCTCGGTTCCGGTTGGGCCACTACGATAACGTTACTGCTCGTGTCGCCCTCGGATTCGGCTGTGGATTTCTGGCTGGCTTCAGCGCCGGCATCAGCTTCCCAGTTGCTTCACCATTCGTTTGTGTCTCAGTCCTTTCAGAAGCTGTCTCTCCTTTACTCTTGGCCGCTGACCCGCCCGCCAGGGCACTAGCGATTACGTCTGTCTGTGGAAGAGATGAGGTCGCGGCGGAGCCCGTTGTCGCAACAACACTACTGCGGCGACTTGTTCGACGAACGCTCGTGGGCGCTGATATAGTCTTGTTACTGATCGAAGGAGATTGCGCTGATCGTGTGCCAGAGGCTGGTCCGTTGGTGGTCGCCGTGTTTGCAAGACCGGACGGCGCCGCCGAAGCCGGTGGATCCATGGTCGTGGGATTGTCAGGTTTCGGATTGTTGTCCTTGGTTCTGCCACCGTCCTCGGCTCGCGAAGTTGCCACCTGTGAACTTGATCCAGGCGTTGCAGTACTGTTTGAAGCCAGGCTCTCGAGCTTTTGTAGCCCTGCTGCTGTGCTGGACGCTTCAGTCACTTTTGTCTGATCTGACGCGGCTTTGCCCACAGACTCTGAAGCGACACTGGACGGCTTCACAACCAAATGACTCGGGATCAGACCAGTTGTTAACGGCGCCGCGTCTGTCACTGCGTTGTTGAGTGTCTTTTCATCCTTGGTTGCAGGCCCTGGGCTTGCCTCTGCCGACGTCTTCGCAGCAGCACCTATGCCAGTGCTCCAGCTTGGTCGTGATGCCCAGCTGCTCGAGAATGGTCTAGCAGGGGGCGGTGATTGTGGACTAGCTCTGGGACCTGTCGTTACTCTCCAGGCGGGCGCAGCTTGCATCGAGGGTGACTTTGATGTCGCCGAGGAAGGAGTCAGGACGTTTGTTCGCGACTCGTATGGCCTTGAGCTGAAGTCGTACGGCTTTCTTTCCGCAGGGGTCGCCACGGCTGAAGCAGGAGCATTTGGCGTCGAGGCGGTCGATGGCGGCGCATCTCTCATGACCGCATCACCTTGCAACTGCTTGCTGGGATCGATTGGTCTTGGTGGCATATATGAACTTCCGCTGTTGACAGAATTCCAAGATCGACCAGCAGGCACGCTCGAGTCAGGTGGCCCATGTCTGATCTGCGGGCTGTTGTGGATGTACGGCTGTACAGCGTGGACAGATGTTGGGCTTGCTGTTGGGCTTGGCTTGTAGCCTGCCGGACGAACACCTGAATCGACGCCATAGCTGCCAGGTGTAGACTTCCTTCCCATCTCAAGCTCACGAGTTTTGTTCTTAATCTTCATGTTCTTCGGGTCTGCCATCGTTCCACCTGAGCCATCGCCATGTTGACGCTCATATTCTTCCACTTCTCGCACAGGAACACCATACTTGTCGAGTGCTTTCTCAAGGCTGCCGATAGTTCCCTTTGGCTGTTCGTGAGATTTGACAATGTGGCACTGCAAACCATGGACCGTGCGCCAATCAATCCTGCGACAGTCGTCATGGTTACACCGAAGGTACATCGGGATTGGCGGGCCTGTAGGATGCTCCTGTGTACCTCCTGGACCATAAGATGTCCAGATGCCACGATTGAGGTCGTCAACTCTTTCGCAATGATGATGTCGATTAGCGAAAGCCTCGGACATCTGATAGGGATGCGTTGTGGAGGGGGTACGCTTCCCGGTGGCCGGTGTAGAGCTGTTGCTTTCCGGCTTCTCAGGATCTGAGGGGTTCGAAACTACTGGGGGCCGGCTGAGATCTTCGGAGCGAGGAGGAACACCGTGCGGCGGCAACGAAGAAGCGGCAGGTCGTGCATTGACTGAAGCAAAGCCCGCTGGTGGCGGTGTGTTGACTGTGGCGAAGCCTGAGGTCGCAGCAGGTGGCGGCCGGGTATCGTAAGACGAGGAGACCTGCCTGGATGGCGGAGCCGTAGCAAGACTGTTCGGGTTCGGTGGAGTGGCAGTCTTGTGAGGTCCTCGATTAAGGGGGAAGGAGCACGTCCGTTGATTGCTGGACCAAACCGATCATTTGTTGTAGGTGGAGTGCTGTTGGATGGACCCGATGCCGCGGATGGAGGGACCGTGCTATAGTTCGACCCACTCTGAGGTGTTGAAGACTGCTTCGAACCGCCGTAGAATGAGTACGAGGGAGCTTGTGACGAAGCAGAAGCTGATGGGGCGGGCCCGTTCTGGGAAGGGCGACCCTCGCTTTGGCCTGGCGGATTCGACTGGTGCCGCTTCGCTGGCGGCGGAATTGTGGAATATGTCGGTCCCGGAGGCGACCCAGAAGTAGCGGAAATGCTGCGATTCCCGATCTGCGGCGATTCATCCAAAGGCACCCCTCTCTTCAGACGCTTTAGACGACGACGTAGCGCCTCCTCTTCGCGTTCAATGTCATCAAAGACTCGCTGGAACTCAGTGTCTTCTCTAAGGCGCCTCGTCCTGATACGATTATCTCTGCGTTGTCGTGCATCCATAATGGCTTTGATCTTGCGATCTTGGGCGTCGCGCTTTGCCTTAATTCTGTCGTCCATTCGCTGTCGCTTCACTCGCAGATCTCGAGACCTTGCTGAATTCACGTCTTCTGCCCTAGTGAGCTCGGACAGTCGTCCGTTGATCGCAGTCTGAGTCTCAAGATATGGTGGTGCTGGCGGTATGGTGGCGGGTCCAGTCGGGGTGTTGAACGGGCGATAGGGGTCTGGTCTTCTCACCGAGACATCACTGTCCTCCCCTTCCGGATCCATGTCATCTGATCGCTGCGTTGACGGAGCTGAAGACTGGCGCTGCAGTGCTTGTAGTGGCGATTGACCATATGATGGACGCTGACTAGGCGGAACGTAGCCGGAACCTGAAGCCCAGCTCGGAGTTGGGCGCTGAGCAGTTGTTAGCGATCGTCTCTCCACGGCGCAGATATTGCAACAATTGAGACTATACAATCCATCGTGACCTAAACAGAGTCGTAGAATTATTACTGGCTTGCCACGAGAAAGTCATGTTGCGTTAGCAGCATAAGGTCATGGCAGCAGCAGGATGCCAAGATGAGACAGCTGGGTGTGTATTCCCAGAACGGTAAAGGAGAGGGGCAGCGCGGAGCATGGAGCGATTGAGTGTCGCATGAAAGATGGAACCGTGAGCCAATGGCGGTAGCGCAAAGTGCGGACCGGGGTCCAGGGCGAAATTTGGCTGTCAGCTGGTGTGGCACAGGCTGTTGAGAGACTTTTGAGCCGTGAACGCAGAGTAGTCGCCCGTCTGGTCGTGCGATAGCCCTGAGCTTTGATGCTTGGCCGTAGCGAGATTTCACCACGAGGCGCATATATGTAGATGCAGACGTAATGATGAAAGATGCACGTACCTCAAATGGATGCGCGGGCGCATGCTCTCCCGTCCCACGCCGATCGAGCGGCGGAGGATTATATGCCATGCTGGCAGGCGTGAGAGCGCCGAAAGCCGATGTCGAAATACTGGGTATCGTCCTCGATCAGAAAGGCTGCTCGGGTTCGTAGGTGCTGAAAATTTAAGAGACTGTAAGTAGATGCCGCGATCGTAGAGTAGAGGGTGCTCGGAATCTTGAAGAACAACGCTGTCAAGAAGCGCTTGCCGGAACGATGAGGCACCTGCCAGGTGCGATGTGGTCGAGAAGGAAAGAGCCTCAGGTGCTCGGAAGTAATGCAAGTAGCGGAAGGATCGTCCTTGCGGGTGTTAAGCTGCTCGAGACACAGAAGGTGCGCTTTCCGAAAGCTGCTGTGGATTGAGCGTCCGCGAAAGAAATGATCGTGTGATGTCAAAAGGGTGTGTAAGGACGAAGAGGAGAAAGGCAAGAATAGATACACAAAGTGACGATAGCTCGCTAGCTTCGCTGGAGTACTGGCACTACAACTGAGGATTCCTCTTTGTCGAGTCTTTCCTCCTTGATGCTTAATTGGCGATCGGAAGCAGCTTAAGCGAGTTTGCGAGTATTACAGAAGTGCTTAGGGGCGAACTCTAGCTTCGCCGACAAGCTCCATCCTGACCTGCACGAGCTTTAATTGGGCTTGAGTATAGCAATAGTCAGGGTTGTACAAATTGCTTCGATACGATACACTCCCGCATTTGACCAGTCTGGCGCTCGTGCAGGCGTCTTCGTGACAGCTGCCTCGAGTTGTCACCAGTCTATGGCAAGCAGGCGCAACCATCTGCACGGCTCAGTCCGGCTCGCATCGGCAACAAACATTCTCGTAGACTGCTAGCTACTCCGTATAGTTCACACGATATCTTCAAGGGCTGCGTGTACCTCGTTAACCTCGTGTTCTTCGCCCCCATGGCGCAGTATTCTCTGACTCGGGAAGAATTAACGGCCTGATCAGCCTGCACAGATTGAATCTACACGATTCATCCTTTGGACCTGCCAGATTCAAGGCGCACTCGCTCGCGCAGAACGGCCGCGGGCTAAGATCAGGTTGGGAGGTTTGACAAGATGTTATCTAGGGGCCTGGGCATGCTTGACAGTATTGGACATCACCCGCACTATACTCCCTGAGACGGAATTTTCTGGTTCCTGCCTTCAGATCATGGTGCTAGGTTGCGACCTGACTGTCGAACACCTCGTCGCATGACGAGGGAAGCTCAAGCTCGTCGCGAGCCTGTCAATGCCATCTATGGAGTATCGGCTTGACGGTCGGCATGCGATTCCAGCAGGGAGTATCTGGCGGAGGGTATAGGTATGCACGGGGGAATTCTGTCTTTAACCTTCGCACTAATGATAGGCGCATGCCGCGTCGACCACCCTGTGGTACAGTGGAGGTCCATCGCTCAAGCTGCAACTCGCGTCGTGACCACCATCGCGGTCCACTCTATAGACTCCAAGCATGCGTCCATTATTGACAGGCACACCGCCAAATCGACGCATGCTGCTGAGGACTCGGCGCAAGAGTATTTGCGCTTCACGAACGCTTACCGCATGCTCACTATCGCAGAGAGATACCACGGTCCGATAATCTCCGCTCGTAACACTATCCAAGAATAGTTCTATATCTCACTCTATACGCCAGCACCGCATCTGACATGAGTAAACGAATGCTCAAGGGTCCGTACAGGCCATAGCAATGGGTCTGATGGGCATCTGACGTGCAGCGATACCTTCTAGGAGTATATCAATTGACTCGTTCTTGGACGTATGGAGTGATATGCAGGGAGTACCGTACCTTGTGACATTCCAGTCCTTTGGACGAACCCTAATCCACATAGCCAGATCGCAACGGACAAGGCCCAAACTCCCCTTGCGAGTCTCCATCGTGGCTGGCCAGAACCAGAGAATAGGAGAGGGCGTGCTGAAATTGTTGACCAGAACCCCGATGACCTCAATTGTTGAATCCATCGCATGTAAAAGTGTTTAGGGAGAGATTGTTTAGGAAATCTTGTGAGTAGAGATTTGTATTCTACCTTGACTTCTAATTACACATGACGGCCTCGCGATGCCCGAACGATCGACGAATATGCAAACCTGTCCACGACCTTGACCATATAGGGCGCCCTCCTGAGACCATGTTCGCGGTGTCCTCCGAATTCCCTAATCTGGTATGTATGCATTGCGGAAGGTCCCTTTCTCGTCTTAATACAGATTTGAGCAAGACGCTCGTCGAGTAGAGCTCCCGGTGAATTTCCTGAACCATACTCAAACATAGGGATATCATTAAAACTTTCAGAAATCATTCGCTTTTTTGGTACACATTCAAGGCTTCTTCTCGCCCTCGCCGCCCTCAGGAGGGGTTTGTTGTGATTGTTGCTGGTTGGCATCCTCGGCGCGAGCCTTGTGCATCTTGTCGAAGAGAGTAAGAGCTGAGGTCTGGAGCTCGTCGATCTTGGCCTTCATCTCCTCGGCTGACAGATTGCCCTCGCCGGACTGGTTCTTGGCAACGACCTCGCGAAGAGCTGTGATCTTCTCCTTGATGGCATCCGCCTCGGTCTTGTCGAGCTTGTCCTCGAACTCCTTCAGTGCCTTCTCTGTATCCGCCAGCACGCTCTCGGCGCGGTTCCCAGCCTCGATAGCGGCCTTGCGCTCCTTGTCTGATGCGCCATACTTCTCGGCATCCGAAACCATGTTCTCGATCTCCTGGTCGGAGAGACCGGAGCCGCTAGCGATGGTGATTGACTGATCCTTGTTGGTGGATTTGTCCTTGGCGTGGACGTGAACAATGGAATCAGCATCAATGTCGAATGTGACCTCGATCTGGGGCACACCGCGGTGGGCTGGTGGGATACCAACCAGCTGGAAGTTGCCGAGCAGCTTGTTGTCCCGAACAAGCTCACGCTCGCCCTGGTATACCTTGATTTCTACGGCGGTCTGGAAATCAGCAGCAGTAGAGAAGACCTGCGACTTCTTGGTGGGAATAGTAGTGTTGCGGTTGATCAGGCGAGTGAACACTCCGCCGAGGGTCTCGATACCGAGGGACAAGGGTGTGACGTCTAGAAGGAGCACGTCTGTGACTTCTCCAGCCAGGACAGCACCCTGGATTGCAGCACCGATGGCAACAGCCTCGTCAGGGTTGACGGACTTGGCAGGGTCGCGGTTGAAGATGCTCTTGACGGACTCGGTGACCTTAGGCATACGAGTCATGCCACCGACAAGGATAACCTCTTGGATGTCTTTGGCTTGCAGGTTGGCATCCTTCAAGGCCTTGCGGACAGGCTCGATGGTTCGGCTGATGAGAGGATCGACCATTTGCTCGAGCTGCGATCGGGTCATCTTGAGATTGATGTGCTTGGGTCCTGAGGCATCGGCGGTGATGAAAGGCAGGTTGATGTCGGTCTGTAGCGACGACGACAATTCGATCTTGGCCTTTTCGGCAGCTTCGCGAATACGCTGAATGGCCATACGGTCGTTGGACAGGTCAATGCCAGAATCCTTCTTGAATTGTTGTACAAGGTGTCGGACGAGGGTGATATCGAAATCTTCGCCTCCCAAGTGAGTATCACCGTTGGTCGACTTGACTTCGAAGACGCCCTTTTGAATCTCGAGAATGGAGATATCGAAAGTACCACCGCCAAGATCGTAGACAGCGATCACGCGATCTTGTTCCTTCTCCAGACCGTAGGCAAGAGCAGCAGCAGTAGGCTCGTTAACGACACGCAGGACGTTGAGGCCGGCGATCTGACCAGCATCCTTGGTAGCTTGTCGCTGCATGTCGTTGAAATACGCGGGGACAGTGACGACACCGTTCTTGATTTGCTTGTTGAGGTAGGCCTCAGCAGTCTCCTTCATCTTCTGCAGGACCATGCCACCGATCTGGGATGGCGAGTACTTTTCACCGCGAGCCTCTAGCCATGCATCACCGTTGGTGTGCTGGACGATCTTGTATGGAACCTCTTTGATGTCTCGCTGGCATTCGGGATCGGAGTACTTGCGGCCGATGAGACGCTTGGTGGCAAAGAGGGTGTTTTCAGGGTTGACCACAGCTTGACGCTTCGCAGCAACACCGACGAGACGTTCGCCGTCCTGTGCGAAAGCGACGACGGAGGGTGTGGTTCTTGTGCCTTCGGCATTTTCTATTATGCGAGGAGTCTTGCCTTCCATTATCGCAACGGCGGAGTTGGTGGTGCCCAGATCAATACCAATGACCTGACCTTTAACCTTGTCGCCACCCTCAGATGCGTCCGTCGAGGCATATCTGGCAAAAAATGATGATCTGGGAGCTTTGATGGATGAGAGGCGAGAGACAGGAGATGCACGTGGCATAGCTCGCGAGAGGCGTGAGGCAATCATGATGCGATGCCCAGAGGGTAAAGGTAGCAACCACTGTATGAACGCTAGAGATGTGCGTAGTGTGGTAGAAGTGAAGAATGATGAGACAAAAGGAAGGCTGATGTATGATTGCGACAGCGAAAGATTATCGAAGGAAATTCGAGTTGATGAAAGACTCCCGGAGCAAAAAAGTCGAGAAGATCATAGAATAACCGAATATGGAGCCATCCTCGGATCAACATATGCCCGGGCCGGGCTTGTATACAGTGCCCGCAGTGCAGGGCGGTACATGCCTGTTAGTCAGTGACATCCGCAAAGCCTCACAATTGACATCACATCTTCATTGTCTGCTTTTCCTTCAGGTTCACTCAATCGCTAATCTTCAGTGCTCCGACAGCGTTAGGCTCAAATGTAGGGCAGGGTTTGACAACACACTCCTCAAGATATCGAAGCCGCCCAGATCCTGCCCTCATGCTGGAAGTAGCATCGCCGCAGCTGGCCCAGTCCGCAGCCTGCGCTCTCCCATGACATTCGCACGTGCCACGGTCTCAAGATGACGGTTCGAGTCTCATCCGGCCTAGAACTATCCCACCATGCGACGGACAAACTCCTGGGTCATGCAAAGTTCTACCCCTCCAAGGTCACAGTGCGACATCATCAGTTGCGCCATCTTGTCACGGTAGCGCATGGCGACAAGATCTACTACGTCAATGACTACGATGTCTATGCGCTGGACGTGCAATCAAACGAATCGACCCTCCTTGCGACCGTCCCCTTCGAGGCACGATGCCTGGCTGCGAACCATGGCTGGGTATGCGTTGGAGGTGAGAAGAACGGAGACTGCGCATTCATTCGCCTAAATCAAGTGAACGGCACGACAAAATGCTTCGATCACGAGATTACGGTCGATGTCCTTACCGGAGAGATCGTTAATTCTATGGACGTACACCTCTTACGCGACGACGTCGAGGCGCATCCAGAGGCGATCGTTCTCATTAGCAACAATGACCGGACCGTTAAAGTGTTCTCGCTCGACCGTCGGGAAGTCCTGACAAGCTTGGAGCACGATGTGCCCATGAATTTCGCGACGCTCTCGCCAGACTCGACCATATTGGCTGCCGTGGGCGATTCCAACAGAGTATACTTCTACCAAAGACACAAGGTCGGATCATCGCATGACAAGAAGTTAGGGTACGAACTCCCAGACTTCGAATGGCGTCCGCTTGCAGTACCTACAATACCAACAGGGGATGACGTGCTCGATGATCACAGCTTCGCTGTTACCTTCTCACCATCTGGCAATCTTTGCGCAGCCTCATCTCAAGGCGGAGTGATCACCGTGTTTGACGTCGACATGCTGCGCGACACTACTCGCCCGCCCGAAGATGCCATCTTGTGCTTTTTCAAGTCCTCGAGAAAGACCCTCTGGGGTTGCGTCAGATCTATGACCTTCTCACCGCAACCATGGGACCTGTTGGCTTGGCTGAAGATCATGGTCGGATAGGCGTTGCCGATGTTCGACAGATGTGCGTCAGACGTCAAGTTATGACGTTGGATAGGGAAAGGGCCGCTGTCGTCAAAGCTCAGGATGTGACTCCGGAGGCCTACAAAGACCTTTCAATCACGGACAGATTAACACAACAAAGTCAGGTCGGTAACTCATACAGACTCGGGGAAGTCCCCTCGGCCAACCCCATTCTGCGTGAGGTTCGCCCAGGTGATAGTCTTCGCCGCTATCGCAGAGCCGAACTGATGGCTCATCATCGTCACCTGGACTTGGATGACCGAGAAAGATCTGTCGTTGATGCGCTCGACACCACTATGGATGATGTCTCACGACAACGCCGTCCGTATAGCGTTCAATATGCGACTCCACCACGATTCCGGTCGAGTCAATCAATTGGCCCCAGCAACACTGATGCAGAAACGTATCTAGCCACGACGAACGCAGACCGATCTGGATACAGACCGTATCAACCGCGTCGTCGAACTTCTGTGGTTCTTTCAGAATCACCCAGACGGCACCTCCTCGCTCCTAACAGCCCCAGGGCAAGGTTATCCGCTTCACCTGGTCGTATGACCGATGATGAGGACATGCCACCCATGTCGACCAATGACCTCACGCCTTCTCGGGGCGCCATTACTTCCCAACCCCGGACATCCGACATCCCAACGTCGGACCCTTGGCATGTAATCCAGTCTGCCTTGGAGACAGCACGTAGGACAGACGGAACTGGCACAGCTCAACCCAATCTGCAGCAGATAGAGGAAGCGTTGGAGGCAGAAAGGCAATTAGGCATGCAGTTGGAGCAGCAACTCGGCGATGAGCGGCAGCTTTCAATGCACTTGCGCCGACAGCTTGACTCACACAGCCAGCTACTTCAGGCACGGCAACGAGAACTGGCTTCCATTAGCAGTGACCCATCATTACATGATCTCTCGTTCGAGGACGTGTTACAGCATGACCTCGCAACCGAACGACGACATGGAGACGACCGTGCCGCAGAGATCGAGGAGGAGATACGCCATGGCACTGTTCGCACGCGAAGCCTCGAGAACGTCCGCGATTCCCTAATCTACGGGGATTCGCACACAGCAGAGCAGTCAAGTCCGTCTGCCGCCCATAGTTCAGCATTGCCTACAACGACTGCTGCAACACGCGCCAGCAATAACACAGACGCTTCGATCTCATCGAGCTCCGCTGCCGTTAGGGTGATGGAGTCGACCAGAAGCCGACGGATTGCCAATATCGAAGATCTTCAGCAGCAAGTGCGACTCGCAGAAGCTCGGGTCCGTCGGGCTGGTTCCGACCTTCTTTCCCTCGAAGCTGCCATGCTGGCACGGTCCAACGAAGCGACTGTGAATACAAATCCCAGCGAAAGACTCAACCCGGCTTATTCTGACGACATAGCTCGCTCGTCATCATATCGCTTCCTTCCGGATTCGCCCAACAGGTCAAGCCAAGCGCCAAGCTCAGATCGGCCTAGCTACAACGCCCATGTTGCGGCTACGAGAGCAGCAGTACAAGAGCGATTGCGTGCACAACGGGGAACGCAGAATCGCTCGGCATCTATCAGCCAGCCGGCAACGAATGCAGCATTGTCGTCAAACACAATACCTGCCACAGCCAGGGCAGCGCGCAGCACCGCGGAGCAAACAAGTCAAACGAGCTCGGACTTGCGGCTTGCTCGTATGATGATGTATTCTGGCAGCAGTGCTCGTGCTATGGATGCGAATGGCAATTGGGTCGGGGCTGCACTGATGCAGCGCATGCTCAATCAGAACAGCACGACAAATGCGACGAGCGGCAGCTCTTCATCAAATAACGTTGCAGAGATCATCAGGGATGTTGGGGTCGGTACTGCTGGTCTTGGCTGGAGTGAAGACGGGAGAAGCTTGTAAGTCCTGTTCGAGATGACCAAGATTCGCGTCCTGCTTCACGAGTGCTGAAAGATGATACATCGACTGACTGTGATTACAGATTCGCCGGTACCGAAGAAGGCATCTTCCAATTCAACGTCAATCTTCGCGACCGCATGACCTTCCCCGTCCTCGGCATGCGCTGAGTTGCTTCGACCACCAGTACTTATAGACAAGAGCTTACCAATCGCGTCTACGGCAGTGCCGCCGCTACAGGAGAAGGGCAGCAAAAAGTTCGGAAGCTACTATTTCAGTCCAAGGAAGACAAAATCCTGACGAAACATGACGATCACGACTCCATTCTGCCAAACTGTTGCAGATGGATGATCAGATGAGGCTACGCGCGATGAGGACAGAAACTCTCACAGACTTGAGAGAAGGGCGCGATCTTGGGGTCAGCGCTTGTTGGAGGGGTGGTTGTGTGTATCGTTCTGCTTACCAGCGTTCATGCTTGCAGCAACCACAACCTGAGAATACTCTCGGTTGTTTCTATGGCTGTATATAATTCGGAATCTTGAACACATTTTCTACTGTCGGTCCGTTCCGTTCGGATTCGTGGCACTGGACTGCAATTAAAACCCAGAATTCTCATTCTGTATAGACACTGCTTGAAGGGCGCCGCAGCGGCGCTTTGTTCAGCGTACATACTATACACCTGCTTAAAAAGCTCACTACTCAAGAACAAGCTGCACCCCATCATCCGCCCGCATCACCTCCTCCAAACTCTTCACCCTCACCTCCATCACCCGCAACACCGTATACCGATGCTTGCTCTTCACACTCCTCGCCTTCCGATTATTCTCCAGCTTCTTCACCTTGACCGTCATCGGCTGGCTCTCCACCCCCATCACCCGCGCCCGACACTCGAATAGTCTCTCGTCCAAATAGTTTGGCTCGCCGGTCCGTCGCTGGTCGTAGGACTCGGAATGGCGCGTGCCGGCTTTGAGCGTGAAGTCGCGCGAGCCGAGGATGGAGGCGCGGTTGAGGCGCAGGATGTCGCCTTGGGAGACGTTGGGCATGTGGAAGGGCAGGCGGAGGAGGTCGCCTCGGTGAGGAGGTAGGGGAAGCGGTGGATGTGGGCGGTGATGTAGTGTGGGCGTTGGGCGTGGAGGGCGGGGAGGAGGGTTTGGATTGATTTTGAGAGGACGAGGGGTTTACTGGTTTTGGGGGGGATGCGGATGTCTTTAGTAGGTGGTGGTCGTTTGGTGTGTTCGGCAAAGAATTGGGATGAGTTTAGTGTCTGGAGCTCGGTGGGCGGGACGAGGGGTTGGGTGTTTTGGAATTGGGAGGCGTTGCTGGCGGCTTGGGAGGTCGCTGCTGCGGCGTGGAGTTGGGAGCGTATGGGGAGTTGGTATGTGGTTGGTTGTGGAGGAGTCTTGCTGGTGGTTGTGGTGGACTTTGTCGAGAGCGCTCTTGAGGGAGTGGATCTGTTTGGTCGTAATGATCTTGCGACGCGGGTTGTGCTCGATATGCTTGGGGCTGTTCGGTTCGGCATCGAATCGAATATGCATTTTATCATGCGCCCGCAGATGCGACACATTTCGCTGGTGGGGACTGCTGGCGCAGCTGCTATCTCTCTATTGTAGTGATGGTGGCGTTGAGGTCGATGCGGAGGCCTCTCGTTGCTGGTGTCCTATGTGACATTCAGAGCTCGTTGGCGGCCAGCAAAGACATGTCGTCGTTCTTGGTCGGAGAAATCCATATTGCCATTTTAGGCAGCGCTCGCCCGTCAGGTCTTCGAAACATGGCTACTGCGACTGCACCTCAGTTCTGATATTTGAGCAACCAAGTCCATCCATGGCCTTGCTTCACGCAATTAATAGGCTTTCCACTCGTGTACTCGACGTATCGCCGCTGGTCCTTGAACTAATCGCAACGTTTGCGCCAGAATGCCTCCCACGCCTGCAGAACGAAGTCTGTACCTCAACCCACTTGTGCCAGAATCAGTCCGACATAACACCACGGTAAACCACCACGTGTTCGTCTCCCGCATTTGACGACTAACAGGTCATGTAGACAGTCTCTCAGATACGTTCCCTCAGCTCCATCCTTCTGGGCGTCGCAGCCGGCATCCTAGGCCTCGAGTCGCAATGGGGCTTCCTCTTCTACTTCGTCTCACAATTCTTCATCTCCGGCCTGATACATTTTGTCCTGGCGAAAGGCTCACCAGGCGAATACTTCGCCGGCAGTGGGACTAGTGTTGAGGTACCGAAACCGAATGGGAAGGGAAAATCAAAAGAGATGGCTGGCGCGTGGAGGGATGTCTGGCTAGGGAGTGGACTTTTCGAGGGACTAAGTGGGTTTGTGCTGGGATGGGCTGGTGTCGGTGGTGTCGTGCGGTGAGATAGCGAAATCTAAGAGAGGTATTTTGCGGACCAGCTGGTACTTCTGCGTCACGAGAATGTCGTTACTGGGCAGAACGACTACATTTTCGCCTCCACGATCACGCTGGATCTACAGGATGTCGAATGACAACTGAAAGGACGGCTACAGCGCATGTGCGCCTTGCGAGACAGCGTCACGGCGGATCTCCTCCCCACCACATGACATCTGCCAGAAGCCAAATGGGAGTCACTCCGTTACTGAGTTTATTGCTGGCCATGGCCTTTGACACCGGAGCACCCTTACGACTTCGCGAAGCACATCAGGATCAATTTCGGCCTGCGTAGAGCTACTACTCCGCTGTACTCCCAGCCCATGCTGCTCGCATGCTCTCTCTATCCTTGAACACAGCCTACAGTCTGCCACTGTCAGCAAGTATAGCTGTTTGCCAAACATCGACCCGAGTGCTCCTACCGGACAATTGTCGATATATCAAGTGCTCAAATCTACGTCTTGCCCGAAGAGATGTAGCTGCTCTGCACTTCTCCATCTGGGGGGACAACAAGGCCGCCTCGCTACTATGAGTCCTAGCACGGCTGTACTGCAGGTCTCCTTGTCCATTGCTACATGAACCTGTTATGATGCAGCCTTCCAACGACGTGTTGGGCACGCAAGCTGTGTTGTTGTTTACCAGTATCACCACGGCCGCATTGTCACCAGGCTTCTGACAATGACAATCACCTTTACCTATGGCACCTTCACTTGACTTGACTCAGACCTACAGTGAAATCCTGACCAGCGTGAAGAACACCATTTTCACACCCTCAATATATACATATTGCCCCGCCTGTGCTCATGTTCAGATCGCACACTTTACTTCATCCAGCTCGCAACGACAGTAGCCGCTTACAAGAACGAGGTCTTCCTGTGCTATCTGCACCTTCCGATCATTTCGGTGTTGTGATGGCGAATCCTGCAGCTTTCGAATAGGCTTCCGCCTCTGAGCACTTCTTCCCACCAGTAAGTCTGCACTCATGTTGTAAACCCAATGCTGATGTATTCAGACACCGTGGACCTCTTTCGCGACAAAAGACTTCCCTCCTCGAGCTGCTCGACAAAAGCGACGCGTTCTGCGGTCAACGATCTCGAGTGAACCCAAACTATATCCTCTCGAGGCAGCTGCTATCCACGCGGCCGAGTCCTCGGGTTCGCTGGTTGCGACCGGTGTTGGACAGCTAGGTAAGTGTTCACTGCCAGCTTCCCTACTAAGCAAATTTATTATTGTGCTGACCAAGCAGAAGGGTTCTCTACCATGTCAAGCACTTCCAGCCTGTCCAAGCGAGGTCTCATGAGTCTACCAAGCGAGATTCTAGAGTCGATCATCGACAAAGTCTTCCCTGACTCCCAATTGTACATCATCAACGGTAAAGACCTGAAGTGGCCAAAGAAAATGTCGATACGCCTCCCTCATTCCCTCCTGGTTTCAAAGACATATTTCAAGCTTGCCAAAGCTGCTGCGCTGCAACAAGCGACGATCGCCATCCCTCATAAGTTCGACATTGATCGTGCGAGAATTTCCAGCCTACTCTTCTCCCCAGATTTCCGCCTTCTACAGTATCTCGACGTCCGCTCGTGGATCCACACGTGGCGGCAGATCGATGAGAGGGTTTTCAAGGCCATGCTCAGTGCTGCACCGCAACTGCGCAAGTTGACTGTCGACGGGCCTAAGATCTGGGGTTGCCGCGGTTATACATCGACTGGTCACCGCGACCGAGATGACCCTGTACCATTCACGGTCACCCCTGGCCCGGATCTTCCACAGCATATCAAGCAGAAGTTCGAAGAAGAGTTTCGCTTCAAGCCGATAAACTACAGGGTCCCCAACTTCAAAGATATGGGTGGTCTTGCCCTGCACGCGTGGCTGACTCGAAACAAGGATTTCGAGCTCTGCTTCGTGGCAAGGGTGAAAACGCACACATGGTCCAAAGACCTCTGCGGCTCTCCGGGCGGTCCGAGAGGCGGGTTCATAGAGCGACACCTCTGGGTAAGCAGGCCTTCTCAGAAACATTTACCTTCCCGTTGTCCTGTTTTGGCTGACAACGGTCAGGATGTGACCTTCAGCACGCATACACCAGCGCTCGCAGTCAAGCCAGGAGACAGACCAGGCAACGAGAACTGCAATCCCGACCAAAAGGAAGAGGCAGAGTTCGACATCCCGATTGACCCATCGTTCTTTGAGAACGTGTACAACAGCCCCGATTGCCAGATGGTGCTGCAACGGTTCAGGAATGCCGAAGAGAGGCTTTGATCCCGGAGCACGGACGTAGATCTGTACAAGTACCAGATTCGGCTACGATGGCGGCATCCATAAGTCGTTCCAGCGATGCTCGGCCGTCCATCAGGAAATGCTTCAGAGAAAGGAAGCACGATCTCAGTACTCCAGACAACATTTCCTGGTGGACGATATTGCGGAGCAGTCAGAGAGCAAGCGAGGCGCAGGAGGGACAGAATGGCGCATCTCAAGACTGCGGTATGAACTACTTGCCAAAGGCAATCAGGCTTTGAGCTTGAGTTCCACCAAATGGCGTTGTCCTGAAATTGCACCAAGGTATAGGTCAAGAGCGAGTTGCCAGTCCCTACTTTCAAGATCCTGGCCGTCATCTGTACTTGCCGCCTGCGCGTGCCTTCCAGGTTCGTTGGCGAATAAAGAGCGTTGCAGCTTTGAGTCGCCATATCTACCCTTCCATGTGTCCAGAGCAGGGATCTCGTGCCCGTTCTTTGGAACTTACTCTGGACACATCTGGGAGCGTAGACATGGCGACTCACAGCTGCAACGCCGACCTCAGACTCGTCGTGCCTGACAATCTGAGCTCGAGTGCACCCGCTCACAAGATCGACGTGCTTTCATGCATTGCTGTTGTGGCTTGAATGAGCATAGCTGTCAACACACCCACCTCCATCATTGTTTCATCAGGTATCAGATTGATATCAACTAATCAGATTGATGTCAACTAGAGATTTTTTGCCATATGCTGACAGTGCCTCTAGGTCTATCTCTTCGCTTGCTCGACCAGTCTGACTTCCGAAAGCCGTCAAACCACATCGGATTTCTCATCTATTCCGGTCGCAACGCTCTCTTTCCTTGCCTGTCTGATCAAAAGCGGCTCTCTCTGGTTCGGAAATGCAAGAACAGGGCCGACGTTGTCGTTGATAGCTTCATACCACTGAAAGAGCCCACTCATCATATAGAACGTTGAGCCCCAGATACTGGACAACGAACTCTGGTATGCCGCCCAGGTGTGATTGTCGCTATAGAAGCCGAATATTGCAATCAGTCTGTTCATGTCAGCCGTCTTATTCGTCTGACAAAAGAGCTGGGAAACATACAAGAACCCAACGGATCCGATCAAGGCATGAACACCGATCCACCAACTCACTGCTCCCCACTTGGGCTTGTTCCACTTCTCTTGCGCCATTATTGTGAACATGATACTGGCGACGATGAAGGCACAGGACGCCACTGTTTGCGGCACCCAATACGCTCCGATCAGCTGCCCCCATGACAGGCTCGAATATATTCCTGGAAGAATGACAACTGCGGTCACACCGTACAAGGTAACGCCAAACAGTTGAACAACACAGGCCACATAACCCAGCTCCCTGATATGGTAATGGACGAATGAATGCCACGTCGGCCACCATCGCCACGTCAGATACTCCCTGCTTTCCCCTTGCTGCTGGGCAGTGGACGCCATACCGTGATCGACTCCCTGACGACGCGCAACTCGCTCCTTGACGCCATCGTATACATCCTCTGGCGCACTATGACCCTCGCGGAGCGCGTCCCAATGGCTCTGCCCAACGTCAGCGGACTCGCCCTGCTCGCCCTGCTCGTCGTCATGATGATGATGGGGAACCAGATGACCGAAGAATGTATGCAGTTTCGCATCCAGCAATTGTTTCTCAAGATCCATGTGGCCGTCCAGGAGCCGCTTCATTGTAGCACCAGCGAAACAGCCGTCGTTGATGGCCTCGAGATACGCCATTACACCACCAACCTGGTACAACAAAGCGCCAAAAAAGAAAGTGAGTGGTGTGCCGTACTTCTCCAGGCCTTCTGCTTCGACGTCAGGGTAGGCCAGCGGCACCCAGGACCAGCAACTCGACAGGATGAACAGCGCAGACCCAATACTGTAGCACCAGCCGGACCAGAAAGCCATGTTCCAGTATGGGAATGTTGTGCACATGATGAAGATGTTGTGCCAGAAGCCTACATTCCTGTACGGTGTCTCAGATCCGGTGTCCGAGTCCGCGGCGGGTGCTTTGTCCTTGCCATGGCTGTGATACCTCCATGGGAAATGCAGGTGAGCGCTGCCAATGGTCCAGATCTTTGTCAGTCCTCTCGTATGTCGATGATGGACGTAGATCTTGCGGTGCTGCCCAGGCTTCTTCTCCTCGACGACTCCTTGATCGACTGACCCTGCCCAGTCTCTGGCAGTGGGCGCATCGGTCAGCTTCCTTGAGGTTGGAGTCCTCTTCAGATCCTCATCCTCTACCTTCGTTGCATCGGACTCGCTGCGAGTAATGCGCGAGGCAATTCCCTCACTGTGCACATCGACATGCGGTCTGCTGCAGCCAGGGCTAATGTTGGATCCGGTTGTGCCAGTGATGGTCTTGAGAGCGTTCTCACCAGCGTTCTCCTCACTGTTGCCATTTAATCCTGAGTCCCGAAAATTCATGCTCGCAACCACGACCACAGGACGACAGCACAGTGGGACAGCGCACGAAGAGACGTGAGATGGGAAAGCATTTCCGTCCCTCCCGTCCTAGCCATGGAGTATATGCTTCGTATGCTCGCGTATGTCATACACTACCTGAGAGTGCTGTAGTGTGTAAGCTTCAGTGGCAAGCTTTCGTCTCCCGCATTGGCGGGCTCGCCTTATCTTTGGTGCTTGACGTTGAAACCTGCACGGTGATGGCATGCTGCATGTGTTAAGCGCTAGTGGGCCGCCTGTGAATATGTTATCGATGACGATGGGTTTAGGTGACTCTTAGAGCGAATGAACAGTCGCATTCTGGCCCCGAGCGGACCGGGGCGACTGGGGCGCTGCATGTAGGGCAGAAGGACGTCTTGCGCTCAGAATATGCGTTACTCTGCAGATAATTTACAGGACGTGGTGAGGACGTGCTCCAACAACATGCCACATCTCGCAGCAGCGCGATATATTTGCGAGTGGTTCCAACGAGGAATGGTCGACTCATGTGACGGCCTGCGAGATACGGATCAGGTAAAATACCGGACGGGGCGTGCCAGCGCTGGCAATCCACCACTTGCAAGGTTCTTTCAGAACCCACTACAGAGATATGAGTTGTGTGGTGCCGATATCTCGACACGGAAAACATGCATACTGTACATGGGTATCATATCGTAAATCATCACCAAGCACAAGGGACTTTATCGTCCGCCACCAGGATGACCTTGGCAGGCATCACTCAGCATTCTGAGCTGACCAAAGACATCCTTGATTCCCTCAGCACACCAGAAATCTCTCAGTAATGCTTCTCGCCATGTCCATGTTCCCGCTGAGCGCATAGCTTGTCCTCAATGCGTAGGCGCTCTGCATGTCCATGTCGCTGTACTCCTTGCCTCCTTCTGCCGCAGCAGACAATGGCCCATAATCAATGTCCATCGCATCCCCGTCATCTTGCTCCACCTTGACATCCCGAAAGGCAGCCCTCAACAACAATCCCTCAAACCCATCAGTCGCCAATTGCTCCAACCCCAACATCGCCCAACATCTCGCACGATTGAACGCGATCTCCCTCTCCGCCTCCGCCCTCTTCTGTCCAGACGCTGCGGTCCCTAGCTCTCGATCTTTCAGTTCAGCCAGCTTTAGCCGCAAAGCAGCATACTCCTCCATCATCGCCACCCCCATCAACACCCAATTATGCTTGTCTCCAACACTGCCTCCAATACTAGCCGCGGATTCTCTCGCCTGCGCCGCACCACCCGCCAGCGCCACACTATTCCGGAACCCAGGCTTCAGCGGTTGCTGCAGGTAGCACAGCGCCATCAGGAATGCGACCAGCGGCTCCTCCGGCACCAGTGCCCGAGCACGGTGAAACCATGGTAGCGCGCTGAGATACTGCCCTTTGCAGAAATGTAGTTGACCGTAGAGGACGAGCAGGACGGCGTCCATCTCTTGAGTGCGTTGGGGGATGCGTTGCGTTGATTTGCTGCCGGGGGGCAGGGGTGCGTAGACGGTGAGTGTGTCGTCGCGTTTCTTGCGCATGTATGCGGGGACGGCTTCGCCCGTTGTGGGGTCGGTGTAGGTTGTTTCGAGCCAGTGGTCAATCGCTGCGAGATGGCGGAAGAGGAATTTTGAGGGTTTACTGGACTTGGCGAGGTAGGAGCGCGCGAGGGCCTCGGGTTTGCCGAAAGGGGAGGTTTGGGGGTAGGGGAAGAGGTTTTGGAGGGCGAGGACGAGGCGGAAGGGGTCGGTCTGAAAGGGGAAGTTGGTGACGAACCAGGCATGACGTTGCCGAAGAGGGTGATTTGGTCCTGCAGGTTGATGCAGCAGACTAGGTGGACGAGGTGGATTAGGAGCATGGAGGGCGGGTCGTGGACCCAGATGACGCAGAGGGTTGTGTTGCTGAGGGCGGTGTAGGTGTCGCGCTGGGCGGAGTGGGATAAAGGGTTGGAGATTGGGGAGGATAGGAGGAGGGCGTATTCGAGGAAGATGTCTAGCCAGGTTGTAAATGAGATTTCGCGGTAGCTCGTGGGGATGTTCGAAGCGTCCTGGAGAGGCTCGACAGAGGGCAGGGCAGAGTCAGCATCCTGTGTTGGCTGTGGAGTGGCCGCGGCGGAGACTGAAGCTGAGCCGGCCGCGGTCTTCTCGTAGAGGGGTCGGCGAGAGGCTGCTACGGACGCGTCGTCATATCCGATGAAGCGCTGGTGTTTTTCTCGTGGGAAGAAGATTTTCTCGCTGCGAAAGTCGTTGATCATGGCTTTTGCGCACTCCATCCACACCCGAGTCGCAACGGGGTCGCCGGCTTGCATGCTTTCGTGGTTGGTCAAAAGAGTGCTATAGACTGCCATGAAGTCATCGACTTTCTGCGGCTTGTCCTCCACTGGCGTTGGTGCACGAGGCAGGCGCTTCGGTTGTTTCTTTGTTGAATGGCGGTAGTCGCGACCACCACCTGGAAGGATCAATTGGAAAGCATTGAGGTATCTGTCATCGGCCATACGACGGCCTGGCCGCTTCTTCGAAGGTGCTGGACCCTGGAGCTGTAGCGCAGTCTTGAGCGCATCTTCCGCAGCTTCCCGCTCCAGGCGGTGATCGATGCGTTCGTACTTGCGCAGACCCTTGACGGACATTGGTACTTCTGCATGTGCAGCCTCCACGGCTTCACAGCCGTACTTAATGGCCAGAGGCTTGTTGCCTTGCTCAGTGAGTATTTTGCAAATGTATGTCTTGGCCACGACCGAGTCTTCATCGAGCGCAACGGCAGCCTGGAAGTGCTCGAGAGCATTGGCCTTCTTGTCGACCACGTAAGCGTTTGCGCCGATACCCAGCCAGAAGTCAAGGCCCTTCTCTGAATCAACGCGCAGGAGAGCTTCGAAGTAGCGGGAGGCTTCTTGATGCTCCCTCGCTTCGCCGAGGGCTTGAGCCACTTGCAGGAACGCTTCGGGATACTCATGAACAGTGCCGTTCTGACTGGACATCGTCTGGCCTCGAGCCAGGCGAGATGATCCAGAGCTTCTTCCGAGAGTAGCCTTGCTTGAGACGGAGGATGCCCAGTTGGGCGCGTAGAGGTATGGGCAGGCCGATGCCGTACTGATCAGCAGAGAATCTTCCGACCTGGTAGCCTGGTACTGCAATTCTTCTAGGCATGTCATCTTGGTCGAACTCAGCATCATCGTCCTCTTGCATGTCCCAGTATGCTTCAATCGATCTGCCCAGAAGCCATCTCGAGAGCTTCTTAAGGACGTTAATGCTCGTCTGCAAGACGACATCTCTATCACCCTCTCGACGCGTCAGAAGGTCAACATACTGGTAGATATCGGTCCATTCGAAAGAATCCTCATCTGACAATCCATGGACACGATAGTGCAGGATGGCTTCCTTGTACCGATTAATGGCAACACCGACTTTCTCCATGTAGATACATGTCTCAGCATACATCTTCAGCGCATGGGTATTGTGCGGCATCTCGAGCATGATTTTGTCCAGCAGATCCAATGCCTGCTTAGGACGACCAGCTTCGCGCTCGACCGAAGCCAGTTGGAAGAGGCTCTCACAGTCAGTGGGATCTAGCCGCAGGATAGCCTTCAGTGCATATCTCGCCTGATTGAGCGCGATAATTCTGGAATAGGTCGCTCGTTCGAGACATGCCTCGACGACTTTCTGCCACACGAAGGGGTCGCGAGAGGAGCAGTGAGCGCCAGTCCAGAGGGCTTGAACGGCGTTTGAAGAATCTCCACGATCTTCCCAGATTTGCGAGAGGAGGATGTGAGCGTTAAAGACCTCTGGGTTGATGGCTATGGCCTCGACAATGAGTTCATGTGCCGAGTCGAGATCGCCGTCCAGACTGTAGGCATTAAGAGCTGCCTGATACTTTTCCGTAAACTCTGGCGTGGGCTCCAGAGGCGGACGTGGACCGACCTTCTGGCCTTGATTCCATCCTCCGCGTTGTCCTGTCCGTGTCTTTCTTCGTGGTCGGCCTCGGGGCCGCTTCTTGGGTACATCGTCAGAAGCAGGTATCGTCCATGGCGCGAGTCCGAGCGTGTCGGGTTCATCGTTGACAGCTTCGTCCACACCTTCGCCATCGTCCAATTCATCGCTGTCGACTTCGCCATTGTCGTAAGAATCTGGTGTCGCGGCTTCAGATCCGTCGCCAGAATAAGGTGAGGGAAAGTCCGGCAGCTCGATCGAGGGCAATGGAGCCTCCTGGGCGATGCGGTGATACTCGTCATCCACCTCAGCGTAGCCGTCGTCATCGTCTGAGTCGTAATTTGCGTCTCCACCATAGGCATATCCTCTAGTCTGAAACGTCGGCCCGAACAGATCTGGCCCAGGAATGAGGCTGCCTGGCAGACGTGTGTCGTCCATGTTGTATCGTTGTGAGGTCCCTAGGGCACGGCGATCGGAGGATTGTGTGTCAACTAAAGGACTATGGTGGTTTTGGTAGGGGCGTCTTCTACACAAGTTTCAGCCCCCAACGTCCGGGTCCTTCGCGATATCGTCGTCTGTCGTCGAAGAGTCCATGAATCACGGTCGTCCGTTGTTACGTCACGTGAAAGTGCAGGCGAAGTCTCGTCAAGCACGCTTTGTTGTCTTCATCAGCTTCTTGACGACTGTGGCAACCGTGAGTGAAACTTGAAGACTCGAGAGTTGAAGTCAAGGCAAAGTATTGGCCATGAAATGTCCAGGCCCCTGACCAATCAGCACGCCTCAGCACAGACTTGGCACCGCGTTTATTCGGGAAAGTTTGAGAAGTTCTCGAAGCAGTTGGCCGTGGCCCGTCAGAACCGGCATCAGGTTTGGGTGCAGAGTCAGGCTTGCTTGCCTGCTCACTCACGCACAATCACGAGTTGTTGCTTCCTTCGAGCATTTTTGTCTCATCCTTCAGCTGTTCCGTTCCCTTGTGCCTTTCAGTCCTTCGTCGTTACAGCTATAGCGGGCATACCCTGACTTGCACCCACGTCCACTGAGCACTTGCACCGGCTGCAAGTGTTTCAGTCTCGCGATTGTGTCTTCCGGAAAGGCTTCTTGTCCCTGAGCACCATCCTATCCTAGCTGTCGCATCCATCGACTGTTGGCCGCGGACTGGCTCTTATCGGTCACAGCCCTCACACTAATTTCTCCCACTCGAGATCCCGTCAGATGATTTGAGCGGGCCAGGTCGCATCCACCACAAGAAGTGAGACCTGCTCCGACACTCAGCTACCCACAGTTCTCCATCTACATTCTGCATCGAACGCCTTCACGATGGCGAGCAATATTGTTGGCAATCGCAACAGCACCCCCGAGGCATCAAAGCCTTCGCTGCGCCCTCCCACCTCGCGGGTTTTGCCCAGCACCGGCTCTCAGGGCATTCGCCAGTCTGCTGATATGTCCACCTTCACCTCTCCGCTATCTGCAAGGAACATACGACCGGCGTCTGAAGTTTTGTACAACCAGCAGCAGGGCTCGCAGGATGACTCGAATAAACTAGGCGAGCAGTGGATTCAAGACATTGAGCAGTACGAGACTATGCTAGAAGAGATGGCGGCGGCCACACTCGACCAAGACTTCAAGGATGAGCTCAGTGCTATTGAGCAGTGGTTCAAGGTCCTGAGCGAGGCCGAACGCACCGCTGCGACCTATGCCCTGATTCAGCAGACCACTCAGATGCAGCAGCGCTTCTTCGCCCAGGTCCTCAATCAGATGTCCAAGAGTCACCCCATCTCCGGTGTGCTCTCTCCTGCCAACTTCGGCGAAAAGGACGCCATGTCCAGTCGTCTCAGTGATGCGATGTCCAAGCTCAACGTCGAAGGGTCGAGACACTCCATGGGCCGGTCGCCCACCACGCCAGGGGCAGGCAACAAGCGAAACTCCGGCCTCGACCAGTCCACCATACATGCCATGTTTCCTGACGCGGCTGCAGCTATAGCGCAACAAAAAGCGGAATACGCACAGCAGACGGGCAATGCACCGCCATCCAACCGCAATAGCACAGTTGAGCGAGGTTCTCTCGCGGCTCCGACCATATCTGCGCCACGGGAGTCAAAAGCAGACAGCATGAATTGGAGACAGCCACAAGTGTCCGCCCAAAGTCAGGCAGAATCACGCCCAAAATCCTCGTCCGGCTTGCAGGCACCGCAGCTTGGGCAGCAACCTATGGGCCAATTCTCGCAAGGCCCTCTGACCGGCGGCCTTCGTTCACCACGACCAATTCAAACCTCCGAAAACATTCAGTCCACGACGCTAGCTGCTCCGACGCAGCACGAATTGCCAATGTTGTCGCCATACAACACTGGAAGCTGGGCTTCCATGACAAATACACCCATGGTCCCGAACTTTGGCGCTCAAACTAATCAGAATGAAATGATAGCTAATGCCACCGCCATGAAACTCGCAGCTTTGTCCACGGTCAACAACAGGATCGCGTTGGACGATGTCAAGAAGTATCGACGAGCTCGATCTAACGAACCGCAGCCGCCGCTGTCTGCCGGCCTGCAAGCTTCCGGCATACCTGGCATAAATACGATAATGGTCAACGATCAAGGCCAAGTACTAAATGCCCAACAAGTTGCTGCACTTCAAGCGCAACAGATCGCTGCAGCACAAGGCCGACGATCGCGGCCCAACTCACCTGGCCTGCCCAACCAGACCAGCCCTTTCGCTGGACAGTTCGCTTCCCCTCAACACAATGGCTATCTCACAGCATTCGATGGCGTAAATCCAGCCCTCGCCGGTCTCGTCGCTCCGCCTCTAGGCCAGTTCAGTATGGGCGGCGATGGCTACTTGTCAGATCATTCCGATCTGGGTCGAGGACGCTCCCCTCGTGGTCGACGTGGAAGTTCGAAGCCGCCCGAGGATCCTACCGATCCTGGATTGCTTGCAGATATTCCCGCGTGGCTGCGCACGTTGAGACTGCACAAGTACACGGACAATCTGAAAGACTTGTCCTGGCAAGAATTGGTGCAGCTTGATGACAAGGGCCTTGACGCAAGAGGCGTGAATGCACTTGGTGCAAGAAATAAGATGCTGAAGGTCAGTCGAGCTTCGCGTGATGGTCCATGTTACGTGCTGACGTTACCCAGGTCTTCGAACAGGTCAAAGCCGCTAATGATGGCAAATTGTGAATGCCGGGTCTGAGGTGATGAGAAATGTCTATGCACGAGTTCCTACCATCTCGATACCCCCTGAGGAGTCAGCAAATGTACCAGACCTGCAGCAGCTGCAGCACATTTGGGTCACTTTTAGCGTCGGCAGACTAGCTAGATAGTTCTGAGAAGGCGATATATACAGATAGTGTACAGACGCCTTCGAAGATCTTATGACGTCGCCATTTTCCTCGCCAGAGAGTGGAAATTGAGGATGTAGAATGAGAATCCAACGTCCCTCTCAACGAAGTCCTTCACACCAGATCCTACGTCAAATGTCTTCGTCCCATTTGCCTCTTTCCTGTTCCATCATGCCTCTATAGCACAGATCCTGAATCGAGGTGTCACGTACTCATTCTAGTCGTCTGGCACTTCGAACGAAGTTGAATCGTTCACGCGTTAAGCGCACAAGATCAGAGAAGCGACACTGGTTCAATGAACGATTGGATTCTATCTAGACGCAGCTGGCTTCCGGGCTAGGACGGGTGGAAGTCGTAATGCTCGTCACCCCTATACCATTCCAGCGAACGTCGCCTTGGAGTGTTTAAACTGCACGTCTGAGCGCGGCTCGCCAACGTGAAGGGCCCTCTGCTGCGATCAGAGCCGTCAATCTCCCTTTCGGCTTATTTGGCTGTATAGCACGAAGACGCCGATCTCATGCAAAGAGTGAACAGCTGGCAGAGGCTCAGCTTGGTTATGCCCAATGGCGTTGTCGGGGACTCTTCGTTCTGGAAGATCTCTGGTGTCGCTGGCAAACATTGAGCTGAACGTCAAGCCAATTGGCCTGCTCCAAGCTTAATTCAACGTGTAGCACCGAGAGGCACTTGTATGTTTGAGTAGTGCCCTAGCCGTTTCCAACCCTTGGCCACATTTAGCGCACACAAAGAGCTTTGCGTCTGAGTGGGCTCGTTGATGATGGATTTGCAACTCATCCCACGTCGCGAAGCGTCTGTTGCAAGTGTCACACACGAATGGCTGTGCTACTGAGTGGGCTTGACTGGGTGTGCGCGCAGTCTGAACGCTGCGCGCTGGTGACGCCTTGGCTGGCCAATCTCGATTGGGTAATCCCCCTTCGTCGGTGTTGTGTTCCGCTGTGCTCTGCGCAGCTTGCGCTGCAGTTCCCTGCGGGACACCGCCGGTGCGAGCCAATTTACTTCGAACGTAGAAGCGTCCATGGATGGACTTGAGATACTTCTGCGTGTGATTGCTCCACTCCTGCTTCCTGGTCGGTCCGTCGGGCATTTTAAAAATGATGAGGAAGTCCTTGGTGGGGATACCTTTGTCAGGAATCAAAGCCTCGAACTCGTCTGGAGTAGGGAAAGGATTCTATCCCGTTGTGCTTTGCTCAGCCGGCGCGACAGTGGCCGGCGGGAGACCACCTGAGCTGGCCAGCTTTCTTCGCGTATAGATGCGACCGTTGGTTCCTTTGAGATACTTCTGCATATACCCGCTCCACTCCTTTTTCTTTTCCTTCTCGATGGGCATCTTGTACATGATAAGAAACTCCTTTGTAGGAAGACCTTCAACGGGGATGCGAGCCTCGAATTCCTCTGGAGCAGGGAACGGGTCGACGCCCATGTCCAAGTTGCGATACCTAGGACCAGGTGAGCCGGCGCGGGATCTGGGGGGCGAATTGGTGGCACTTGGACTGCCGGGTCTCTTGAGCTTGAGCTTGAGTCTCGTTCCGTCAGACATCGCGCCGCCGTCGGTGTCAGATCCAGCTCCACGTCGCACGCCATCAGGAGACATGGGTCTCGATCCTCCGGGAGTAGGCTGTCGAGAGGAAGCATGATGAGACTTCTTCTTCTTCTTTCGCATAGTGGAGGCATCAGTTCCAGAGGCATCGGACAGATTCGGAGATCCAGGTCGCTTCAATGTTCGCGAGGACGATGATTTCTTGATGCCGTTCTCCCTGTCAGACGCAGGATGCTTTTCCTTGCGACCCGACGGCGTGTTAGCCCCAGATGAGAGCGCGGACTTGGCAGCGTCGTCGTCCTTCTTGAGATTAGCAAGCTTCTCAGCTTCGAGTCGTCGCTCCTCTTCTGAATCAGTCTGATTAAGTGTCAGTATGAAGTTTGGAGAGTGGAGGTGGTAGCCATACCGAGTCGTCCGAGTCAGACCCGCTGAGATAATCGTACCTCCGCTCGTACTTTTCCAGTTTCTTCCGCACGTCGCGGGCATATAGTTCAACGAGCTTCTCAGCGCGGTCTTCCTTCTTCTCATCCTCTTCGATCTCTCGCTCGTCCTTCTCGGCCCAGCTATATTAGCTTTGAGGTGGTCTTCTTTGACTTTTTTCTCAGCGGCCTTCTCATCCTCATCTTTGTCACCAAAGATGTCGCCCACCAGGCCCTCCTCATCATCGGCGAAGTCATCTTCGTAGTCGAGATCGGCATCTTCTCCTTCGCGAGTAAACTTTACACCTCGGTCGTGCACGTACAGCTTCTGAGATTGTTTGAATTCTTTCTCTCTGCGAGCCGCCATTGAGCGTTCTTCCTCCTTTCGAGCTATGGTGTCGGGCATCATGTCTGCCAGCTTCTTGTTCTTTTTCAGTTGCTGCTCGATCTGTTCCCAAGTCAGGTCTGCCTGGACAGTGCTGTGCGGGTCGAACATGTAGAATTTCTCTACTGGTATAAGTCGGAAGCGCTCGCCATCGGTCGTCTGCTCGCGAGCAAAAGCAGCATACACGCCCATGGAGCCCTGATTGTGCTTGCCAACCAGAGTGTGCTTGTTGTCGAAGTCTTCGAGGACCCAAGGAATCTTCTCTTCATAGTTCATCTGCATGCGACGCTTCTGCTCGTCGGTATAGTCGTTATGGTACGCTTGTGCGGTCTTCTTGGTGAAGAGCTTCCTCCGGTTAGCGCTGGCCGACGGTGCGATTTGCGCTAGATTCTCCTCGCGTTGCTTCTGGCGAGCTTCGCGTCGCTTGTTGAGAGCATCTGTCTCGGCGTCTTTTGATGCAGAAGGGTCTTCTTCGGTGGCTTTCGTGAAGGTCTTCCAGTCTGGGTTGCGCCGATGCAGACGAGCAGGCTTCGGGAAGTCTTCTTCCTTGCGAATATCCACTTTCACTTTATCGCCTAGTTGCATGAGATGATATCGCAGACCATCTATCAGCTCGCGTTTGGTGGTGACCAGCTTGTACTCCTTGACGGGACCGCTGTTAATTGTAGGAACAGGCTGCTGCTCGTTGACCTTCGTATAGGCCTTTGCCGCTTGGAGGTTCGGCTGTACGGTGCCATTTGGCGCTCTGTTAGTGGAGGTTGGGATCGGCTTCGGAGCTGCACCCAGAGGGTATCGGTTTCTCTGGTTGTTGGTGGGCTTGAAGAGGCTGGGCGCAGGCTTCTTCTTCCTTGGGACGGCTTGTGGTGGTGTAGGAGTGCCTGCACCGTTCACAGCGGCGGGCGGCCCGCGATTGGAATCCATCTAGATGCGACAGTGATGACACTTCGTCGAGAATGCCGATGAGTAAAGGCACTGACTACAGATATGTCTCTCAAGTCATGTTGAGAAGGCGACCATTTGATCGGGCGAACAACGAGTGCACACGTGAAGCCTGGTACTTTGTTTACTTGTGCAGTGCTATGTAGTCACGTACAGCCTATAGTCTGTGCTTAATGCCTGCCTCCCAATTCAAGATGACCAATCACGTGACAACGCTTTGCGGGGACAGCCTAAACCACTCTTGGACTTCAATGTACGTAGCCTCATGAACAACCTGGACTATTCGCCATCGTCGCAAACATTGTCGAGGCGTTCGCCGTCCATTCTTTCCAATATGGCTGCTCCTCCGCCATCGCGAGGTCCGTGGCCGCGCGTGACGCGTGGTCCGGCACCCTCGCATGCCTCGCTTTATGATCCTAGAGGACCACCTCAGACGCTTGGCCAGCAGGTCATGGCACAGGCAGACTACCTCAATAATGTCTATCGCACCACTCAGAAGTTCCAGCTTCAACGAGAAGAGCAAATCGCGAAGGAAACATTCCGGAAACATCTGCAAGGCATGTTTCAGACACTACTACAGAGCCACTACTCGTCATTCGACGTAAAGGACGTCCGCCTTCAATGCTACGGCAGTTTGAACAATGGCTTCGGTCTGGCAAATTGTGACATGGACCTTCTGCTGTTGCTGCCAGCAAACCTCGACTTCATCAACCGAGTCAATGAGGCAACGAACTCGACTACAGAGGCGGCAGAAGACGACCGGAAGTTCGAAGTTGCTCTGCTTCTCGAGAAGGCTTTGCTAGATTCCGGCATTGGCGCGAGGCTATTAACAAAGACACGTGTACCCATTCTACGTGTATGCGAGAAGCCATCAGAGACGCTACTCGAGAACCTTCGACAATATTGCAAACAGAGTGAAGAGGCCGCAACCCCGACTCCTGTCAGACCGACCAAAGATGACATGCCGGCACCGCCAGAAATGACTCTCTCAGATATTACGACCGCCATATCTGAACTGTCTACAGAAGACGACGCCGCATCAATTCGTCTTCCAGATTCGCCAACAAAGAACAAGCAGCTAGCCATCGAATTCGTTGGCGACTGTGGAATCCAGTGCGACATAAACTTCACAAATTTCGTGGCTGTCCACAACACCCGACTTCTGAGAACGTACTGCACCTACGACTCAAGAGTGGCTCAAGTCGGTACTTTCGTGAAGCTCTGGGCCAAGACACGAGATATCAACACCCCCTACCTAGGGACGCTATCGTCATACGGGTATACTCTGATGGTCCTACACTACCTGATGAATGTTGTTGACCCGCCTGTCATTCCCAACTTGCAGCAGCTTGCATATAGTGCAGACTCTTGGGCGACAAAGCCAGTGCAGAAGTTCGAGGACAAGTTTGACATACGCTTTCTCTCCAATATGGAGCAGCTGCAGAAGTTCAAGGCTATGCAGAGAGTGAATCGACAGTCTACCGGACATCTCCTGCGAGGATTCTTTTGGTACTATTCTGCTCAACAAGGCTTCCACTGGACGCAGTCTGTCATATCCATTCGAACTCCGAGAGGCATTATGACTAAGGCGGTCAAAGGTTGGACTGAAGCCAAGTGGTCGGCGCAGAACAAGAACGTTCGTCAACGCTATCTTCTGGCCATTGAAGATCCATTCGAGGTTGATCACAACGTCGGCCGCGTTGTCGGACACAATGGGATCGTTGCCATTCGCGGAGAGTTCCGACGAGCATGGCATATCATCTCTACTGTCGGCGACCCATATGCACCTCGAGGCGGGCCTATTGAAGACCTTCTACAGCCTGCTGAAGCTAGAGGAGATCTCTTGCGCAAAGATCAAGACTTTCATCGGGACAAGATGCGGAAGATGAAACAAGAAGCGGAGGCCAGACAGAAGCAAGCATTGCAAGATAGCGTGTCGACTACGACTCCTGAGCAGCCCATAGACCAGGGACAGCTGCTTCTGAATGCGGTCATGGGGTATCCAACTGGAACCACGAACGGTATGTCGAATTAGCAGCCCTCCCGACCTCACCATCCATCGCCCGTCTCGGTCCATCCCATCCTCCCCGAAATCCGAAGCAACAAGAGCTAACGGAATCTATTGGCAACTCTCAGAGCAAGTCTCGACGGCGCCAACAAGCTCACGCAAGGAGGGCTTTAGCTGAAAGTGACGACGAAACAAGTGACACAGAAAAGCAATTACGAGACTGTAGTCCAGCGACCACAACGGAGCGGGCCAAAATGGAAGCATGCACAACCACGGAGCACGACGATGAGAGCAAAGTGGCCTGTTCTGTCGAGGAGCTCTGCACAAGTCAAGGCTACGATCTGAAAGGAAATCCTGTGGCGTGGGATTTGTCTACTCAAGATGGGCGATGGCTCCACTGGCGAGATATGAAAGTCCGGAAAGGCCAATACCGCAGCATGAAGAAACCAGAACTTGCCGAACTTGACCGGCGTTATCCCTACGATCCGCGAAGACCAGCTCCAGTGAACCTGCGGGAACACCGAGACGCCCATGAGTTATGCCACGTCATTACTGCGCCATATCCTATGAACAAAGTGACGGATATCACGTCCACCGAGACTGCGATAGATGCGGGAATTCTCAAGCCATGGGCAGCAGATGCAGTAAATAGACCACACGAGGAGAAACCCTCAGGAAAATCAAGAGACCGTCCCTCATCCAAGCGCAAATCCAAATCGCAACTTCAGGATGCGATCATGACAATGGCTGCCAGTCGCAGTGCGACCCAAGATGCAAGACAGGCTGCTTCTATGAATACTGGGGCACAGCGTTTGGAACGTAGACTGCAGTCGGACATAAGTCGCCTGGATGCACGTTCGCTCATTCAAGCAACCTTACATTCTCGACCACAGACGGGCACAGCGGATCCGAGGGCATTACCGGCCGACAAATGCCATACGTCAATGTGTCAGAAACTGCGAAACCGAAGCAGAGCTTACGACAATGTCACCGATGGTGATGGAGAACTCAGATCGAAGACAGCATGTACCAGCAGTGAATGTCGTCAGTCACCAGCCGAGCAGATCAGTTATAGATCAGAACATGAGAAGACGCGTTCTTTACTCATTGATATCTCATCCACACCCAAGGACGAGGAAATCCGAGACGATCAATCTGAAGACATGCCCGTCACGGCTTTCATACGATGCAGGCGACTCGCATACTTCGCCGAGAAAGAAAAGCGTGAAGCCGGCACCGATGGTAGTCCCAAGGAACTGGACACACCACGAAACATTGCAGGGCTGATGCAAGACGCTGGCATGACGACTCGGCTGGGCCACGACTCGGCCCTCGATTCGTCCCAGTCTCATCTCCGGAGATGCACTTCCTCAATCACTACTAGAGCCAAGAGCACGGATACACGTCCCTCGCCCTCATCCCCCAAAGCCTACAGTCCCAACTCACACCTGATTGAGCTTGCCACCCTTGACCAAACAATGCACACAGTCCCTGTGGCCGCCGCACCCTCCGAACTCGAGGGCTCTGCCGTCACCATAGTCTCGGAGCTGCCAGTGGCCGCCGCACCCTCCGAACTCGAGGGCTCGGCTACCACCCTGGTCTTGGAGCCACCTCAAGTCCCCCTGACCCTCCTCCCAGACATGTCCTCCGAAGAGCGGCCACGCGACGAGGACCCACGTATTATGCCCATTCCACGCATGTACAACTTCGCCTTCGACCCACGGCAACTGCGCGATCTGGCTGTGATCAAGGAGGGCGGCAATGGGTGTGCAATCGATGGGTACGAGTTTGAAGTGTACGAGAACGACGGGGAGGGCGAGTGGATCGGTAGTGGACTGACTGGCTCGCCCTTCCCGACTCGTGGAATATCCCGGGCTGGAAACTCTCATGGGCTCATTACGAGCAAGACTAATGACGGTGGCTACGAGGTCGGCAGAGGCGATGAGGAAGGGCTGTTGAACGAGCTACCTGGCTTGTGAAGTGATGCGGAGTACTGTGGTTTGCTCGGGCTACATGCACACATTGTCGGAGGTCTGTGAGGAATGACACGAGCGATACGAAGTTAATGATATGATACACAAAGACATGGCAAGGTGGCAACACAAAGATTTCGCGAATCCAGTGGGCGCTGATGGTGTTCGTATGTGGCATGGCATGGTGCGTGCGGATACGACACCACTCCATGAAAGCTACTAGATACAGCAGAGATGTGGCAACACAAGGCTCGAGCATTAGGTCGGGGGGGGGCTGTGCTTTCGATGGACACATTGTTGAGACTGGTGCTTGACTTAGCCAGACGACCCATCCTGAGAGGACTTATCACTAACAAGAGCTCTTAGCTCATTCTTATCCGCTGTTACTACTTGCACGAGTCTGGTTGACACCTCCCAAAAGTGGGCTTGTTTCATCAGCATCTGCATTCCGCTAGTGATCATTTTCACGAGGCACGCCTTGCTCGAGTGTGTATTCAGCAAGGTTCGGGTCTGTCCATACTCAATGTTTCTGGTCTACATCGCGCGGACACTGTAAGTTGTACATTTTTCCTCATCGTCCCTCTCCACTCCACCGCATTAACATCAGCACAGTATCACCGCGGCACCTCCCTCGAGCCTCCCGCAAAGCGGACCAGGACTGACACCTACGAGCGCGCCGAC